TGAAACAGTTTACATTTTCCTATTCCTTTTTATATTTTCAATTAAATAGAATAACTAAATAGATAAAAACATTGAATATTTTGACAATCTTTTTTAATTTCACCAGTTAATACATTTTCAGACTTCGCACTCGATAATTAATTTAAACAAAATTTTTTTAAATAATTGAATTCTGTTTGATAATTTTATGAATAGTACATAATTGAATTTTACAAAGAATTCTATTAAAATTTTTGACAATAATTTGGTATTTTATTAAATGGTTTTGAAAATAATTGAAAATAATTCCTAAAAAGCATTTTATTATTTATGAAAATAATTGAATTCGTGTGAAGGATTTTATTAGAATTGTTTAAAATAATTGGATTTCCAAGAAGAAATTTATTACTTTTAAAAATAATTGAATTCTTGTGATAAATATTGTTATTTATGAAAAAAATTGAATTTCGCAAATAATTTTATTAAAATGCCTCAAAATAATTGAATTTCTGGGAATAATATTTTATTATTTATCGACATAATTGTGTTCATCAAAGAATTAAAAAGAAACATTTTTTTTAAATAATTGATTTTTTGTATATTGAAATCAAATTTTTCAGAATAATTACATTTTTTTGAGCAATTCCTGTAAAATTGTATTAAAAAAAAAAATTGAAATCCTGCTATGAATTTAATTATTTATGAAAATTATTGAATAGTTGTTAAGAATTTTATTAAAATTTTCAATAATAATAATTGAATTCCTGAGAAGAATTTTATTATTTATGAAAATAATTGAATTATTGCGAAAATTTTTATTAAAATGCTTAAAAAGAATTGAATTCCTGTGAAAAATTCTAATTTTTTTGTAAATAATTGAATTCTTCCAAAGAATTTTAATAAAACATTTTTTCGAGGAAATGAAATTAAAGTTTTAAGAATAATTACATTTTTTTTGAGCAATTCCTGTAAAATTATATTACAAAAATTTGAAATCCTATACGATGAATTTTATTATTTATTAAAATAATTGAAAAATTTATAATAATTTAAAATTTTTTAAAATAATTGAATTCCTGTGAAAAATTTTATTATTTATGAAAATAATTGAATTATTGCGAAAAAATTTATTAAAATGTTTAAAAAAAATTGAATTTCTGTGAAAATTTTTTTTTTTTAATAATTGAATAATTTATAAGAATTTTATAAACTTTATTTTAAATAATTAATTTTTTCGACATAAAATAGAGAAAATTTTATTTTAAATAATTGAATTCTTGTGGAAAATTTTATTTGTGATAATAAAAATTGAATTTTTCTATTAATTAATTTAAAATGGTATTGAAAATAATTGAAATTCTTCGATGAGCTTTATTAATTTTTTTTTTTAAATAATTGAATTCTTTTGCGAAATTTCATGAAAATAGTAGATATTGAAAATAATTGAATTTCGAATATTTTTTGAAATTAATTGAATCTTTTTAAAGAATTGGATCTTATAATTTTGTAGAATAGGTTTCAACCATTTTGCACCAAAATGCATATTTTAAGAAATATTTAAAGGGTTCCATACTTTTGCCACACCTTGTATATATAAATTTCAATGTCGTCTGATTAAATAGACACTTAGTGTTTTAGAAACGACCAATCAAATATTAGGCATGTGTTAGGGTTCTCAACATTTACCCTTGAGAAACGAGGTAATAAATCGTTTCTTTCCTGGACCAGTGTGCACTGGTAATAGTTATACATATTCCATTAGATCAGCATTTTGTCTCCTTCCTTTTCTTTTTCTCTTCAAATTTCAAATTAAACTATTTATTTTCAAATTCATTCTCATGGAAATTTTTTATTTCATTATTGTAAAAATTTTTTTTTTTCTCTCTAAAGAAAAATATGAAACCAACTAAGTCCACAAGTTTCAGTGAGAAAAAAAGATGAGAATGGAAAAGAAGGACATTATAACTGCTGACCTGTTTCTTAAAGTGAAAGGTCTGGAAAATTCGTTAGAACATCATAATATATCTAAAAAAAACCGGTTTTCAAACTTATTCCAACGTAGAGGAAAAATTCCAAAATTATCTACAAAGAAGGAAAATCTTATAAAATTACAAAAAAAAAAAGAAAAGAGAAAAGAAGTATAATTCGAGAAAAATTATAATTCTCTTATAATCAATTATCATGACTTTTCTACATTATTAATTCTCTGATGAAAGATAATCAATTTCCGAATGCGATATACAAAGAAAATAATTCGAGCGATGAAAAATCGTTTGATAACCTTGATCGATAAGAAATTTTATCAATAATTTATCCATAAACATCAATTAAAAACATTCCTTTATCATTGCGCTAAAAAATGAAAAGAAAAATCCAATAGAAGTATTTTTTTTTCTTTTTCTTCTTCTTCTCAAAAAGAAGAAAATAGAAAAAAAAATTTCTGATAATTTTTAAACATAGGAAGTAAAAAAAATTTTTTCTACATTTTTCTTTATGCAAATAATATTGTCATGAACTTGAATTCGAACGATTAAAGTTACACGCCTGTCAATCTTCATGAAATGTGCACGAGGCTTAATATCGTAATTACTGACAATCAAATTTATCCATAAAATCAACACTTGCGAATTAAACTTTTTTTTTGAAACTAAAATTTAGAAATCCATTTTTTAATTATAATATCTGTTTAATTTTTAATTCATTAAATTTTTAAAATTGAATAACTTTTTTTAATGTTAATAGAACATTACTAATTACTTGAATAACATTTGCTTTTTACGAGTAATAATTTTACTTGGAAGAAGAATGAAAAAAAAATGAAAATACAATTTTGCATAAAGTACAAAAAGGATTTCAGTCGATGCTTTAGAAAAACAGGTAACTAAAATAATGTGTTACGAGATATAAGAGCGAACAAGGTCAAACGACTGTTAGATAATAAGTCGAACAAGAAAAAAAAAACCTAAACGAATGTTTGCCAAACTTTAATTTGAATAGATTCGTAGAGATATTTATTCTTAGCTTTAATTATTAGATCAATATGTGCATTTTGATTAATATCCGAGAGATTTATTATCGAATAATAAGGAAAAAGTTCGTGTCAACGTTTTTTTCCCCCCCAACACAATAAATACAGAAAAAAATACGTGAGATAAAATAAATTATAAATTTTCTATTGTTAGTTCTTAGTTATCTAGAATTATTAATATTCACTTTAAAAAAAAAATAATTTTAATTTTTTCAATCAATTCTACACTTGGAAAATAAACAATCAAAAAGGATAAGATGAGGTAACTTATATTGTTTTAGCGAAAACATAAATTGAATTATTCCTCAGGTGACATCTAATCAAAATCTGGTTCACCAGAACAGCAGTTTTTTAACCTCGATGGATCTCTAAACTTAGATTTCCTTGCCAGATTGAAGTGCCAACTTCTTCAATGAACAACGAAAACACACTGATTCTCACGAACAAGATAAATTAAGATTTACTTCCAAGTCAAGGTGAACATATCAACAAAGTTACAAAGAGATTATGTATGTGCGAAAAATTCTCGCGAAATTCAGTAAATTTTCCATTCTCCTTCAATTTTCTTTTTAATTCAGTATTTTTTAAAAATCCAAATATTATTTCTATTCTTATCAATGGGAGTACTAGGCTATTGAATTCGAGCAAGGTAATAAATAAATAGACATTTTCTATTAGCAGAAAAAAAAGAAGAAAATATACTCGGAATCTAATATCCATTATGGATTTATTTTTAGAACAGAGAAAATATTATGTCAAATGTTCTAGATTTCTGGTCCATATCTATAAGGTCTTGTGTCAAAAAGAAGAAATAGAATTTTGCTAACATGACACAAAGTAACAATGAATTTGCAATTACATAATGATTTCCTCGCCTTATCGATTTCATTCACGGGAAATGACCGCACAACATTTTTTTCTATCTTATAGCACAAAATTACATCGATATTAAAAAGGGAATTGTTTTAAACGTAAATTAATTAAATTAACAATAAAGAATTAAAAAAATAAAAAACAAATACAAATTTACAAATCTTTACCGTGCCAATTCAAAAGGAGATTCGTATTGTATAAAGTTCACCGAGATATGAAAACTGAAATCACATTAGTCGCATTGATGAATAAAAAAAAGATATAAATAAAATTGAAATATTCAAATTTTATTATAAAATTAGATTCCGCCATTTGAAAAATAATTGACGTGTTTGCGTCGATAATGTAGAAAACACGGAAAATCTTTATTTTCATTTATTATGTAAATCTTTTTCTCTCTTTATTAATTCTAATGATTAATCGTTTCTCGATTTTCCTAAAATACCTCAAATACCTAAAGTACTTCTGATTCATGAAAAAATACATCATGGATTTTGAAAAATTTTCCATTATATAATATTGAAAAAGCGAATTTTCTTTCTTTTCTTTATTCGAAGAAAAAAAATTAGAACAATTATAATTTTACTTTTTTGTAATCTGAAGGGGAAAAATCGGTAAAAAAATTGATAACATACGTGACAAACATAATTTTAAAAAGGAGAAATAGAAGTAAAGAACGATTTTTTCCTGAATCAGATTTGATATGTAACACATGATTTCAAGCATCGTGGAAGATTTGAGAATTCACCCTCAGAATAAACGAAGCGTAAACTATTCCACGCTAAAGGTTTCTACGATCGATAAAATTTAGTGAAAAAAACGAATGTAAAAAAACAATCGACTTTGAATGAAATACAAACATTCGAAGCCTTTTTGAAGAGAATGAAATTAATAATTCTAAATTTGAAACAAGAAAAAGGTAATTTTCCAAAACTCCTGATAAGAATTTCATACAGAACCATAAAGTGTTCTATTATAGAATAGAAGCGTTCGAATTTCGCCACCGGAAGAGAGCTTTTTTTTCCATTATTAAACCACGAGGATTCAAAAAAGTGATGATTCAAAAATGGTAAATTTGAATTTCAAAGAGAGAATTTAATTTTTCTCCCTTTTCACGTACCTGCAGCTCCAAGCATCGCCTCGTGCTATAACGGAAAAGTGCCATTGTCCTTAATAATCCTGTGAGTGTGTCCTGTTCTGTTTCTTCTTCAACCAACTAAAGCGACCCGAATACGCGGAGCTCTGGCGCCCAACTCGATCGGTGAAATCTCTTCTCTTTTTGCCCCTGCTGCTCACTACTCACGTTTATCAACGCATGCGCTTCAATTCCGAAAAAGGTCGAGCAAGCGCAACGAGTAATTAAAATACTTAATTCCGATTGGAGAAATATCCTTTGACGTGTCCATCACGAATCCACGACACCTTTAAAAAAAAGAAATTCAATTTTAAAATTCAGCTTTTTTCAATAAATAACATTTGGCAGATTATTCTATATTTTTAAAATAAAGCCCAAGTTTCCTTAGTCCTCTAAAATATCAATTTTTTCTAAAGAAATTCCTTTGCCTTTATTTTAGTTAATAAAAGAAAAAAATAATAAAATTAATTTACAGGGTTACCACAAAAATTTAATTTTCTTTTTCCCTGATTTCTAGATAAAAATATGACTTTTTCCCTGACCCTGAAGAATATTCTGATTCACTTCAAAAAATTATTAGATCCTCAAAAAAATGTTCTATTACATTTATTTACAAATTTCTTTAGTTGTAAAATTATTCGAAAACATCAATAACTTCTATTCTAAATGAATATTTAATTATTATTATTTTTCTATAGGAATTAAGATTCTCAAATACAAACCTTCTGAAATTCAATAACTTATGAGAATATTATTATAAAACACGAAGAAACCGACCACTCACACCCTTTTCTAAAATTCAATTATTTCTAAAAATTCACGCTATAATTAATATTCAAATTATAATTTTAAATTTTAAGTAAATTATTTAATCAATTTTTATAAAAAAATTTTTAGAGAATTCAATTATTTAAATACAAAAATAAATAATTTGAATATTTTTAAAATTGATTTTTATAAAAAAATTTTTAGAGAATTCAATTATTTAAATACAAAAATAAATAATTTGAATATTTTTAAAATTGAATTTTTATGAAGAATTTTATCAAAATTTTTAAAAATAATTGAATTCTTTCGGTGAATTTAAAAAAAATAATTTAAGAATAAATGCAATTTTCTATCATTATATTTAAAATTGTATAAAAAATAATTTAAATTCTGCCATAAGCTTTTGTCATTTATGAAAATAATTGAATTCTTGCAACGAATTTTATTTGTGAAAATATAATTGAAGTCCAAAGAAAAATATTATTATTTATGAAAATAATTAATTTCTTGTAAAGAATTTTATTCAAATTTTTTAAAATAATAATTGAATTTTTCAGAATTTTTTAAAAATTTTGCAAAATAATTAAAATCCATCGAGAAATTTCATTAAAAAAAATTGAAATTAATTGAAATCTGTCGAAGAATTTTATTAAAATTTTTTTAAATAATTGAATTCCTGTGAAAATGTTTATTTTTGAAAAGAATTGAATTCTTGGGAAGAATTTTATTAAAATTCTTTCGAAAATTCAATTATTTCTAACAATTTACGCTATAATGCTTTTAATATTCAATTATAATTTAAAATTTTAAGTTGAATTCATTTTTTAATCAATTTTTTATAGAAAATTTTTCGTGAATTCAATTATTTTAATACAAAAATTAATAATTTATTAAATAATTAAATATTTTTTAAAACTGAATTTTTATGAAGAATTTTATCAAAATTTTTAAAAATAATTGAATTCTTTTGGTGAATTTAAAAAAAAATTTAGAATATATGCAATTTTCTATCATTTTATTTAAAATTGTAAAAAAATGATTTAAATTCTGCGATAAGTTTTGTTATTTATGAAACTAATTGAATTCTTGCAAGAAATTTTATTAAAAAATTTTTTAAAGAATTGAATTCCAGTAAAGAATTTTATTTGTGGAAATAATTGAATTCCGCACGCAGAGAAATGGTTTTTGAAAACCAAGTTAAAAACGCTATTTCACATAGTAAAATATCGAATCGTTATGAGATATAATTAAAAAAACTACCAGTTCTAATATTAAGTACTATTTCATGATTAATAGTGCTATTTGTACATAGTAGAAATTACCATTTTTTAAAAATGGTATCTTGAATTATTTTACATAGTTTTTTTAACTATGACGCGTTAGATGTTTTGCAAAGTGTGTAGTTATTTCAGTTAATGCTTTAAAGTATCTTTTACTAAAGTATACAAAGTATGGAATATTATTTTAAATACATCAAATACAATTTAAGAAAAGGAGAAAATATTATTTACAATACGGCAATTATGATGCTAGTCAGTCAAAATAGTATCTTACATAACGAAAACTCTCCATTAAAAAGTGTTTTATAACATTAATGCATATTATTTTATGCCATTAGAAATAACTAAAAATGTGTATTTATAATAGCAGTAAGTTCTACTTGTTGTAGGAGTTTATACTATTTCACATAGTAAAGAAATCAAGGAGAAAAATTGCTTCTTAACGTCTGAATATAATAGCTGCAAGACCCTTGCGCTATGAGTGGACCGTACTATTTCACATAGTAAAAGATCTTTTACTATGTGAAATAGTACGGTCCACTCATAGCGCATGGGTCTAAGACCTACTAAACCAAGTTAACGCACTGATTCAATGAATAACTGAAATTCTTTTTTTACATGGTGGACATTACCATTTTACACTGTGAAATTACATGTGTTCACAACACAGTACATTTTTTTTGTAATAGAAATGGCCATCAGCATCGTTTTTAGTTCTAAAAATAGACTTTCTGTATACCAACGTGTACTGTATACATTCAGTCGTCTCTGAAAACTCTAAACTTAAAGACGTTATTCGTAAAATTATTTTAAATTAAAATTTTTATTATTTAAATTTAATAAAACATGCATAAAAAATTAAAAAGTGAAATAAATGTTTAAACTTTTCGCGAAAAAATCGTTATTTTAAGTACTTTTTGATTTATACATGAACATATATATAGTATAGTGTTGAATGTTGGCGTCATGACGCCAAAAATGTCCTGAAATACTAAAGGCGCTATCGAATTTAAGGTAAATATTTAAAAATTATAGTACTATTAAATTAGTTAATATTTAATTAATTAATTAAAGTTACACAAATTAACACTGCTTTCTGAACATGTAACTTGGAACTATTAGTATGTCTGTATACAGGATATTTGAATATTCTATATATATTTTATTTAATAAATGCTGACTTTATTTAATTTTACAGACGCTCAAGATGCAGTGCTTTTACACCTTTTGTCTACCATGATCACACCAACACAGATGAAGTACGGATCAACAAACGAAAAGCGAAAAACTAACCAAGGTGCAGCAGTTTAGTTTGGAAAAAGTTTATAAATGGTACAGTTAGTCATTTGAAAACATTGAATACATTGCTAAAAAGTGAATTTAATTTTTAAGATGACGTCAGTTTTTTCGTAAAAAAATGAGCAATTTGAAATTGTGTAATTATAAGCGCAAGACTACAAATTGAAACCATTATAATTAAGTGTATTCATTATTTTAAACTTTTGCTGTGTATATATTTATTTTAGATTAATAAAAATTATTATTGATGATTTAAATTAAAAATTTTACTTTTAATTTATTAAAACTTTTGTTTCTAGCAATTTCAGTTATTCCACAAAATTACAATCCTTATTTAAAATAGTTAAAATTTCCATGAATTAGTGAAATTTGACTGAGAATCAGTGACTCTATTCTCGCGATTTGAATCAGTGAAATTTCACTGAAGATCAGTTAAAAATGATTGAAATTTCAGTCATTTTTCACTGATTGGCCAATTAAAAAATATCTGAAATTTTCAATATGTGTGACATAAATTTTCAGTAGTTTTTTAATTGTCGAATCAGTAGAAAATGACTGAAATTTCAGTTATTTTTAACGGATTTTCAGTGAAATTCGACTGAATTGTCTGAAGACAATTTTACATTATGTTCAAAGTCATTTAGCACTAGCGTCGTGCACTATTAAAATAGTGGAGTTTACCATGTGGTTCATCGCGCAGTCATTCATTTAAAATAGTGGAGATTACCATGAGGCATAGCGCGCTAGTCTTTCTCTCATAGTGGAGTTTACCATGATGCATAGCGCGCTAGCCTTTCTCTCATAGTAGGTTCAAGTATTTGGAATTGTTATATTTTCTAGGCGGAAAAGTTACCTTTACTATTTAACCAAGTTCCAAAAATATTTACATAGTTGGAACTAATATAATTAATAATATCAAATACTTTGATACCATAGTACAAAATACTCAATAAAATATTACACTTTACGATTAACTCGATGTGTCACGAAAATACTATGTGAAATAGTTTCAGCTTCTATTTTTAATAGTAATTTTAACTGAAAATTTTTCTCCGTGCGGAAAAAATATTATTTATGAAAGTAATTATTTTCTTGCAAAGAATTTCATTCAAATTTTTTTAAATAATTGAATTTCTCAGAATTTAAAAAAAAAATTTTTTAAATAATTAAATTCCATCGAGAAGTTTCATGAAAAAAATGGAAAATAATTGAAATATGAATAAGAAGAATTTTATTCAAATTTTTTTTTTAATAATTGAATTCCTGTGAAAATGTTTATTTTTGAAAAGAATTGAATTCTTGGGAAGAATTTTATTAACATTTCTTAAATAATTGAATTGCTTCGAAGAATTTTATTTTTTACGAAAATAATTGAATTGTTTTCAAGACTTTTATAAACATTTTCGAGAATAACTGTATTCTTAGGAAGAATGTTATATTTTACGAAAATAATTGTACCTATTGTATGATCAATTTTATTATAATTTTTCAAATTTATAAAGCATTTTATTGTAAAAATTTTTAAAATAATTGAATTTTCGAGAAAAATTTTATTATTTTTGAAAATAATTAATTTCTTGCGAAGAATTCTTTATTCAAATACAAATAAATAAAGATTCACAATTTTCAAATTTATTCAATTTTTTTTTAAATAACTGAATTCCCATAAAAAAATGTATTATTTGTGAAAATAAATGAATTCTTGCAACGAATTTTTTAAAAAAATTTTTTAAAGAATTCAATTCTTGTAAAAAATTTCATTTGTAAAGATAATTGAATTCTGAAAAAAATATTATTATTCATGAAAATAATTAATTTCTTGCGAAGAATTTTATTCAAATTTTTTTAAATAATTGAATTTCTCAGAATTTGATAAAACTTTTTGAAAATAATTAAATTTCGTCAAGAAATTTCATTAAAAAAATGAAAATAATTGAAATCTGGCGAAGAATTTAATTAATTTTTTTTAAATAATTGAATTTCTGTGAAATATTTATTAAAATGTTGTTTAAATAATTAAATTCTTTTGGAAAATTTTATTAAAATAGTAGATATTAAAAATAATTGAAATAATGTCTAAGTAATAATTTTTTTATAGTTCTTGAAGAATTAAGTTATTTAAAAATAAATTGTTGTCAAAAATAGAAAAAATTGAAGGTTTTGTATTAGAATTCTTGACAATTTCATAGTTTATGAGGCAAACAAAAAAGACTCTAAAATTCAGAATTTTCTTATAAATTATAAAAATTTAATTTTTTCCAGTACTTTTAATAAAAATCCCTGACTTTTGCCCTCGCTTTTCTCTAATTCCCTTGACAAATTCTAATTTCCCTGACTTTTCCATGAATTCCCTGACCTGTGGCAACCCTGGTTTCAGATTTTTAAGTGTATTTAGTAAGATTAAATATTTTTTTCTCGAATAAGTCATTGTTTTTATTCAATATTTTGTTAATTATTTAATTATATTTTTTCGATATTTCAAACTTAAAGAATTTATGAAAATTTTGACTCACCACAATGTAGATCATCTTAATGAAAAAGCACGTTTTTACGTTTTAACATTTATACCCAATGTCACATTCTATTGAGTATAACCTTGATTTTTATCAATAATAAAAAACAAAAAGTTTTTGAACTTATGAACATTTTGTTTCCTCACGGAGGGAGCAGATGAATTCCATATCTCATCACAGATATTTTCATGATCTATTGGGATTCGGTTAATACTCGTTGTGTTAATACTTCTTTTCAGAAAGACATATATAATATAAAAACAAATGACAATCACAAACAGCACGACGCTGTTTGTTTAAATATTTTATATTACCTATATTAAATTAAATATTAATTAAAATTATTTAAATACAAAAAGTAAATAATTTATTAAAAATGGAATGTTTTTTAAAATTGAACTCTCATTTAAAGAATTTTATCAACAAATTTTTAAATAGGTAATTAAAATTCCTTTGACGAATTTCAATAAAATTTTTAAGAATAATTTCATTTTTCGTGAAATTAGATTAAAATTATATTAAAAATAATTGAACCACTGTAAAAAAAATTTGATTGAATTGAGAAAAGTTTTTTAAAATAATTGAAATTTTCGCCAATAATTTTATTAAATTTTATTGAAAATAATTAAATTTTGAAGAAAAATGTTATTATTCATAAAGATAATTGAAATTTTGACAAGAATTTTTTTTTAAACTTTTGACCATAATTTAATATCTGCGAAGAATTTTATTACTTCTAAAAATAATTGAATTATTGAGACGAATTTTATTAAAATTTCTTTTTAAATAATTGAATTCTTTTGTGAAATTTTATTTAAATGGTAGACATTGAAAATAATTGAATTTTGACAAATTTTTGAAATTTATTAAATTTCTTCAAAGAATTTTATGAAAATTATTTTGAAAAAAATTGTATTGTTACAAAGAATTTCATTATCTACTGAAATAATTCAATTTTTTGATGAAATTTAATTAAAAATGTATTAAAAATAATTGATTTTATTATTAAAAATATTTGATTAGTTTTATTATTTATGAAAGTAATTGAATTCCTAAAAAAGAATTTTATTATTTACAAAAATAATTAAGGGGGTAGATGCCATCTACCATTGACTATTTTTACAATCTTTTTAAGAAACAAGTTCGACGCTGTAGAATTTCTTTTCTTTCAAAATGGTTTCCACGATCAATTTAATTAAAAATGATTAAATTGATTTGCCGATTATATATAAAAAAATATATAAACTTGAAATTAATTCAATGATTTTGAATCTTTCTTTCCCTCATTCCACTTTATTTAAATTTGATCGTTCTCATTATCATCAGGGAAGTACAAAGTTCTACAAACTTGAGTTATCGGTATGTCAGAAATTGGCGGTATGCCACCAGTGGTAGTTTTGCATTCCAAAACAGAATATTTATCAGTGATTGTCCTTATATCATCAATATCTGGAGTAAGTAACATATTAATCGCAGGATAAATAACAAATCCAAATAGTAAAATTGCAAATATTGCCCAAACGGGAATAGCAACTGCCCAATATTTTGAAGGCCAATAAGTCAAACCTAAATAATCATTTAAAAACTCTTCGGGAACAAATGCCCAAATTAAATAAAGTAAAATTAATAAATTTGAACTTATATATAATGCATATCCATAAACTGATCTCGGTGCATAAGGAGCCGGCGTATGTTCAGCCATTTTATAAATTGATTATAAATTATTTTTACATTGTTAATAATCATTCGGTTTGAATTGTATAATTGTATCTAAAACAAGAAGTAGACTATCAAAATATGATGTTAATGCTGTTCGCAATTTGCTTGCCTTTTGTCCAGTAAATGTTCTGTAAATAAACATTTATTTCAGTTAAACTTGTGAATAGAATTCTAATTTTACTTAATTTTCATTTCAATTTTATCACTTCGAAAATATTTCATTTATATTATCTTGAGAATACAGGGCTCGAACCAGTGAAAGTATTTAAAAATACGGAATTTACGGACCAAAAATAAAAAATTACGGAACAATTACTGCCAAAAATATTATAACCAGTCCAATTATTATTTTTAGGAATTTTTAAATAAAATTCTTCTTTAAATCGATTATTTTTAATAATTTTTGCAAAAGTTCTTTGACAATTTTTAAATCCATTTGTTTACAATATTCAATTATTTCTAAAAATTCACGCTATAATGATTTTAATATTCAATTATTATCTAAAATTTTAACTGAAATTCATTTTTAAATCAATTTTTTTAAAGAATATTTAAAAAAAGAAGAATTCTTTTTAAAGAATATTAAAGTAAGAATACAAGAATTCAATTATTTAAATACAAAAATAAATAATTTATTGAGTAATTGAATATTTCTTAAAATTTAATTCCAATAAAGAATTTTATCAACTAATTTTTAAATAATTTAATTCTCTTGACAAATTTTAATAAAATTTCTAAGAATAATTTCATTTTACGAGAAATTTGATGAAAATTGTATTAAAAATAATTGAAATTCTACAAAGAATTTTATTATAATTTTTTAAAATAATTGAATTTCTGCAATAACTTGTAACTTTTCCAAAATAAACTATTTTTTCGTGTTTTTAACTAAAATTCTTTAATAATCCATTATTTTTAATAATTTTTGAAAAAGTTCTTTGAGAATCCTTTTAATGTTGAATTATAATCTAAAATTTTAAGTGAAATTTATTTTTAAATTTATTTTTATTAGAAAATACTACGAGAATTCAATTATTTACTTATTTCTTTATTTTACAATTACATATTTAAATACCTACAAAGAAAAAACAATTTATTGAAGAATTGAATGTTTTTTAAAATTTAATTCTCATAAAGAATTTTATCAACAAATTTTTAAATAATTGCAGAATTCTTTTGACGAATTTTAATATAATTTTTAAGAATAATTACATTTTTCGTGGAATTCGATTAAAATTGTATTAAAAATAATTGAAATTCAGAATTGAGTTTTATTATTTACGAAAAGAATTGAATTCCTGTAAAAATTTTATTATTTACGAAAATAATTGAATTCCTGTAAAAATTTTATTATTTATGAAAATAATTTAATGATTGCGAAGAAATTTATAAAAAAAATTTGTAAATTATTGAATTCCTGTGAAATTTTTATTATTTTATGAAAATAATTAAAGGTTTTGCGTTGAAGTTTATTACATTTTTTCTCAATAATTGAATTCTTTTCGAAAAGTTTATTAAAATAGTAGATATTAAAAATCATTGAATTCAGGAAAAATTTTGAAAAAATAATTGAAATTTTCGCCAAGAATTCTATTATTTCTAAAGAAAATTGAAATTTTGTCGAGAATTTTAAAATTCTTGAACTGACTTTTACGGACCTTTGCGGAATTTACGGACCTAGTTCGAGCGGTTCGAACCATGTGAGAATAAAAAATTATATTTTATTAAAAAATTTTATCACTTTTTTAGAGAAACAACTTACGCTTCTACAGAATTATCGTTGACACTCAAAATTCTTGTAGTACCACTTCTTCGAGGCCCTTTATCAACACTTATAACATCATAAATTATTTTTGCATCAGTGACTGTAGGAAATGATGTTGATACTTTTCTGTCAAATTATATTTTTATAATTATTCAACAAACGAAACTTCATGTAATTAATTAATGAATATAAAGTTAAATTAAAATTTATACATTTGATACTTGTCACTCATGTCGTTTCTTGTCTCAAGTATTACAAAAACACTTGAAAATCTTTTTGTCACAGCAATTCCAATTGAATTTTCTTTTTAATATGAATCTTTTACATTAATTCTATAAAAAAAAATGTGAAAACTTGATATATACTTAAAACTTTAAAAAAGATATATTACTCATATTACTCAAGCAAACAGACACCGCATATATTAATAGGTTATGTTTTTTTGTTGATTAAGGGCGAAGTCCCATGGCACCGTTTTGCGTTGCGTTTTGTAACTAGGCCATGAGTGTGAGAGAGATGAAGATATAGGTTCGCTATATTTGCACTCATGGCCTAGTTACAAAACGCAACGCAAAACGCTGCCATGGGACTCCAGCCTAAAGGCGCGATTTAAATTAGAGAGAGACGCATGCTTTTTCCTAAAGGTCAACGCACAACTTCTACGCGAATGCAAAGCATGCGTTAGAAAAGGAGAGAGATATATTTGTGTCCTTTTCTTTCTCATAAATCTCGTTTGCGAACAACAAGTGTTCTTAAATTCTCAAGAATTTAAGTTGGGGTAATTTCACCAAGGAAATTACGGTAATTTAATTTTTTTAAGAGAATATTGAGAATTTAAGTTTATTTATTTAAATAATGTATATTTATTATTTTTATTAATATAAATACATATATTTTAGCACAATTGCGATGATTACTTTTACCTAAAAGCTCTGCTGCGAGTGTAAGAGAGAAATAAAATGTAATTTGAATTTTCTGACTCTCTTACTCGTATGTGTTACCATGACAACCTGCAGGCAGTAGAGCTGTGCAAGTACCTTTAATATATAGCATTTGTGCTCATATTCTTGTGATTTTTGTTTACAAAATTCACAGAAGAATTTAATTGTTTTTGTGTTTTTGTATTCAATGCTTTTAAAATATTTCCATTTTACACTCTTTGGTTTTGTCATTTTTTAAATCTTTAAATATATAGCCACTATAATAAACAAAATAACAATTACTAAATAAAAACACAACGTTGGACAATCGAATTTACCGCGTTTACCAAAGTGCAATGACAAAAGTGAGGTTATGTTACATTCTCAGAAATTCTGGAACTTCTGGAAGAATTTAATCGTTGGTAATATTCTCTCGGTAATATAACCGACTTTAGAACACTGCATACCATAAATAAAAGAGCGAATTGCAAAATCAATCAACAATCAGTAAAGTCATAACAAGAACGCGTTTATCACTTAAGAAATTTGTGTCATTTAAACAAGAATTTTCTGTAAAGTGCTTTGTAAAAAATGGGTCGAAGAAAAAGTAAAAGAAAGCCACCACCAAAGAGAAAAGCAATTGAACCTTTAGACACACAATTTAACTGTCCATTTTGTAATCATGAGAAATCCTGTGATGTAAAAATGTAAGTTTTTATTTACCAAGTTTTATTTATATTTAACTTATTTTTCATTATTATTTATCCATTTTTTTAATATGTTTTAGGGATAAATCGCGAAATACAGCTCGAATATCATGTCGAGTTTGCTCGGAGGATTTCCAGACAACTATAAATTTGTTATCTGAACCATTGGATGTTTATAATGATTGGATTGATGCTTGTGAATCAGCGAATTGATTTTTTAATTTTGCACGTGGGATAAATTTAAAAATAACGTCTGTGAATGTATTGTAATTAAACAACGTTGAACTGTCATTATACAATCGATATGATTTAACAAAACATTTTTGTATGTTTTTCATTGTTTTGTTTTGTTGGTTTCTTTTTTGAAAAATAAATGGCTAATTCTTTAATAATTAATTATTTGAAAATAAAATGTTTTAATTAAAGACTTTGTTCCACTTTGTTCTGTTCAAGTTTTTATATATATGTAAACAATTCATAAATGTCATAAATTGACAATTTAACCTCAAAATGTCAACAGAGGAGGAACGGGAGGAACGAAATATTTTAAAATTATTGTCAGCTTGAAACTTTTAAAATAAAATCAATAAAATGAATTATTCTTTATATTGATTCACTTTAATATTTATTATGAGAGTAGGATGGAAAAAAAAATATTTATTTTCATATTAAAATTGAAGAACCGGATAGCGGAAGTGCGTAACTCGAGTGGTATAAAGAAAAACAAAATGGCGAGCGTCTGTCCGGGGTACACTCAGTGGTAAAAGTTTGACTAAAAAAATGCCGCGGAAAGTGAGAATCATTTAGTTATGCGAGCAATTATACAAGTATTTTGATTGTGTTTCAATTCTACAATAGGTTTAAATAATTTCGAGAATAAAGGAGTGTTGCTATGGAGGAAATAGAACTTTTCTTATAATTCTTTTTTTGAAGGGAAGTAAGTCACTTGTGATGCTTGTGATTTTCAGACATTGGTGCGGATCGTCGCGGCGAACCAACGACGCTATGGCGTCCGTCGTGTATGCGTGTCATTACATTTAATTTTTAATTAATATTTGAGCATTAAAATTAACGTTGTCACAATTAATTAATTTTTACAAATTATTCAATTCTTCTGAAATAATATAGATCATTTTCACAAAACTTTGTGCTTTTAATACGTGCCGGATGTGTTTGATGGAAAAACAAAGTTTGTGTCTGCTTCTACTCTCTACCCTATATATTCTATCCCCCAATTGACAGATCCCACCCCGATTTAATTAAAGGACGATGTACTTGATATCACTAATTGGACTTGAAATTTTAATATTGAACTCATTTTCTGGTGATGAAATGTATTCCCGAAGTGATCCTTGAAATACAATAATACTCAAGTGTGTTTGGTGCTTCTTAACTTTAGCAATTTACATATATTCGTATTTCTACCCTAATACACAGAATCGTCTCATCCATCGAAAGATCATTCGAGAATTGTGTTCACTTTATCCATTATTGTGGCACTAAATTTTTATCCAAGGCTCTGTTGCTTTATCACAATTTTAGGAATTAAAAAGTTTTCTCAACCATTTAAGCAGGTATTTATGCATTTCGTTATTTTTGTCAAGGAAGAAGAAATTATTTTTCTTTTAGAATTTACATTTTTTTAAAAATACACTTGTTTATTAAATATAATTGACATTATTAAAGATTGTTGTTGTTGTCGTTGTCGTTGTCGCTGTTGTCAGGTCGTAATTTTTTTTTAAATTTATATTTGTTCCTTTTTATTACCGTCATTTAGTATTAATTTTTGATTTAGACAAATTGAATAATTTGATATTTATTTAGATAATAATTTTATTAAAAATTATTTTAGTTTCAACTATCGCCATAGTTTCAACAGTGATTAAGTCATTCACCTCTGGAATTATGCTCTAAAAAAATATCAAGAGTTTATTCCTTTATTTTAAGTCATTATAGAGAAAAGATGTATTTTTTATTCTTGTGGCCCATAGGCCACAAGAATAAAAAGAAAATAAAAAGAAAATAAAATTCTTCTAATTAACTGTATATTCACACAACAAAATTTTATTTCAGCTAATAATTAATTAGCTGACACCTGAGAAATCCAGATGATCTGATTTTATCCAACTTGATCAACTGACCGAGGAAAAAAAAATATTTTCAGTTATGTAATTTTTGTTTGATGAAGAAGCATTTTATAATAAGAGAGTAAAAATGTCCAATAGTTTGGATAGTTTTTTGACTAGAATTGGGGATGTGACGATTGAGAGAGTTACACCCCGTGGCACAGCTCGAATTCCCGAGCAAAATTTAATCCCACCTGAAACGTCAATGAGTGTGAATTTAACACCAATTGGACCACCTCGTCGTCTTCATGACGAGAGTTCCGATGATTCCAGTGGCGAATTATCTGACGGCGATATTGAAAAGAAAAATCGACAACTTCATCTTGATGAAATGGATGATATGCATGCAGAGTGTTCAGCGGACGATATGGATTTAGATGAAACAATTGATTCTCAAATTGGTGTTAGAATGGACTCGGAGAGGCAGCATAGAGGTTCGTCGCCCTTGGATGACGACGAAATTGACGACGATGACGACGATGTTGATGGTGTCAATATTTTGGATACCCTCCCTTTGGAAGGTTAGACATATTTTTATTATAAAGTTCAAATATTGAACAGGGTGTCTAAAAAAGCTGGAAATCCGGGAAATTGTTGGAATTTATTTCATCATGACTTGAAATACTCTTGAACAATATTTTTAATATATTTTTAATTCTTCTCTGAAATTCAACTATTTTTAAAAATATTAATAAAATTCTTGACAAAATTTCAATTATGTATTTTCAAAAGTTTTCTCAAATTCAATAACTTTCAATATCTACTATTTTAATAAAATTTTCCAAAAGAATTCCATTATTAACAAAAAATTTTGAATAAAATTCTACGCAAACATTCATTTATTTTCATAAATAATTTAAAAAAATTTCAGGAATTAAATTCTTTACAAATTTTTTATAAATTCAATTATTTTCACAAATAATAACATTTTTACAGGAATTCAATTATTTTTACTAATAATAAAACTCATCGCAGAATATCAATTATTTTTCATATAATTTTAATTGAATTCCTTTTGAAAAAAGTAATTATTTTCATGCAAGTTTTAATAAAATTCGACAAAAGAATTCAATTATTTAAAAATTTGTTGATAAAATTCTTTATGAGAATTCAATTTTGAGAAACATTCGCAATTATTTTCAAAAATTTTCCTCAATTCAACGATTTTCAATATCTACTATTTTCATAAAATTTTCCAAAAGAATTCAATTATTTAAAAAAAAAATTTAATAAAATTCTACACAAACTTTTAATTATTTTCAAAAAATAGTAAAAATTTCACAGGAATTTCATTATTTACAAATTTTTTTTAAAAATTTCTTCGCAATCATTCAATAATTATTTTCAGAAATAATAAAATTCTTTTTAGGAATTCAATTATTTTCAAAAATAATAAAATTTAATGCAGAATTTCAATTATTTTTAATACAATTTTAATCGAATTTCTCGAAAAAGTTATTTAAAATCTTATTAAAATTAGTCTAAAGAATTCAGTTATTTAAAAATTTATAGATAAAATTCTTGATGAGAATTCAATTTTAAGAAACATGGAATTATTCAATAAATTATTATTTTTGTATTTAAATAATTGAATTCTAAGAGAATTTTCTAATAAAAATTTATTTAAATATGAATTTCAGTTAAAAACAAGTAAATTTAAAAATTCTCAAAAAACTTTTTCATAAAATTATTAAAAACAATGGATTTATAGAAAAAATTTTAGTTAAAAACACTTAAAAAAGTTTAAATTTGGAGAAGTTAAAAATTATTGCGGAAATTCAATTATTTTCAAAAGTAATAAAATTCCTTCCAGAAATTCAATTATTTTCAAAAATAATGTAATTCTTTGCATAAATTCAATTATTTAATAATAAATAATAAAACTCATTGCAGAATTTCAATTATTTTTAATCCAATTTTAATCGAATTTCTCGAAAAATGTAATTATTCTTAAAAATTTTATTCAAATTCGTCGAAAGAATTCAATTATTTTAAAATTTGTTTATAAAATTCTTTATAAGAATTGAATTTTAAGAAACATTGAATCGTTCAATAAACTATTTATTTTTGTGTTTAAATAATTAAATTCTAGTAAATTTTCTAATAAAAATTGATTTAAAAATAAATTTCAGTTAAATTTTTAGATAATAATTGAATATTAAAAGCAATATAACGTGAATTTTTATAAATAATTAAATTTTGAAATTAATTTTTTTGAAAGAATTTAATTGGATTTTTTTAATATTATTTCAAGTTTTTATTTTCTAATATATATTTAATTGAAGAATTTACAAATAATTAAAATTCGTAAAATTGAATATTGTATACAAATGGATTTAAAAATTTTCAGAGAACTTCTTCGAAAATTATTTGATTTAAGGAAGAATTTTAGTTAATAATCTTGAAAATAAAAATTGAATTGAAATGATGAAAATAATTTTGAAGAAGTACAATATTCTTATAATATAAAATAATGATTTGATCAATTTTCAATCTTTATTTTTTTATTATAAAACATGAATTTAATTTATAGTTTTAAGTAAAATGTTCTTTTATTTGAATCGGACTGGTTATATTTTTGTCACTAATTGGTTCGTAAATGGTCCGTAATTTTTCATTTTTGGTCCGTAAAGTCCGTAGTTTTAATTATACTTTCATTGTAACTATTTATTAGTAAAATTTACTAATTCAAAAGCAAAAAGTCAGTCACTAATTGAAATTAGTAAATATTTTTAATAATTGAAATTTAGAGAGTATGCCCGAGCTGTATCACATTTTTAATTATTTTCAAATTTCGAAATATGTAATGGTTTTAAAATTATTTTTAGGTGCGCCTATTGAGGGTCAAGAGGTGACAGAGGCGGATCTTCTGGGGAAATCAATATCGAAAGAAATGGACGACGAGGATGAGATTGAGAAAAGCGAGACTCAATCGGGGGACGAAGATGGTCACAAAAGGCATGCAGATTCCGATGGTTCAGAATCAGCGATGAAAAAACAAAAGATAGATGACGACGATGTTGATGATGATGACGATTCGGCGTCCGAGTGCGAGACAAAAATGGAGAAGAAGTTGGCAAACATGAGGCGAAATATTCGTGAGGTCATGGACGAAACTCAACTTGACGAGGCAACATTGTCGGCTCAACGGCAAGAAATGGAACGTCTACGTCGTGTTCAGGAACAACAAAAAATTATACGTGAGGTACAACGTCAAATAGCAATTAATCGGCAAAATAGTAAAACCCAAACACGCGTTATCAGTCTCTTGCAAGGTAAACAAAATCAAGCAGGCACTACAATTTCACAATCTTCACCTTCGTCATCTCAGGTCCGTCTTCCTAGCACCGTTCTTCTCAAAGTGAATTCCGGTTCCGGTGCGGGCTCTCAATGTTCAAGTCAAACGCAATCTGGACAGATGAAGAGGCCCATGGACGGAATGAAGTGGCAGAAGGGTCGCGGCGCTCTCCCCGGTGTACAAACTTCAATTTCAAGAGTACCGAGCAAACAATCAAGCGGACCCAGCATGCTGCAACAGCGAATTCGAATGATGACCCCATCCGTAAGTATTTCTCCAGTGGTTCCCAAGAAGGAGCCCACTGACAGATCAGAGTATTATTCAGATTCCGATTTCTCCGACACGGAGGCGGATGAATTGTTGCGTGAGAAACAATTGCACACAATGAAGAAAATGACAACTGTACAGAAAGTGTCGAAACCAGCGAAAGGTAAGGATGTAGTGACGATATCGAGTTCGAGCGAGAGTTCAGACGATGATTGCATTGTATTGAGCGATCCAAGCGGAGGCGAGGAAACTGACAACGAAGACGATCCCGCAAATTCGGGAATGCACACCAATGATCGTTACAACGTTCCCGACGAACATGGCCGTGTGCTTATTAACGTCGGTCATCCGGAAATGGAACCCGACGTTTTCCTAGCGCCGCAAGTTGCGAGAATTATCAAACCCCATCAGATCGGTGGAATACGATTCCTCTTCGACAATATCGTCGAGAGTATCGACAGATACAAGACAAGTTCTGGTTTTGGTTGTATTCTCGCTCACAGTATGGGTTTAGGGAAGACACTTCAAGTCGCGAGTTTCTGCGATATTTTTTTTCGATGCACTACTGCGAGAACAGTTCTTTGCATTATGCCAATCAACACTCTACAGAATTGGTTAGCTGAATTCAACATGTGGTTGCCGTACGAAGATCCCGATGCACCAAAAGTGGAACCGGAGACAAGCGTTAAAACTGAACCTGGCACCGATGTCAAACCTGAAGTCAAGGAAGAGGGTGATCTGTCCGGTGCAACTGAAGCTACGAATCAATTATCCCAAGAAAATGCTAATATTTTGCATGACACGTTTCAAAATCAATATAATGCTCATAATGGATTTGGACCTGGTTTTGGACCCGATGGCATTATTAATAAAGGTGTGGAACAAACTTCTCTAAATCCTAACTTTCACACTAATATGAATCCAAGCACTTATGGAGCAAATTCTGTTCCGAATTTCCCTTCCATAAATCAACCAAATATTGGGGCGAATAGTTTCGGAATTAATAATCCAGGAAATATATATCCGAATCAAATGCAAACGCAAGTTTATCAGGGAATGGAAAATCGTCCGGGGCAAGTGTATCCTGGAATGGAGCCTCCGTCGGTGAATCCCATGAATCCTCCACCGAATCCTATAAATCCTATAAATTCAACGTTGAATTCTTCTATGAATCCTCCGGTTAATCTGGAAATGAATTCAATGTACAACTATGGGAATCCGGCCCAGTCGTACAGTTTTGATTCTAGTAAACAAGAAGCAAAGAATGAAAGTGATTTACAAATTAAAAAGGAATTGTCGGAACCGATTAAGAAAGATGAGGGGGCAGAGCCAGCAGATGCGAAGACAGAGAAAGTGAAAACACCATTTAATGTGGACGCTCCCGCTGGATTGGAAATAAGACCTCGACATTTTCGCCTTCACATTCTTAACGATTCGCACAAAACAATGACAGCCAGGTCGAAGGTGATAAAGGATTGGCAGAAAAATGGAGGTGTCCTACTAATTGGCTACGAATTGTACAGGCAATTATCGTTGAAGAAAGCAAATAAAGCGAAACGAAAACGGGGCCAACCTGTCAAGGACCCGGACATCGAGGAGGACGATAAGAATAAAGGACTATTGGACGAGATGCATACTGCGCTAGTGAATCCTGGACCGGATTTAGTAATTTGTGACGAAGGACACAGGATCAAGAATTCCCACGCGAGTATCAGTTTAGCCTTGAAACAAATGCGAACAAAGCGTCGAATTGTTTTGACCGGCTATCCGTTGCAAAATAATTTATTGGAATATTGGTGCATGGTCGACTTTGTGAGACCAAATTATTTAGGTACCAAGGCTGAATTTTGCAATATGTTTGAGAGGCCCATTCAAAATGGTCAGTGCATTGACTCAACTCCTCAAGACATTCGATTGATGAGATATCGAGCTCACGTTCTACACGCACTTCTCGAAGGTTTCGTTCAAAGAAGATCTCATTCCGTTCTGCAGATATCATTGCCAAGAAAGGAAGAATACATTCTCCTTGTTAGGATGACACCACATCAACGTAAACTTTACGACACTTTCATGAATCAAGTGGTAAAGACTCGAGCTGTTCCCAATCCCTTGAAAGCTTTTGCAGTCTGTTGCAAAATTTGGAATCATCCCGACGTTCTCTATCATTTTCTACGCAAACGACAAGCCAACGAAGAGGACGATCTCGACTTGGAAGAGACAATTGGCGAAAAAACTCCTCCCGGAGGTGTTAAGCGATCGAAAGCTCGTCAACCAAAGGGCGAAGGTAAAAAGGGAAAGAAAACACTCAAGAATAAACCCGCTGCCAGTGTTCAACCGAATTTATCATCAACAACAAATAACGAAACCGTCGAAGGAGGTGACGTTAGTAATAATTCTACAAAGTCTACATTGACAAATTTCCCAGCACAAAAAACTTCCTCGCCACCATTTACAAACGTAAATTCATCAAACTCGTATCCCTATCAGAATTATCAGCAAAATGATCAGAACAACTATTACCGAAATGATAATTCACAAAATGAATTCACCGACTTTTACAATAATCAAGATCAACAAAGATTTGGAAATCAAAATTTCCAACAATATCCACAAGGCACTCCCGGCTACAATAACAACTCCAATCAAACCTATCCAAATCAACAAAATTACATTCAAGGCAACGATCAATCAACAAATCGAACTCAACGATTCCCCGCTCCGGCTAATCCCGAATTTCGTTCCGAACAAAATCAGGGAAATAATTTCGAACCATCTGGCATTTATCCAAGACAAAATTATCCTTATCAAGATCAAGGCCGAAACTATCCCACTATCAATCAAGACCAAAATTATCCTCAAGTACAAAATCAAAATTCAACGTTCCCCCCACATTTACCCAATCAAACACCAATGTCCGATTATTCATCATTTCCAACAGCAAATCCGAATCAAAATTACCCCTCCGGATCACAACCTAATACAAATTATCCAAGAAATGAGAATCAATCGACCACCCTCAATTATGGGGGGAATCAACCATCAGCACCTACCAACACTTCCGGCAATCCACCATTCGGACAAAATCAACAAAATCAATCGCGACCCTATCAACAAAATCAGAATTTAGGATCTCATTATACACAAAATATGGTTCCAAATTCACCGTCAATGTCACCAGCACTCGGCTTCACTGCAACTCAACAAACGGGCAATTTCGTTCCACCCTCAACGAGTCAAATTCATTACGGACAAAATACAAATCAGGAAATTAATCAAAATCAAAGAATGGGAAATCAGGGAATACAAAATCCATCAATCGCTTCAAATTCAAATCAAGGACATCAGGGAATACAAAATCCAGCAATCGCTTCAAATTCAAATCAAGGAATGGGACAAAATTCCTATTCGAATAATCAGGGGAATGGGCAACAAAATCATGGCTATCAGAATCCAATACAACAACAAAGACCCACATCGACGAATGTTGGATACCCGACCCAATCTGGACCTGTTTCGGGACAAATGCAAGGACATAGATATCCACTAAATCAAGGATCGAATATTTATCCTGCAAGTCAACAAACGTCGCAGAATAGTCAGATGTATGGATCAGGCACCGATAGACAGAATCAAAATTTCGTTTCTACATCAGGTAGTTGTCAAACCTCGACTTCAAGCGCAAATCCAGACTATCAAGCGCAAAATCAATCACGTCCCTCTTCGTCCACGGTCTTGGGGAATTATTCCGACAACAATCCGAATCAAGGTTCACAATTTAAAAACTCGAATGATCCATTCTGGCAGCAGAATTATTCGCAAACTATGAGACAAGAGCAGTGTAATGACAGCAACTATTTCCGTGAACCGAATAATGTCAATCGGTTCCAAAATAATTATTTACCACAGCAGAATTATCAGAATCAATCGTTTGAATATTCTGGAGGTCGTGTTGGTGATGGTAATCAAAGGGGCGATGATTCAAAATCAACGCATGGAAATAGTGGCATTCATGGTCAGGGTGGAAAGGATACGATGAATAGTATTGGAGTGCAGAGTCAACCGTTATTACCTTCGAACAATGCAAGCGGTAGGGGTGCTTTTAGTGCACCAATGAATCCAGTGGATGCATTGAAGGATGATGAGAAGGAGAAAGAAGAGACTATTGAGAAGGAAAAGGAGGAGAAGTCGGATGATGAAAATCTTACCAAAGACGAGGAGAAGGATGTTAAATGTTCACCCTCTGGAAAAGAGGATCCTGGAATACCGTATGATTGGGTAAGTTTTTTTTTTTTATTTTCTAAATTCCAATTTCAGGGTTGGCACGCAATCTGGAAAAGTCGGGGAATTTTGATCGAAATCCGGGAAAATTGTTGTTTTCTAAAGTTATTGTGTTTACAGGGTTGTCACAGGTCAGGGAATTCGGGGAAAAGTCAGGGAAAGTAGAATTGGTCAGGAAAATAAGGGATTTTTATGAGAAGTAATGGAAAAAATTAAATTTGCAGGATTCATAATTAATTTCATTTTATTTTTTAATATTTAATTAATTATTAGAAATCATGGATCTATAGAAGAATTTTAGTTAAAAACACTAAAAAAAATTTGTATTTTAAAGAAGTTAGAAGTGATTGTCAAAAATCAATTTTGTTCAAAAATTTTAAAAAATTCTTGTCAAAATTTCAATTATCATTAAAAATAATAAAATTTTTCTTCAAAATTCAATTATTTTTATAAATAATAAACAGTTCACAGAAATTCAACAACTTACAAATTTTTTATAAATTTTTTCGCAATAATTCAATTATTTTCATAAATAATAACATTTTTTACCTAAAATTCAATTATTTTCATGAATATTAAAACTCATCATAGAATTTCAATTATTTTTAATAAAATTTTCATCAAATTTCTCGAAAAATGAAATTATTTTTACAAATTTTAATAAATTTTGTCAAGAGAATTCAATTATTTAAACATTTGTTGATAAAATTCTTTATGAAGATTCAATATAAAGAAACATTCAATTATTCAATAAATTGTTTATTTTTGTATTTAAATAATTGAATTCTCGTTGAATTTTCTAATAAAAATTTATTTAAAAATGAACATGTTTGCCACAGATCAGGGAAATCGGGTAATTCAGGGAAAAGTTAAGGAAAGTAGAATTGATCAGGGAAATCAAGGAAAAATCAGGGATTTTTATTAAAAGTACTGGAAAAAATTAAATTTTTGAAATTCATAAGAAAATTCTGATTTTTGAGAGTCTTTTTTGTTTTCAATAATTTCAATAATTTTCACTATTCACTATTTTCATAAAATTTATCAAAAAATTAAATTATTAAAAAAAATTTTTGATACAATTCTACGAAAACGTTCAATTATTTTCATGAATGATAAAATTTCATTTAGGAATTCAATTATTTTCACAACACAATTTTAAATATTTTTAATACAATTTTAAATAAATTCCTCAAAAAATGCAGTTACTCTTAAAATTCTGCAAAAGAATTCAATTATCTTGTTAAACAACAAAATTCTCCCCATAAAATCAATTATTGAAAGGAATTTTAATAAAATTCTTTTCCAAAATTCAATTATTTTGATAAATATCAAAATTCTTCTCCAGAATTCAATTATTGTCAAAAATTTTAATTAAATTCTTGGCAAAATTCCAATTATTTAAAGAAAATTTAATAAAATACTTTGTACGACTTCAATTATTTTTATATAGCAAAATTTTTCGCCAAAAATTCAATTATTTTCAAAAATTTAAATAAAATTCTTTGCAAAATTTCAATTATTTTCAAAAATATCAAAATTTATCACAAAAATTAAATTTTTCTTGAAAAGTAATAAAATACTTTGCAGAAATTAAATTATTTTCAAAATTTTTTGAAAATTCTTTTCAATAATTAAATTATCTTTATAAATTGGTAGTGAAATTCTTCTCAAGAATTAAATTATTGTCAAAAATTAAAAAAAAACTTCTTGTTAAAATTTCAATTATTTAAACAAAATTTAATAAAATTCATCGCATGAATTCAACTATTTTTATAAATTATTAGTTAAATTCTTCTCAGGAATTCAATTATTTTTAAAAAAATTTTATAAAATTCGTGGCTGAATTTCAATTATTTTTAATACAATTTTCATCAAATTTCTCGAAAAATGAAATTATTCTTAAAAATTTTATTAAAATTCGTCGAAAGAATTCAACTATTTAAAAATTTGGAGATAAGATTCTTTATAGGAATTGAATTTTTAAGAAACATTTAATTATTTAATAAAAAAAATTATTTTTGTAGTTAAATAATTGAATTCTCGTAGAATTTTCTAATAAATATTGATTTAAAAATGAATTTCAGTTAGAATAATTTTAGATTATAATTGAATATTGAAAGCATTATAGCGTTGATTTTTGAAAATAATTGAATTTTGAATATTTTTGAAAATAATTACATTTTGCGAAGAATTTACTTAAAATTTTATTAAAAATAATTAAAATCCTGTGAAGAATTTTATTATTTAGGAAAATAATTGAATTCTTGTAAAGAATTTTTATTACCTTTTTTTTAAATAATTGAAGTCTTGTGAAGAATTTTCTTCTTTATGAAAATAGTTCAATTCTTGCAGCGAATTTTTATTAAATTTTTTTTAAATAATTAAAATCCTCTCAAAAATTGTATTATTTATGAAAATAATCGAATTCTTGCAATGCATTTTATTACATTTTTTTTAAATAATTGAATTCATTTAAGAAATGTTATTAAAATATAGTAGATTTTGAAAATTTTTGAATTTCAACGAAGAATTTCATTATGAATTCATGCGTGAAAAATTTTATTACTTGTAAAAATAATTGAATTCTTGGGAAGGATTTTATTCAAATTTTTGTAAATAGTTTAATATATTTTTGAAAAATTTTATGGAAATTTAAATTATTACAAAACATGAAGATATCAATAACTCCGAGTCTTCGACTCGCGAGTGATCGATTTCTTCATGTTTTTTAACAATTTTTTATAAGTTGTTTAATTTCAAGAAGGTTTGAATTTGAATCTTTTGAAGAATTTTAATTTCAATGGAAAAATAATAATGATTAAATAATTATGATAGATAAAACAATTGTTTTCGAATAATTTGACAATTAAAGAAATTCGCAAATAATTGAATATTTTTTTGATCTTGTAATCATTTTTAGAGTGAATCAGAATATTCTTTAGTGTCAGGGATTCTGTCTGGAAATCAGGGAAAAACAAAGTTAAATTTTTATGGCAACCCTGATGAAGTTATTGATGTTTTCGAATAATTTTCGTTTTAAAAACCTGTAAAAATTCCTTTTATTAATTCTGAAAACCTGGAAAAGTGAGGGAATTTGAAAAGAGAAAAAGCGTGGCAACCCTGAATTTATTAGTGAATTGTACTGAGAATCTTATACTTTCAGGCTACCGAATTAATGAGAGGCTACATACCGGGACTAATTGACGCATCAGCAAAAATGACACTCTTCTTTTGTATACTAGAAGAAGCGATACGTCTCGAAGATCGCGTTCTCGCATTTTCCCAATCGCTTTTTACATTGAATCTCATAGAAGACTTTTTAGCTAGAAATAATTTTAAATATCCCGACGGCACAACGGACGCTTGGCTGAAGAATGTGAATTATTATCGATTGGATGGCAGTACAAGTGCATTGGAACGGGAAAAATTGATTAATGAATTTAACGTTAATCCAAAAATACATCTCTTTCTCGTCTCAACACGAGCAGGATCATTGGGAATTAATCTCGTTGGAGCTAATCGAGCAATTGTATTCGACGCCTCTTGGAATCCATGTCACGACACTCAAGCAGTTTGTCGTGTTTATAGATATGGTCAACAGAAACCGTGCTTTGTATATCGTTTAGTGACTGACAATTGCCTAGAGAGGAAAATTTACGACAGGCAAATTAGTAAACAAGGCATGGCTGATCGAGTTGTTGATCAATGTAATCCTGATGCTCATCTTTCATTAAAGGAAGCAACTACGCTCTCTTGGGATTGGGAAGAGGACAGCCAAGTGCAAGATTTCTCCCAATCAAAGGATAGTTACAGTGATGAAGTGATGCATACAGTTTTAGAGAAGCATTCGTCATTATTGACAAAACAACCATTTCATCATGAGAGTCTTCTTGTTGATCGTAAAGACAAGAAGCTTAGTCAGGCTGAGAAACGTTTGGCTCGAAGAGGTTATGAATTGGAGAAAATGGCAGCTACATGCTCCCGACCGAGTTATAATTACATTCCTGGAAATACTGCCACAAGAGGTAAGTTTTCAAAAAATGCCAGGCTTCGCACTCATCAACTCAAAAAATATAGTAAATTGTAATTTACTACATTTTTTTGGTCGTCAAGTTTAATTTTTAGATAGCCACTTTTTTTATAAAATGAATTATCGAGTGCGAAGTCTGAAATGGATGAAGAAATTATTTAAATATTTCAGTACAATACTCTGAATTTTCAGCCGGAGGATTGCAAATTAGAGCTATTAGAGGTGTCGGTGGTGGCGGCGGCGGCGTCGGCGGAGGTAGTGGCGGTGGAATGGCCCCAGGAGCATTGAGTCCAGCAGCTGGTGATATGGGACCAACGCCAAAACCTGTCGCTTCCGTAAGACCAATGCAGCAGCGTGGAGTCGAAGGCGTTGGACCTAGAAGTGTGACCGGCAGTCGATGGATTCCCGCTGAAGTTTGGCAGAGACAAGGCATGAGTGCTCAAGAAATGACTCTTCCATTGGACGTCGTTATTCCCACCAATTCACCGGACAAGGGCAGTATTGTCTTAAAAGCAGGACAACGAGTCATGGTTCTCAAGAGTCCGAAGGGTATATACATGCAACTGGAGTCTGGAAAAATTATCGCCATTCGAACCGCCCTTAAATTAAATCAACAAAAACGCGAAGATGAACCCAAAAAAGGTTAGTATTTTTTTTAATTATTAATTAATTAGCAAATGCTACGCGCGCGGAACGAGATATTCAATTTATTATTGTTAAATGCAAATTACAAAATTTTTTTTCAATTATCAATTTTTTAAATAATTTTATAATCAAAATTTTAAATATTCACATATTAAGTACAAAATCAATTATTACTGTTCATATTATCAAACATTTTAATCAAATTTCGCGAAAGAATTCAATTATTTTCTAAAATTTTAATAAATCCTTCTAAACAATTCAATTATTTCCTAAAGTTTTAATAAATTCTTTGAAAGAATAATTCAACTATTTTTATAAATACTAAAATACTTTGCAGGAATTAAATAATTTTTAATCCAATTCAAATAAAATTACACGAAAGAATTCAATTGTCAAAAATTTTAATTAAATTCTTGGCAAAATTTCAATTATTTAAACAAAATTTAATAAAATACTTTGCACGAATTCAATTATTTTTATAAATTTTAATGAATATCTCGTCAAGAATTCAATTATTTTTATTTGTTAGCAAAATTTTTCGCCAAACATTCAATTATTTTCAAAAATTTAAATAAAATTCTTTGCAACATTTCAATTATTTTTAAAAGTTTTTTTTTTCATCGCAGAATTTCAAATATTTTTAGTACAATTTTAAATAAATTCCTTGAAAAATGCAATTATTATTAAAAATTTTATTAAAACTCGAGGAAAAAATTCAATTTTAAGAAACATTCAATTATTCAATAAAACAATAAAATTCGTTGCAATAATTCAAATATTTTCATAGATAACATTTAATTCGCAACAGAATATCAATTATTTTCAAAAATTTTTAAGTAATTTTGCAAAAGAATTCAATTAGCTTGATAAACAGCAAGAATTAAATTATCTTTATAAATAAATAGAGAAATTCTTCTCAAGAAGTCAATTATTTTCAAAAATTTTAATTAGAATTCTTCTCAAGAAGTCAATTATTTTCAAAAAGTTTAATAAAATTCTTCTCATGAATTCAATTGTTTTAAAAAATTATTTAAATTTTTCTCAGGAATTCAATTATTTTTAAAAAATTTAATAAAATTCTTCAAAAAGTTTTCAAATATTTTAAAAAATTGTTATAAAATTCTTTAATATAATAAATTTCATTAAAATTTTAATTAAATTCTTTAAAAGAAATTAAATACTTTCAAAAGTTGTTAATACAATTCTTCGTAAAAATTAAATTTTAAGAAACATTCAATATTATTTATTTTTGTACTTAAATAATTATTGATTTCTCGTAGAATTAAATTATTATTTTTTGTACTTTTAACTAACAATTCTATAGAATTAATTTTTTTGAAAAAGTTTAATTGAATAATAATTGATTTTATTGATTTAAAGTAGAATTTTAGTTAAAAATTCTAGAAAATGTTAATTAAATTGAAATATCAATAATTTTTTGAAATTTTTGAAGTAATTACTTAGGAATTCAATTATTTTTTAAAATTTTAATAAAATTCTTCAAAAAGTTTTCAATTATTTTTAAAAATTGTTATAAAATTCAATTATTCAATAAATTATTTATTTTTATATTTAAATAATTGAATTCTCGTAGAATTTTCTAATAAAAATTGATTTAAATGAAATGAAAATGAATTTCGGTTAAAATTTTAGATAATAATTTAATATTAAAAGCATTATAGCATGGATTTTTAGAAATAATTGAATTTTAAAAAGGTTTCAAATTAAAGTCCTTGGAAATCTAAATTTTTCGTTCCTTTAAATAATAATTGATTTAAAGAAGAATTTTAGTTAAAAATTCTAGAAAATAATAATTGAATTTAAATGATGAAAATAATTTCGAAGAAGTTAGGAATAAAAATATACTTAATATAAAATAATAATTTTATCCCTGGATTATTAACGTTAATTATTGTAAAAACATGAAGACATGGATTACTCCGAGTCGAAGACTCGGAGTGATCGATTTCTTCATGTTTTTTTAACAATTTTTTTATAAGTTGTTTAATTTCAAAAAGGTTTGAATTTAAAATTTTTGAAAATCTTAATTTCAATGGAAAAATAATAATGATTAAATAATTATGATAAATAAAACAAGTGTTTTCGAATAATTTTACAATTATAGAAATTCACAAATATTCGAACATTTTTATTGAGCTTCTAATAATTTTTAGAGTGAATCAGAATATTCTTTAGTGTCAGAGAAAAAGTGAAAATTCTGTCTGGAAATCGTGGAAAAACAAATTAAAATTTTTGTGGCAATTGTATGATAGTTTTTTTAAATTAAAAAAAATTTGAATTAAAAATTCAAATTTTTTAAATTCTATTTTTTTAAGTTGTTAATTTTATTTAAAAAAAAAAGAAAGCAGTTAGCCGCGCGAATTGTTGCTAGTTTCTCTAATAAAAAAAATATCAATTTGTTTCTAATAAGTTATTTTATTTTCAGGTTTAGCTTCTATGATGCAAAGAAACTCCAAAGCGGAAGTTGGTTTTCCATTACGTAACAATTCGGCTATTTCAATAATACCGAAATCTTCATCAAGTGCACAAGGTACACGACCACCGCCAAAATCGAATCCCGGTCCAGGTTACAGACCATTTGCTGACAAGGAAACAGCGAAAAGATCTAAACCAATTGCTACAGCCACTGCAAAACCATATACAAGTCAAGTGAATCTCACTAATCAAGTTTCGCTCTCTAGGCTACCAAGAGTAAAGCAAGAACCCCTCGATCAAGCGTCCCTTGGCGATAATTCAAATTCCTCCGATGGTTCATTAAGATCTGATCAAAGAGTCGAGGAAGTTCGGCTTGAAGACGTTGTCGCTGAAGTAAGTTCTAACGAATATAGCCGTCCCTCTCGCCCCCTTCATTCCAATCAAAAGTCTTCACAAGTGAAATCCCAATCTTATTCAACTGAAAACGTCTCCCGTGTGCAGAGTATACAACAACCGGAAGTACCACCTAAAATTGATAAACCATTAGCTGAATCTACAGAAATTCCCGATTCCTCCGCTGGAAATCAATATCAGTCTCCTTTTCCGAAGCAGCAACAACAACAACAACAGCAAATTAATAGCGCTAGTGATGAGGTTAGTCAAGCACCTGCTGCTGCTATTCAGCCAGCTCAATCGGGATCAGTGGTATCGCAATCCATTCCAAATACAAGTAAAAATCTTCGAGACACTTGCAACTCCCCTCTCGTCTCGACACCCGTGAGCTCTAGTGTTTCAACGGCCGTGGAGCAGAATGTCTTAGATCTTCCCCAACCGGACATTCATGGTGTCTCACAGGGCTATCCCTACGCACAATATCCAAGGTATTATGATTACGCGGATCCTAGAGCGAGATCATTGGGAGGGACTCCCTATGGCAGTTACTTCCCTGGACCACCGCCTCAGTCGAATAATCCAAGACACAACACGGAAGGTACGAAGGCACCAGCACAGCCTGATTTACCAAAAGCAGGAAATAACAGTGACGAAATAACAGTGACGAATAAAGCGGCAAATACATTTGTACCGCCACCCAGTTTAAACCCTCCACCATCAGTAGACACTAAGGAAGCGAAACCAACTGACGCGGTGACAAGTGTCACTGCAACGAGTACAACAGCAAATAGAGATGAAAATCTTCCTTCTACTGCCTTCACTCATCCGACGGCTGCGAGATATCCGGGACCGTACCCACCAGCTCCGTATGATCCTTACGCTCAACATTATCCACCGGCACCTGGCTCATCAGCTGCTTATCCCCCTGGCAGTGAGTCAAATTTTATCAGAAAGATATTTAAACATTTTTAAAAAAATGCAGAATATTTTACCTCAATTGAAAGAAAATTGAAAGATGGATTGCCACGAAACCTGAAAAATTATTCCAGGCATCACAGTTGGTCCCTTTTGTCACTCGGTCATTTTTAATTATTATAAAAGAAATTATTAATTATTATTATTATTATTAAGAAATTATTATTATTATTATTATAAAAAAAAGTGGATTACTCCGAGTCTTCAACTCGAAGTAATCAATTTCTTCATATTTTATAATAATATTCTCATAAATTATTGAATTTCAAAAAGATTTGAATGTTTTGAAAATCTTAAACAATAATGATTAAATATTTTTTAAAAAAAAGAAGTTATTGCTGTTTTAGAATAATTTTACACAGTTAAAGAAATTCGTAAATGTAATAGAACATTTTTTTGAGTATCTATAATCATTATTTTTTAGAGTGAATCGTAGAATATTCTTTAGGGAAAAATCAAAAATTTGTCTGGAAATCAGGGAGAAACAAAATTTAATTTTTGTGGCAACTCTGATTAAAATCGAATCATTTTTAAAAAATTTTATGGAAGCTATATGATAAAAAAATTGAATTATAAATGCAAGTTGTAGAAAGAAAGAAATTTTTGTCCCCTTTACTGTGATGCCTGTTATTGTTTTCTAAAGTTATTGTGCTTATTCATGAAATCTAATTTTTCTTAAATATTTCAAAATTAATTCAATTTTCAAAGAGTTGCGTTTACAATTTTTTTAAATAAATGAACTTCAAACGGTTGTAATTTAAAATTTTGAGAGAATTTATTAAATAATAAAAATTTCACAGGAATTCTATTATTTACAAATTCTTTATAAATTTCTTCACAATAATTCAATTATTTCTTCATAAAAAATCAAATTTTTTACATAGATTCAATTATTTTCATAAATATTAAAAAACTTTATAGGTTTTCAATTATTTTCATAAATTAATAAAACTCATCGCAGAATTTTAATGATTTTTAATATAATTTTAATCAAATTCCACGAAAAATGATTTTAAAAATTTTATTAAAATTCATCAAAGAAATTCAATTATTTTAAAAAGCCTTCCTCATATTTTATTCATTAGAATTTAAGTATTACTGTCAATACATTTTTAATTAAATTTGTTGAAAGAATTAATTTATTTTTAAAAATTGTAATGACATTTTTTTCAAAAGAATTTTAATAAAATTGTTCCTAGAAATTTAATTAATTTCAATAATTTATCAAAATTCAATTATTTTCAATATCTACTATTTCAATAAAATTTCACAAAATAATTCAATTAGGTATTTAAAAAGAAATATTATTAAACAATTTGTCTCAAGAATTCAATTATTTTCAAAAGTAATAAAATTCTTCGTAGAAATTCAATTATGGTCAAAAGTTTAAAAAAAAAATTATCTTCAAAATTTCAATTATCTTTATAAATAATTACATTTTTCTACAAAATTCAATTATTTTCAAAAAATTTAATAAAATTCTTGGCGAAAATTTCAATTATTTTCAAAAACTTTTCTCAATTCAATCAAATTTTTTTACAGAGATTCAATTGTTTTTAATACAATTTTAATTATTATTTACAAGAATTTTTAACTAAAACTCTTCTTTAAATCGATTATTTTTAATAATTTTCGAAAAAGTTCTTTGCCAATTTTTAAATCTATTGGTTTACAATATTCAATTTTACGAAATTTCAATTATTCTTAAATTCTTCAATTAAATAAATATTAGAAAATAAAAACTTCAAATAATATTAAAAAAATTCAATTAAACTTTTTCAAAAAAAAATAATTTCAAAATTCAATTATTTTAAAAAATTCACGCTATATTCCTTTTAATATTTAATTATTATCTAAAATTTTAACTGAAATTATTTTTAAATCAATTTTTATTAGAAAATTCTACTATACAATTCAATTATTTAAATAAAAAAAAAAAATTTATTGAATAATTGAATGTTTCTTAGAATTGAATTTTCATAAAGAATTTTATTAATAAATTTTTAAATAATCGAATTCTTTTGACGAATTTTAATAAAATTTTTAAGAATAATTACATTTTTTTGATTAAAATTGTATTAAAAATAATTGAAATTCTGCAATGAGTTTTATTATTTGTGAAAAATAATTGAATCCCTAAGAAAAATAAATTTTATTACTTTTGAACAATATTTAATTTTTGCAAAGAATATTATTACTCTTGAAAATAATTGGATTTTTGCAATAATTTGTAACTTTTACAAAATTTAATTATTTCTACAAATTTACTCTCTAATGCTTTTAAAAAACAATTATACTCTAAAGTTTTAACTGAAATCCATTTTCAAATCAATTTTTATGAGAAAATTCTACTAGAATTCAATTATTTAAATACAAAAATAATAATTTATTGAATAATTACATGTTTCTTAAAATTCAATTCTCATAAAGAATTTTATCTATAAATTTTTGAATAATTGAATTCTTTTGACGAATTTTAATAAGATTTTTGAGAATTTTTTCGAGGAATTCAATTAAAATTGTATTAAAAATATTTGAAATTCTGCAATGAGTTTTATTATTTATGAAAATAATTGAATCATTGCGAAGAAATTTATAAAAGAAAATTTGTTAATAGTAAAATTCCTGTGAAATTTTTATTTTTTGAAAATAATTAAAAGTTTATGTAGAATTTTATTAAATTTTTTTTTTTCTAATTGAATTCTTTTGGAAAATTTTATGAAAATAGTAGATATTGAAAATCGTTGAATTGAGGAAAAATTTTTAAAAATAGTTGAATGTCGGAGATGAATTTAATTATTTCTAAAGATAATTGAAATTTGACGGGAATTTTGAAAAATTTTTGAACATAATTGAATTTCTGCGAAGTATTTTATTATGTATTTTTGAAAATAATTAAATTTCTGCGAAGAATTTCATTACTTTTGAAAATAATTGAATCTCTGCAATCATTTGTAATTTCTCTAAAATTATCCAAATTCTATCGTAAAATTTACGGACTTTACTGACCTTTTTTTTTAAAAAAAAAAAACGGACTTTTACGGACTTTAAGCAAAGTTACTGACTTTTACAGAATTTATGGACCTAGTTCGAGCCCTGCTATTTATAATGAATTAAACAGTTACATATTGGATCATTTTATTTTTAAAACCTAATATGTATTAAAAATACAATGAAAAAAAAATATTTTTAAAAATAAAATAAATATTTAATAAATATTATTTATTAAATATTTATTGTATCTATTAATTATAAGACTTAATAATTATAAATATTAATTTGAATGCATTTTAATAATCAGCTCCTGGCTATCCCGCCTACGGTGGACCAGCCGATTATGCTCGTATGTATTCACCGTTCCATGGACCACCAGCTGCTGATCCTTACATGCACAGAAGTTACGCTCCGCCACCTTCCGCACATCCTCCTGGATATTATCCCCCATTCCCACATCCTCCACCTCCCTATCCCAATTATTCTTTCCTCCCACCATATCCAAATCCCTCTGAACCACAACCACCGCCACCACCATCACAGTAAATCGAACAAATGAGAAGAAGAAAAGAGAAGAAAAATTTACGAATATTCAATGGCTGTTGAAGTCGAAGATAATAGACTGAAATGTGTAAGAAGCATATATATAAAAATATATAGAAATATATTTTAGAAACTCTTCGATTTGATCTTCTGAAGAATTCGAGAGTAACTTTTTTTATATTTCTTAGGTATTTTTTTTGTTTTTTCCTTTTTTTATATTATATTATTATTATTATTTTTTGATTATAGAAAATTTTATTCATTCTTAGTTAAATTAAATTAGTGTAAAATCATACTAGATTAATTAAATCAGTTTACATTTATTAAAAACAATCTAACTGATTAAAACCTTGTATTGATTTGAAATTTTTTATTAATTAAAATAGTTGTCTAATTAAATTAAGTGAATTTAATTGAATTTTAATAATTTTAGGGTATGTTTTTTAATTTATTGCAGAACGGAAGTTTATATTATAAACGCTGGAAAGCGCTATTATTATTTCAACAATTTCCGATTCCCAATGAATTTAATAAAGAAAATTTGTACGTGACACTAATTTAGAAGAAAAAAGAATATCAATCGAGGAGTAATTCTAAATTCAATCGAAAAAAGAAAATGAGTGAGGACAAGAGATTTACAAACTAATGCTTCGAAATATTTGCAGCTAAAATCATTTTTATACGTCTCTTCTAGAAAATTTAAAAGGTTTATCAAAAATGATATACTTGATATTAATTTGAAACTTCATAGCTGTGCATAATTAATCAGTAGACAAACAATTATGTGTCACAAAAAAATCTCAAACTGAAATTAATGATTCTTAAACTAGTATTAGAAATTATTAATTAGTTTTTTTTGTTATTTTTTAATCTTTTAAATGCTCCTTTATTAAAAATTTAATGGTGCTGAAGTGATAAACTTTCTTTTTTTTACGCTTGCTAATTTTTAGCAAAAAAAAAAAAAAGAAAGAAATATTTATAATCGGTTGTTGTGATCACAAATTTAATATTATTCATTTTTTTTTCTTTTGTTCTTCTGATTGAAATATTTCATTCAGTTATTAAAATTATTTTTTATTTTATTTTAACGGTTGATGGAAAAATAGAGTTGTATTTTTTCTTTCTTTTTTTAGATATACATTGTAAATATTTTTGAAAATATTGATATATTTTTATTGAATTCTGTTGATATGAATGATAAGACATTTAGTTTAATGATGATGACTATAGAATTTTAGAATTATTATAATTATTTAAATTTTCAAATTGCAGTTTGTATTCTTTTAGAGAAAGCAACGTGAAATGAAATATTTCTCTCAATTTCATCTTTCTCTTTTTGAGTCGTAAAAAATTTATTCTCTAAATTTTATTTTCTCTAATTCAATTTTCAAAAAGTATATAAATATATAAATTTCATATTTTTTATTTCACTGGAGTTTCGTTTTTAAATATTGCTTACTAATTGTGATTATTGTTCTTTGTAATTATCATTAGGAAAAAAATGTATAAGCAGTTTTTTTAAAATCACTATTTTCATTTGGGATTAACTTTTCCTTTAGAAATATTGTGAAAAATAAAAAAAAGTTTGTTATTTCAAAGAAAAAAAATTATTTTTCCGTTTACATAATTCGTATTTAAATGAATTGAATTAGAGAATGTAAAATTTAGAGATTTTTTTTTTTGGTATTTTAGTTTCATAAGATAAATCATGCAGGCAGCCAGTACAGAATTTACACTTTGTCGAGTTGTATATAGGTATTACTATACTAAACATTGCGATTTCTTAAAAAAAAAAGAAAAAAATTAGATAATCTTTTAGTAGTTTATAGGATTGTTGGAGTGTCCTACAATTTAATTAGTTATTGTCGTGGGACTTAGATAAAAACTAAAAGAAAAGGCAACAAACATTTTTTGGGAGGGCCTCGATGTTTCTTATCTCGATCTCGTGTCTCAATTTTCCAACTTGTATTTTTCGACATTAGGGCAATAATTTTTTATTAACTGTGATTATTGTAATAACGCACTCTTCGAATAAAGAAAAGATAAAAAATATTAGATTTATTTATTTATTATTTTGTCATTTATACATTTATTTATTTTATTGTTGTTGAAGAAATAAATTCTCTCACAGACGAAGAAAAAAAGAGAGAAAAAGCACGAGATTTTTTTTTTTATTTTTTTATTAATGGTAAACTATGATTGTCGTGGCACTCCCTTAAAATATTATTAACGATTAATTAATTATAGAGCAGTATAAACTTTCTCGCTGGTACATTATTATTTGTATGTCTTCCTCTGGAATTTTTTGCTTGTTTCTAGAAGATAAAAAATAAAATACTTTTTTTTATACAAAAAAAAAATTCTTCCTAAAAACTAAAGAACCAAAAAAAAAAAAAAAAAATGCGCAATATTGAAATAAAATGACTGATATTTTAATTGTAATAATTGTGTTTTTAATAATTGCAGTGTTTTATTAAATAAAAGAAATTACTTCTTCTGAAACAAGAAACAGAATCCATTGGTATAATTATTTACGAAATGAACTCTGACTCTGTTATAGCTTTTTGCCATTTACAAAACTTGTAAATATCCATTATTTACATTTAGTACATTATTTATTATTTTACATTGAAAAATGTCAATTTATTACTTTAGTTTTTCGATAAATCGGAAGAAAAATTTTCTGTAAAATAAATTGTTCGCATTATGATCGATTGATGATTGTTTTTCATCATATTATTGTTATGAATGAGAAAATCGAAATTATAAATAATATATATATACGTATATACATATGTATATATATATTAAACATATATATTATACATATCGCTGGCTTGGTGAAAAAATATGACAACTCGGATTGGCCTTGAAAAACATGTCGAATTTGAGTTAATAAATAAGCTCTTTTCCTTCGCGTTGAAGAATATAACCAGATTAAAACTAAATTTTCTTTTTCATAATGTACAATTGAAACAATTTTGTCGAAATTTAGTAGAAAATTTTTCGATTTTGACAACATTTTCCTTAACGCTAATGATGATAAATATCAAGTTTTTTTTTTTAACTCAAATTCGACGTTTTATGTTTTTCAAAGCCAATCTGAGTTGTCATGTTTTTCCACCCAGCCAGCGATATTATCTTGTTTTTAAGTCGTTTATCTTTGTATGAAACAAAAAACAGTAACATGACGTTACGAAAAACTGCCTAGGATCTATTTGAATGTCACTATGATGTGAAAATTTAGGGCTGTAATTAAAAAAAATACACTACCCTAATAATACAAGTTCAAAGAATATATTTCTGGTTGTAATTATTTTTCCTACCCATTATTCTAAATTATTTACTAATCTGGTTTTATTTTCAATTTAGAAATTTAAAATTAGTTTGACTGATCTGAATTATTATGCAAATTAATATTCAATTATTTTCGAAAAAACTTTAATTGAATTTCTCGAAAAAATTTCATTATTTTTAAATATTTCTATAAAATTCTTTATAACAACTTTACTTATTTCTTAAAATTTCATTAAATTCTTCGAAACATTTCAATTATTTTTATAAACAGTAAAATTCTTCGGCAATAATTCAATTATTTTTATAAATAGTAAAATCCTTTGCAGAAATTTAATTCTTTTCAAAACAATTTAATTAATGGAATTCCTCGAAAGAATTTAAATTTTCAAATATTTACATAAAATTAATTTATTTTCTAAAATTTTAATAAATTCTTCGGAACAATATTCAATTATTTTTAGAAATAGTAAAATTCTTCACAAGAATTCAATTACTTTCAGTGTACAATTTTAATAAAATTCTTTTTTACAATTGCTTTCAAAATTTTCAATTAAAATTAATAAAAAAATTCCATTAGTTTAAAAAAAAATTCAAAGAAATTCTTCGCGAAAATTCAGTTATTTTCCTAAATAATAAAATTCTTTGCAACAATTCGATGATTTTCAATACATTAATTTTAAAAATGAAAATATTTATTTATAAACAATACTAAAAAATTGTTAATTGTTAAAAAATTTTGAATAAGAATTAGGAAATATACCCATTTTATCCATAATTTTTATTTCTCAATAACAATATTGTTTACAAACTCATTTTTTTCTTTTGTGAAGAAAAATATTAGATATTCCCGTTTCTTAATATTTTTCTAGAAAATTCTCAATTTTCATAAGGAAATAATTTGCATCAATTCTATTTCTTAATTTCAATTGTTTTAATAGAATTCAAAGTTTTTTTTTAAAATAAAGGAAAAAAATGTTTATAAATTCTATTTGCAAATTAGAAAAATTAAATGAAAATGAAACTGAAAATTTTTTAATTTTTAGAAAATAAAGGAAAAAATTTTATTAAAAAAAATGTTTTGTTAAATATATTTACGAATATCTTTAATTGTAAAATTATTCAAAAACAATAATTGCTTTTTTAAATATTTTAAATATTTGATTATTATTATTTTACCATAGGAATTAAGATTTTCAAAAATTTCAAATTCAAACCTTTTTAAATAAATTAATCAACTTTAAAAATATTTTGTTATAAAACATAAAGATAACGATTACTCCGAGTCTTTGACTCGGAGTAATCGTTATCTTTATGTTTTATAATAATATTAAATTCTTTTGACGAATTTTAATAAAATTTTTTAGAATAGTGACATTTTTCAAGGAATTCGATTAAAAATTGTATTAAAAATAATTGAATTCTTGCGAACGTTTATATTAGAATTTTTTTAAAAATAATTGAATTCTTTGTGGTAATTTTATTAAAATAGTAGATATTGAAAATTTTTTGAAAATAATTGAAATTTTAACAAGCATTATTTTAATAAAATTTCTGGAAATAATTGAATTTTGAAGAAGAATCCATAAATTTTACGATAGAATTTAGAAAATTTTAGAGAAATTACAAATGATTGCAGAGATTCAATTATTTTCAAAAGTAATAAAATGCTTCGCAAAAATTCAATTATTTTCAAAAATAATAAAATTCTTCGCAAAAATTCAATTATTTTAAAAAATTTTCCTAAAGAATTCAATTATTTAAAAAAAAAGTTTAATAAAATTCTACACAAACTTTTAATTATTTTCAAAAAAAAAATAATAAAAATTTCACAGGAATTTCATTATTTACAAATTTTTTTTTATAAATTTCTTCGCAATCATTCAACTATTTTCATAAATAATAAAATTCTTTTTAGGAATTCAATTATTTTCATAAATAATAAAATTCTTTTTAGGAATTCAATTATTTTCACAAATAATAAAATTCTTTTTAGGAATTCAATTATTTTCGTAAATAATAAAATTCTTTTTATGAATTCAATTATTTTCACAAATAATAAAACTCATTGCAGAATTTCAATTATTTTTAATAAAATTTTAATCGAATTTCTCTAAAAAATTCTTAAAAATCTTATTAAATTTCGTCAAAAGAATTCAGTTATTCAAAAATTTATAGATAAAATTCTTTATGAGAATTCAATTTTAAGAAACATGTAATTATTCAATAAATGATTATATTTGTATTTAAATAATTGAATTCTAGTAGAATTTTCTCATAAACATTGATTTAAAAATGGATTATAATTATTATAAATTATTATAAATATTATAATTCTAATTCTATTAGAAAATTCTACGAGAATTCAATTATTTACATAAAAAAATCATAATTTATATTGAATAATTGAATGTTTTTTAATTTAATTCTTATAAAGAATTTAATTAACAAATTTTTAAATAATTGAATTGTTTTGACGAATTTTAATAAAATTTTTTAGAATAGTTTCATTTTTCAAGGAATTTGATTAAAATTGTATTAAAAATATTTAAAATTCTGCGATGAGTTTTATTATTTTCGAAAATAATTGAATTATCGCCAAGAAATTTATAAAAAATTTGTAAATATTTGAATTCCTGAGAAATTTTTATTATTTATGAAAATAATTAAATGTTTGCGTACAATTTTATTAAAATTGTTTTTAAATAATTGTATTCTTTTTGGTAATTTTATTAAAATAGTAGATATTGAAAATTTTTGAAAGTAATTGAAATTTTAACAAAAATTATTTTAATAAAATTTTTGAATATAATTGAATTTTGAAGAAGAATTTTATTATTTATAAAGATAATTGGGATTTTGACGTGATTTTCTTGTAAATTTTGAATACATAATTGAATTTTGTGATAAGAATTTTATTACTTTTAAAAATAATCGAATTTCTGCAATCATTTGTAACTTCTTCAAAATTCAATTTTTTTAGTGTTTTTAACTAAAATTCTTCTATAAATCCATTATTTTTAATAATTAATTGAATATATCTTGACAAATTTAACTAATTTTAGAAGATTTTGAATTATTAAAGTTTTTCAAAAATCTAAGTTTTTTAAAATTTCTAATTAAATTCATTAAACATTGAAATTCAATTGCTATTTATTCCCTTAATTTTTCACAGTATGTCTTTTTCTCTTTTCTTAATTCTTAAATTAAAAATTTATTTCTATAAATGAAAATGTTGTTTTTACCGTTATTACACAATTAATTGATTGCTACAGGCAATTTACTGTCAAGTGGTGGTCTTCCGCTTTTTATTATGACAATTCAGAATATTATCTCGAATCTATATTTAGAAATTTCTACTAAAATTTTTTTACTTTTCAACATAATTTTTTAGATGTTTATACCCACTTTATGAATTTTTAAATTATTTTCATGACCATAAATAATTTCCTATATTTATTATTGTAAGAAGGATTCATGTATTCGTGCACTCAGCGGTTTTATTTCAAATTTTTTTAAGTAGATCTATTATAAACAGGATAATATCACATAATGGATTTCCCAACAAATATTAGTTTATTACAGTAATTTCTTTGAGTGCTATTAGTTATGTTGAAAACATGTTTACATTTATTCTTTTACAATGATCATCATGATCTATATTCACATTTCCTTCCTTTTCTATTATCTTTCAAAGTATAATTATGTTTGCTCTTAAGTACATATTAAAATTTTCGGTGAAATATATTTCATTGATTAAATTTTGAATAAAAATAAAAAATTTCTTCCAAATTTATAAATATCCCATATAAGTAGCACGTAATATTCCTGCAATGTTACGTGTAATGTTAGTATAATATAGAAGTGTAACATTTTTAACAGATTCTTTGGGTCCCTTTCCAAAAGTAAAAAAAAAAGAAAAGTTTTTCCGTGTAGGGAACATATTCTGAACAGGCAGGCGCACTGCTTTGCTAACACCGTCAGTTTTTCACTATTCAGTTCAGTCAGAACTTTGGTGCCAAACTGCCAAGAAATACAATGTGGGTATTAGCGTGGAATTTTGTAAAAGTCATACTTCCAAGTGGTTTAAAAATTAAGAAGAAATATATATGGTTTTGCTTTTTATTTTAAATAAATATTTAAGTTTATTTATCTTTAAAAAAAAAAGTTGACAATGTTGACATATCAAATATCGCTAATAACTTATTTATTGCTTTTTTTGAATTTTATAATAATTACATATACCCAAAAAAGCTATTGCTCCAAAAATATTCTTATTAAAGAATGTGAATAAAAATGTTAATACAAATATTTTTAACTAATTCGGTCATAAATAATTATTAATTAATTTTTTTATTGTTAATTATTGTCATAATTCCAGCAAAAGCTGGAAGATCTTAAATTTATTTAATTACACATTTTCGGAACATTATTTTAACATGAAAGATTTTAATGTTTTCTGTTTAAAACCAAATTAAAATAAAAAAAATATAGTCTTCGCAAATTACAGGGTGGCCGCTGGACCGGGAAACCGGGAAAACCGGGAAATGACAGTGAATTTTTTTGGACAGGGAAAAACCGGGAAATGACAGTGAATTTTGATCTTGACCGGGATTTTGGAATTTTTTTTTAAAAACACACATTACTTTGTGAGAAAAAATAGAAATATTTATTTTAAGACTTAAGTATTAACTATATTTCATTAAAAAAGATTGAATGATCTTCTATAAAATCTATTTATATTTTGTCAGAGAATTTTATAAAAAGTACTATAAAAATATTCAATTTCTAGAATTTATAAGAAAATTATGAATTTTGTTGTCCAACATAACAGACTTAGAGAAAGAAAATATTAAATTTAATTTTAAATTCTTTCTATTTCTAACAATAATTAAACAAAATATAATTTTAATTAAATTTGTCAAAAAAATTTCAAAGAGAAAAAATTTCACATCCTATAAAATAATGAAAAATAAATCAATTTAAAAATTTTTTGCAATTAATATTATAACAAAACAAATAAGAATTATTAAAAATTTGAACTAATTAGAACAAAAGTGATACGAAATTTATAAAAATGAATTTTTGAATAATAAATAAAGTAAATAAAAGTAAATAAAATTTCTTTTCTTAGAAAATAAATTTTAAAAAACCGTATTTTTCATTAATATCAATTAGTTTTTTTACAATTATTCATAAGCAAATTTTTCGATTTTTTAGAATGTTAAATTAATATTACTAATATTATTATAGATTGAATTTTAAAAAATTTCAAATTGAAGTTTTAGAAAAGTTGAATTTTAAAAGATTTTAATTAAAAATTCTGAATAATTTAGTCTTTAAAAATATTTTTATTCACATTTTTTCAAATTAGTTATGTTTTTAAATATGTAATATTTAATTGAAAAATTTTCAAATTATTCAAAATTTCATGAAATTGTCTTGTAAACAAGTGGATTTTAGAAATATTTTAGTTATTTCTAGAATATAATTGAATTGAAATTTTGAAAATAATTTTTAATAAGTTGCAGTAGCAATTCTTAAAAATTATTCAAATTTAAAGGATTTGAAATTTGAATTTTTTTTTGAAATTTGAGTACCTACTACATGGAAAAATAATGGATAATAATTAAATATTTATTTCAAAAAATCTATTTAAGTTCAAAATTATTTTTAGAGTAAACTAAAATATTTTTAGGGTTTGGGAAAAAGTCAAAAGTTTTGTCTAAAAATCAGGAAATTCTTTCAATCTTTCATTGAATAATTTATTTTCAGAGTTATTATTATTTTATGACCGGGAAAAATAATTTATGACCGGGAATGGACCGGGAAATGACCGTGAATTCTTTTTAACAAAAAAAGTGGCCACCCTGAATTATTTATGAAAGAAAAACTATTTGCTTCATTCTAATTAATTTTATTCTTTCATAAATATAAACACGAAATATTTTCTGGTTTACAGAATAAAATGCTATTGCCATTACTGATTGCTTTAATAACATCCATAGCGGATGCAAAAATATATGTGAACATTTCTGGGGATATCGTCCTTGGAGCATTATTTCCGGTTCACCGAAAAGGATTTATGGGACAAAATTGTGGAAAAATTCAAGTAAGTTTAATTAAAAAAATTAATAACTTTGACCCAATACTTTTTTTTTACTGGGGATAGAGCTGAAGATAAGTTTGTATGTCAAAAACAAAAGGGTGCCCACAACCGGACCTATTCCCCTAGTTTTTAGATTTCAATCATAAAATTTGTATTAATTATTTTTAACAGTCAGAAGATGGTTTGCAACCTTTAGAAGCGATGCTTTATACGATTGAACAAATTAATCAGGATCCTAAAATTTTGCCCGGCATTCGATTGGGTGCAATTGTTTTCGATTCATGCGACAATTCCAACTATGCAATGGAACAAACGCTATATTTTGTCAAAGGTATAAAAATGTTTTAAAGTATTTATCTTATAGTCCAGGTCTAAACAATTATTCATTATAATGTTTAAAGTCCTAGTATCTGTTATTTAGGTCTCAAGTCGGTCAACTCGAACTTTCAACATTTGGTAATGAATAAGCTTTTAGGCCTCGGTTGAACTACTTGTATTAAATTTTAAATAATTAATAATAATCAATTTTTCTTAGGTTTCATTGCTCATTTTAATGAGTTTCATATGACACAATATAAATGCCTTGATGGTAGTGTACCAAAATTTTTTAATGGAGGTTTTGATAAAGTTGTAGCAGTTTTGGCAGCGGCATCCAGTTCTGTCACTTTGCAAGTAAGTTATACATATATATTCATGCAGGTCAGATGGAGTTTTATTGTCAAATTTTGACCTGTAACTCAAAACTGCCCTTAAAAATGGATCTAAAATTTGAGGTGAAGGGGTTTAAAAACTTTCTGACTCAGCGGCGGCTGGCGGCGGCGAAATGATTTTATCTATATTTCTATTAATTTTTTTTGCATAATTAACAAAACATTTTGTTTTAGATTGCTTCCATATTGAGGCTATTTTCAATTCCGCAAATTTCTTATATGGCTACATCACCGTCATTAAGTAATAAAGAAAAGTATCCACATTTTTTTCGCACTGTTCCATCAGATGTGAATCAAGCGCACGCGATGCTTGAAATTTTGAAGTAAGAACATTTTTATAATCCTCATAACGTAACGTGGATCATCTTTTGGCACAATCGCTTATTTTTAAATTAAAGATCAAATTTATCTGAATTGTTTAAAACATTAATTGCTTTTAAAAAAATCTTATTTTTTACATGTTTTGAATTAAAGAAATTTTTCTAAAGCGATATATTTAAATATACATTATAGATTAATCTAATGAAAAATTTGGTTTTCTTCACCGTTGAGTTTTTGCGGATATACGAAGATATATATAACATTTAGTAAGAGGAGAGGGCCCCAAGATAAACATTTCGTTTAAAATTTTTGTATATTTTCGATTATAAATACTGTTCAATAGTTTTACTGTCGAAAATTTTGACAATTTGAAAAAATAGGTACTTTAAAAAATTTCTGTGTGTTCAAAATAAAAAATTTTTTCTGTGGCCAAAACATACCCAATATTTTGAAAATTTTATTCAGTATATTACAATTTAACATATCTTATTGGGTTTTGATTCTAGAGCATTAAATCAAAACCATGTCCATCTTGGGGCCCTTTTTCCTATATAAAGTCCTTCAAAATCTACGAAGGCCAACTTCATTTGTCAAAAGACGAACATAACCTCAAAACTAGGTTCAAGGTCATATGAGGTTAACCAAGGCCAACGTCAGAAGACAAATATCTAAATTTTGAAAAAATAACTTTTTATGGTTTCTTGGTTTTAAATTTGAAATAATATATATTTATAATTAACTGTACTTCTTCTGATTTTTACGACTGTTTATGGTGAACAACATTGTTTAATCACGAATGGTGTCAAGACAATTTTTTTAACATTGTTGTACATGACAGGGCAATGTTAACAATTACTGATTTACATATGTACTTTAACTAACTTAATTACTTTATGTGTTACAGACAATTCGATTGGACCTATGTTTCAGTTGTTTATTCGGACACAGAATATGGAATTCGTGGTTTCGAAACATTAGTCTCCTTAGCGAGTAAATATTCGATATGCTTTAGTGCCCCTCAAAAAATTGCCAAAGAACGATTTTTATCTGAAGATTATGATAGCGTAATTCAAATAATTTCTAATAGAACAGAAGTCAGAGGTAAATGTTCAATGAAATTCAGAAATTTTTAATTTAATATTAATTCAAAAATCTATATATCTAAGGTGCACGTAAAATTTCAAAGAAAATGAATTTGCCAGAGAACCTCCTTAAGTAAACGGTTTTAAAAATTGATTAATCTATAAAAAAGATTGAAATTGTTAAACTCTGTTATACATATATTATATTATACTTTATTTTATTCAGTTGTAGTACTATTTGCTGAAAAGGTAACGACTCTGAAAGTCTTAGAGTCAGCGAAAAGACTCGGAGTTGGTGAGAAATATGTTTGGATTGGGAGTGATGCCTGGTCGAATAATAATCATAGAGAATTTTTGAATCCTGACAACAGTCAGGATCAACAGCAAATTGTTCTAGAAGGCGCTCTCGCTGTTCTTCCATTGAATAGAAAATTGTTTGGGTTTGATGAATATTTCACAAATTTAACTCTTCAGCATGAAGATATTAATCCATGGTTTCGAGAGTTTTGGATGGATTTTCACAAGTGCAGAAAAAAAGTTAACGTTACAAATCAAATTTTTAATGAAGTGAGCGTACATTAATATTATATACATTAATATTTTACAAATTTTTAATTAATTATTTAATTATTAATTCTAAAATAGTTAATTAATCTTATATTAGATTAACCCTGGATGGTCAAGCGACCCAAAAATTTTCGGAACTCTCTGTAAAATATCATAATATGCAAATTGAGGTTCGTGAAGTCAGCTACGTTTAATTTAGTATTTCTCCTTTACTTTATATAACAGTTCGCGTTTCTTAAAATTGTCTAAAGTTTATGCAGCCAATGTTCAACTTCTTGAAAACACTATTATTCCTTCTACAATTTTCAAATTTTTGGAACAATAATGTTTAAATGATATATAATTTTTTAAAACTCTAGGATGTTAAACAACCCGTGTGATTACCATGCAATTTTTAGAAAGTTTGACCACTAGGGTTAATTTTATTTCATTAAAAATTTGTTTAAATATTAAAGGGAATCTGCAAAATTTATAAAAAAAAAAAATTGTTTTCAGTCGATACATAGAGCGAAGGAGCAAGATTGTGAAAATTCTGAATTGAAAATTAATCCTCAGAAGGGATATAAACAGCAAAGATTTTTGCATTTTGTGCGGGATGCCGTTTATTCAGTTGCATATGCCTTGCATGATTTGCATATTAAAGAATGTGGAAAGAATTTTAAAGGACTGTGTTCTCAGCATATTGACGGAGAGACTTTGTTAACATACTTAAGCAATGTTTCATTTAAAGGTATTTTTTTATATTACAATTTACAAGTTGTACATTTTTACAAATGATCAAAAAATATCAGTCAAGGCTTATAGCGCAAACCTTCCTGAAGCTTTTAAAAAAACTTTAAAATTCGTTAAGATTGAAATTGTGAGCAGAATTTTGTCCAGAAGTATTATAATATAGGGAACTCATCGGTTTTCTTTTTTATTCATTGGAAATGTCGATTCTAGATGAGGCTGGAAATACTTTTCGATTTATGAATAGTGTCGATGGTCCACCAAGGTATTCAATTTTAAATTACCAGAAAGATTTGAATGGCACTCATCGATGGCTCATCGTTGGAAACTATACTCGTAAGATTTTTTAGTTAGTTAGTTTAAAATAATAAAGTAAATAAACGATGTTTTTATCTTTGTGCACAGAAACTGATACCGGTAAACCAATTTTGCACTTGGAGAGAAAAATAATGAAATATCGAAATCAGGAACGTGGTGGAAGAAAATATTTTCCAAATTCAACTTGTGCCCAGCCTTGTTTGCCGAATCAAGTGAAATTTCGAGTAAAACAGGATATTTGTTGTTGGAGATGTAGAAATTGTGGACTTTATCAATTTAAATTGGACGATCACAGATGCGAAGATTGTGAACTAGGTACTCGTCCAACGAGTGATAAAATGTTTTGTGAAGAAATTCCGGTGGATTTTGTGAATTACTCGAATCCATGGGCTATTGCCACAATGGCAGTTGCTAGTTGCGGTAAATAACTTTTTATTATATAGAACAGTAATAAAGTTAAAATTTTATATCTTCCAGTGAAATGAATTTTAAAAGAATAAAAATTTTCAGGAATTCTGCTGAACATTTTTATTTTTCTAATTTTCTGGATTTATAGAGAAACTCCAATAATAAAAGCTTCTGGTAGAGAACTTTCTTCACTCCTATTAGTTGGAACTTTGATATCATTTTTGATGACTTTTGTTATTGTCGCGAAGCCAAGTGTAGAAAATTGTGCTCTCACAAGATTCGGCATTGGAATTTGTTACAGTTTGTGTTATGGAGCTCTAGTTACAAAAACTAACAGAATTCATCGAATTTTCAATAGAACTACTAATAATCCCCACCATAAACCAAGGTAAAACTTTTCAGTGATTATATATGAGTGACCCTTTATATCTTAAAAAAATATTATTATAACGACAATTTTTTTTAAGATTCATAAACAAAATCCTGCGTTACGAGGACAATCACAATCAATAATTATTTTTCTATAGATTTAATTCGAAATTAATATAAGACATACTAAAAAGAATTTAAATGTTTCAGATACACCAGTCCAAAATCGCAATTAATTATCACAGGAATATTTACACTTGTCGAGGTAATTATTAATAGTGTTTGGTTAATAAAACTGCCACCAACTGTAACGGACGTATTTCCTTCAAGAGAAATCAGACTGAGAATATGCCAAGGCTTAGATGATAGTTCCTACATGGTGGGTTTGATTTATCCCTTCATTCTGATTGGTAAGACAATGGAAAATAATGATATCGCTTACAATAAGCGATGTATAAAAATAAATATATTTAACTCTTAATCATGCGCATTAATGAGTTAAAAAGGGGTATCACCAAATTTTAGTGAAACATGCCATCCCCTCTAGAAAGTGTTTAGTGGGAAATCAATTTGTCTTACAGCAAGATAATGACCCGAAACATACCTCATTTCTGTGCAAAAAATACCTAACAGCTCAAGAAGAGAAGGGTACTTTGATTTGCATGGATCACCCTCCATAATCTCCCGATCTTAACCCTATCGAACTACTCTGGAAACTTTAAGTAGTTTGTTAAGTAACAAATGTTGTTTTTTGTTTAAGTACTGTGCACAATTTACGCAATAAAAACAAGGAAATGTCCAGAAGGTTTTAATGAAACTCGACTCATTGCCTTTACGAATTATACAACAATGATTTTATGGTTGGCCTTTGTGCCCCTTTATCTGGCATCAACGAGTAATGCCCTTAGGATTATCACCTTAGCACTTTCTATTTCCTTAAGTGGATTAGTTCAACTTGGGTTTTTCTTCTTCCCTAAAGTCTATACTGTTCTCAGGAAACCAGAAAAAAATACAAAAGAGCTTGTGATGTCCCAACACCGAAGTTCACCTTATTTACAAACTGCATCTGCACCCATTGTTATTTCAAGTGGTAATTTTTCTAAGAATTTAATATTGATGTAAATAGAGTTAATTAATTTTTCTTATTACTGTGATTATAATAAACCTTTTTTTCTTCTAGAGAGAATGAAAATTACTTTCAAGGATTCAGAGAGCTCGTCGGCAGAGCCAAGTTAAGGCAAACATTATAGTATAAATAAAAAAACAAATGAAAATTGCTATTGTCCCTCGAAGCACATGCAGGGTCTGTATTTTTCTTGTTAGAAAAAGGAGATGTGAGCTTCGAAGGTTATACAAAACCATCGAGTATAAAAATCCATTATTATATTTTATAATAAAAACAATGAATAAAATACATGTTTACAAAGAAAAAGTCAAACCGTTGTTACAAAAATTAATGAAAAATAAGTATTAATTATAATCAAGAATTACTGTCTTCGGAGTTGTAACAAAGAAAGAATTGGCATTTATAATATTTTATATTGTTCAATTCTTTGATAAATTATGGGGTCGTTATCTCTCTCTTTTTATAGTACATCTCACCTCTTGATAGTTTTATTAAGAGAATTTTTAGCTCGTCATTATTCTTTAAATAAAAGATCACAATAATTTATTTCAAATAAGGTACATTTAAAACAATCAGGTTTTGTTACACGTTTTTAAATTTCTTATTACCAGATTTCGAAAATATGAACAATAGTTAGATGAATTTATGATTCCATATTCGTGATAAAAGAATTTACATAATTTGGAAACGATACTATTTGGTGACTTACGAAGTATTGGCCTTAATTCCTACCGCACTTAAAAGAAGGGAGAAAAGGTCATCTAGAGCTGGTCCTCTTTATTAGAACGGGCAACTGTTTGTTTGTTTTGTTACAGTGTTGTTTACTATTAATTCTCAGTCTTTGCTATTCAGAACGTTCACAATTAACAGTTTATTTTAATGGGACAATTTGAAGAACTCATTTTTAACTATTTTATTTTTGTCTCTACTTGTTTCGATTCCTCAATCGTTACGCGGCTATTTTATTCGAATATCTATTGTTTTGAACTTGTCTTATAATCGTTGTCATAAATTCAAAGCAATTCAAAGTGTGACGAAAGGGCTGCCAAAATTGTGGAATATATGAACGAGAGTAATCGTCAATCTTGATTTTATTTATGAGATGGTTTAAATTGTTCCATTATTTTAGTTAATGTTCACAATTAATTCTCAGTCCAATAAGCTATTCTAAACACTTCACGCTTTTAGATTTTAACGTCTACCCGAATTCGATTGCCCGTAGCTAACCCTTGAACCGGCCGAGTCTCGCAGACGGTCAACCTCGCGATAACCTGGCTCCAGGAGTTAACTGTCGCGAAGAAGCAAATTACATTGGGGTACATCAGTTTTAATACCTGAAATTGAGGTTTTGGTGTGATAGAATTTATTGGAGAGGGTTAAAGGATTGGGAAATACATTCTTATATTGGCCAATAATTATTATAACTTCCAATAACTTTAATGTTATTGGAACCTTTTACTGTGTGAAAATGTTTAATTCCTTATATTGGTTGCAACATGTGAATTTGCAATCGAATCTTTGATGTCAAAGACCTTTTAGAAACGCTTACGTTTTCATTTTATCAACAGACTACATTTTGGCCATTAACCCAAAAGAGTCTTTGATACTTTTAATTTATGGAGCTAAAGAAGACAGTTGTGAAGTTATTCCTTTAATTCATACTAGTAAATATAGTAATACAAACTCAAAAGGTAACGTCTCGGTAACGGCTACCTTTCTTTCTTTTTCCAAGGCAATATAAATAAGAATGTCTCTCTTTACCTAATTTGCATATCTACTGGTTTCATATTAAGGACTTGGCAATTATTTTGTTCGATTAAAATTTTTGATTCGAAGGAGGTTATAGAATTTAGATTCTCAAATCTGTAAGAATAATGATGCACTCGCAATGACATTTCCTTATAAATTGTTGACATGTTTGCACAACTCTGACTCTTGCAATGTGTTCGGTTCTATTTAATAAAAATATTTTGTGGATTAAATTTATGATGAAATAAAAGCTTTAAAATATTTCGAAAGAAGTGTCATTGAACGGAATTTTACCAAGAATCAAAAGTTACTCAAGGTGTATTTCTGAACAGGAAAAAGAGAGTTCATTTCGGTGACTCCGATGACCCTTTCATTATTCTTTAATTTTTCTTACGTATATTTTCACAATTATAATTCATTATAATAAGAAATATACTCTTTGAATTATTGTAATTGTGGATACAATTTATTAAAATTTAATTTAATAAAGATAAAGAAACGATACGGGCTTGTAACGTTACACCGTTGTTTGAATCGGAAATGCATTAATTAATTATACAGTCCATTAATAATATGAAAACATATCACCGAAAAATTGATGTTGAAAAAAATATTAAGTTCGTATTATATTCACAATAACGAAGATTATTTTTTGTACTTAATTCTATCAAATAAGGTGGTTGATCACTAAAATGTCTTCAACTTGCCAGACAAAAGCCATATAAATAATTCCTTTTTCATTTCATATACTTTCATATATTACTTTTTTTTAAAGTAAAGGAAATTTTTTATTTATTCAGTTTTGATTATAATGATAAAAAATAATTATTTACAAAGTCTAAATTAAAAGAATGTTCAGTAGTATATTATGCTCTGATGCGATATTTCTAAATGAGTTGTTGGCGAGATTAGACTTGGAAAATTTCAATTTAGACAAAAGATAGCAGTTTCATTTAATAATTGTTTTGCTCTGTACCTCAAATTTCGTTTAATTAGTTCAATTCTTTTATGGAAAAGAAAAGTATGAAACAATACGAATACAGTTCCATTGTTACTAACATGATTATTTGGTAAGTCGATGATTATTTGTAAACATTACTGAAGAATGAAATATCGCGAGAAAATTAGAATTTATTAATTAATTAACGCTAACTTAACTGACTGTTATCGGTTGCTACTTCCTGAATAACAGCTCGACACATAGGACACTCAACCAATTGTTTCGAACACAATTCGCAGAAACCTCTGAAAAGTTAGTAAAATAAATTTTCAATAATTAAAAAAACTTATGGGTCAATCTTATTATATTTCACCCAAAATCATTGCGGACGGTTTTGAGGTTTGACTAAATAATTTTTCTAAAAATAGATTGCAATGACTTTGGATGAAATGTAATAGATTTACCTATATATGATTAGGGTTTCGTGACAATAATAAATATTATCCAAAATTACATAATAAATAAGCCACGAAACCCAAGTGCCTTACACCACTATTTATAAATTGATTTTTTTAATTACCGATGATCACAAGGCAGCAATCTCACACAAGCTTTTTGATCGAAACATAAGGTACACGAATCTTCTCTGACACTCATTTTCCGTAATTGCTCCAAATAAATGTGCCTTGGCAAAACCAATTTATCTTCAGGATCAAGTGACGCGAAATCATTAAATGTTTGAAATTCACGGTCCTGTGGTGGATGCTTAAATGGAATATTGCCGAAATTAAACAGACATTGCTGAAATGACATGAAACTTGCTGCGGCAAAAAATCCTGATCTGAAAATTCTCGAACGTTTATAACAATTTTCGACGATTGTTTATATTGTATATACAACAAATTAATAAAAAAAGTATATTAACTTATGTAAGCTATGTCAAAGATAAAAAATAAATGAAAGTTAGTTTTGAAATCATGTAAATTTTTTTAAGAATAAAATTGTGTTTTTGACATATTTTAATTTACCTTGCAGTCTTAAAAACTTGAGTGCAGGGCTTTAATGGTACGCCATTAATAGAGAATATAATTTCTGGTTTGTTTAAATCTAAAAGACAGCCTAATATGTCTCCAGCTTTCCAAGGGTTGTCATGATACTTTTCACTCCGAGCATTATGCCAAATAAGTCTTCTGCAACCGTCGTAAGCTAAAGAATACTGATCATCCCCAATGCCGTAACCCTCCTGAAATTGTTTGAAAAATTAATTTTATTTCAATGTATTATAAAATATTTAAAAAAAAAACCTTTTTGTTTGCTCACATGATTAAGAAAAGTGCTGTCTTTAGTGGCCCAACCAATTTGCATAACTCCAGTAGTTACAATTAGAGTTTCATAATACCAAACTCCAGTATCAACTTGAAATGTGCATCTTACACTCTCGAAAGAATATGCGTCACAACGTGCCTATATCACAAATAATAACGTTATCGTAAAATAGGTAAATTATATCTTAATAGGTAAGTTATATCTTTTAATTAATTAGAGTAAACTTTAATTACCTCTAAACCATTGGGTGAAATTTTCAAATACTCGCTTACATCCTTTGTATTTAGCATTACATTTATACCTGTCATATCAACTGTGTCATGAGAATATTTACGACCTTCCATTAAAACTAAAAATAATTATTTTCATTAATTAAAGGAAAGGAATACATAAAATTTAAGAATCTGAAGTTAGATATTGTTAACTTAATCCACCTTTAATATAATTATTTTAAATTTAGTCTAGTTTGAAAAAAAAGTATTTTAGTAGATAGTAATAAGTAAATAAATTGAAATTTGACTTACACAAATTATCTAAAGACCATTGAGCACAGAAGCCGACTTGGCGTTTAACGTAATTAGTTGCATTCACCCATTTTTCTAGTTCTAATAAAGGATTTGGGTTTTCTGCTAAAAGTCGTTTCTTTATTGTTATTTTGTTTTCACCTGCGATAAAAGTTTTATTAATTTTGTAAGAGAATTATAAATATATTTCTTTATTAATCGTTTATAAACTATGTGGCACTTTAAGGGAGAGTTTGACACTTCAAAACCTTCAAAATATCAGGGAATTATAAAAGCTAGTAATAATAATACATTTTTATTTTCCATTGATTATTATTATTATTATTATTATTATTATTATTATTATTATTATTATTATTATTAATTATTTAAAAAGTAATTATTTTATATATAAAAAAACTTACTTGTTTGTGCGAACTTTTCCAACCCAATTAGTGAATGAAGCACCACGTAAGGTTCGACGTCGTTTCTCTAAAAAAATTAATAAATTTTCATAAAGGAAAAGCTATTTAAACTGTTAAATACTCACCAGATTTGACACCAAATAATCTAATGTAGCATCAGATAGAATTGCTATACTGCTAGGTCCAGCTAATTTTTCAGCAATACAGGCAAGTACAACACATATATTTCGTTGTTGAGTCGCACTAATTTTTGACTTCCCTGCCTTTTGAGACAATTGAAATAATTGAGATAGTCTCATTACCGAGTCCTGTGTTATAATGAACAAAATATTAAATTATAATTTGTCATTTTCATAAAAATAAAACTGTTTACTTCATTCATTCAAGTTTGCAAAGAGACTATTATAATCATAATAATGACTTTTGGTTATAAAATCATATCAAGAAGGAGAGTTATGCGTTTTGGTAAAAGGTATGGTAGGATTTGTTATTTATTTTTTTTTTTTCTACAAAAAGCAATTGCAAAGGAAAATAATTTTACAATCTTTACGTATCTTGAAATAAAGAAATTTACTTTTGATGGTAATGGACAGTCATCGAGCAGTAGTGTCATTACTGAAGGACCTAGTGAATTATGCATTGGAATGACGTTCACCATTGAACTAACTACTTCTATCCAACCGTCTTCTTTATCAGCAATCGAGTGTAATTTTAACATTGCCGGTGGTGGTTCTTGTTCACTAGAAAATTTCAAAAACTTTCATCTTTAGAAACAAAAGAATTTAAATTCATAATGAAACACTTAACTTAATTCATTAATAATTCTAGAACACGCTATAATTAATTTAATCTCTAATGAATATAAATAAAATAATCTAATGAGCATTACTTATCCACCAAAAGACCAATTACTCCAAGTGTTTCAAGAACTAATTTGTCAATGATGACAGAAGTTGGAAATTTAAAGCCTGTCGAGTCCTCATCTGAGCTTGAGATGAGGTCAACATTGCTATTTGGTAAAATTGTATTTGCTGAAGTAGCATGATTATTGCTGGTATAAGGCTGATGATCGTCAGAAGAATCTTTGCACAAACAATTGCCCATGCCACTGAATTTCAAAATCTTCTATATCTTTAAATCCAATAATTTTTACCCTCATGGCACTTGTATTTATTCATATTGCCCGATTTACCCGGGTCAATATGCACCTTCTAACGTAAGATTAAACTTTTTCCCTGAAAAATAACAATTTTTATGAACTCAATAAGGGGCGCATGATTATTCCCCAAAATTCAATTTCATAACTTTCAAAACATCGGAATTCTTATTATCGAAATGTCATTTCACATAATTAATATTTAAAAAAAAACAAACGATATCAGAATAAGTCAAGAGTCATATAAACAAAAGACCAAGTGTAACTTAAAGCTAAAGAGTTGTATTTAATATCAAAGAAAAATAAAATAGTCAAAATTAATTTTAACAAAATTATAAATTTATCTTCTCCAAATTTAAAAATAATAAAAGCGTAGGAGACTAAATTGTATTTTAAATTTAGTAGAATAAGAGATTCATTAAAAGATAAATAAACTTTTTTACATTAAAAGATAATTATCAATTTGTCAGTAAAATTATAAATTTTTAAAAATAATTGATTAATTAAAATTATAACAAATAATATAGTTCGCTCAAAAAATAATTTTTTATCTTCTGCTGATTATCGGCTGTGGTTACTTTTTATGAATTTTGAATTAAATTAATTTTGATGACCCGGATATTAATTGGAATTGTTCTAGCAATAGTTTGGGACCAGTAAACAATTTTTGTACCAACAACTTTGACTAAAAACAAGATAAAGTTTGTTCAAAAATTTATTTCATTTTCTGCTGATTATCGGCTATGGTTACTTTTTATAAATTTTGAATTAAATTAATTTTAATTACCCAGATATTAATTGGAATTGTTCTGGCAATAGTTTGGGACATAAAATATTTTTTGACTAACAATTGTTAGTAAACAGAAAATAAAGTTCCCTCAAAAATTTTTTTCATCTTCTGCTGATTATCGGCTGTGGATTTTTTTATTAATTGTGAATTAAATTCATTTCGATGACCCAGATATTAATAAATTGATATTTTTCTTGCCATAGTTTAGGAACAATATATAATTATTTTTTAATTTGGAAAAATTTTTGGAATTTTTCCTCTTACAGATTTTTAAGAAAATTTTAACTTAAAATTAAAAAATGTTTTTATCTCATTGCTATATAAAAATCTCTAAGGAAGAAAAATTTATTGTTTGTAATTCTTATTAAGATTTTGGTATTGAGAAGTTTACAGTGTAAATTTACAAAAGTAAAATGATGAAAATTCTCTTTTTTTGAGTTTCCTTAATCTTTAGTGAAAATACTGTTTTTTTTTTAAAGTGCCTGCGTTTTAAATAGTCCCCTGATAAAATTATTTTCTTTTTATCTTGTTCTGTCATTGTAGAATAAATTTTTATTTTCTAATAAAAACCGAGATTATCGTTCGGTGTCGATCGATATTTCAGTACGATACGATAAGTAAAAAAACAAATGGATGAACGATATTTACTTTGTTAACATTTTTTGAAAACGATCAGTATGAAGTGAGATAATTGAAAATCTCGTATCGTTATGCATCACTAATTACAAATTGTCATTTTTATGAATCGTTACTGTTGCGAATTGTGATTTGTCTGAATTAATTGACATTTTAACAAATATACACTTTTGTGAATTATTGTCAATTATATAATACAAATTGATAATTTTACGAATTGATACTTATGGATATTGTCACTTTTGTAAAAAATACTATAGTAAACTTGTGTGAATATATAAATTTACTGTAACAGTTTTCGCAAAAATGCCCATTTGTAAAAATTTCGCTTCGGACAAATAACTATTTGTTCAAATTACATTTAGCAAAAGTGACAATGAGTACAAATAAAATATGTCCCTTCAAACAAATGACGATTCGTTTAAATAGCATTTCGCTATAAAAACTGTTCGGTTAATTAATATTTAGTTAAAATGACACTTTGACCAAATGCAGTTCGGTAAAATGTTAATACTTAAATTTTGAAATAGTAGGTATTACTTCTTTTCTTTACAGTGTATAATAATTATGACAGTTTTCAATGTTGAGGTATCACACTGTCCACTAACATAAATATTTTTGTTTGTTTTCATTTCTTTTTCATAACTATTTGTTGGCAAATTATCAAAATATTATAAATTCATATACTTACGTTATTACTCAATCCTGCGTATTCTGAGAAAGTGAGAACAAAATGACGAAAAATATTGAAAATTTTAGGTTATGTTTGTATCCACAAAACGAAAATAGAAATATGTGTATCTTTAATTACTATATTTGTCTTTGAAAAAAGCTCCATTTAATCTTCTCGATAAACATTTTCAATTATTGTTTTTAGGATTAAATATTCTTGTCTCCTGGTTTGTTCACGGAAACGACTGAACTTTTTCAAATTCATAAATGTATGGAATATATATACATATACATATTTATTTGATAAACAGTTGACAAAGCAGCCTGTTGACGTTTTTATTTGATTTTTTTTAAATCAAATTTTTGATGTAGGTAAATTTACATTACAAGATGAGCATCAGTAATAATACTCATTTTTATTACTAATAGTTCCTTTTTTCTTGAATCACGCCTTCACCTTATTTATCTGCCGGAATTTAACAAGAAACATTTTACTGTTATTAAATACTATTACTAGACATTCACCATTTGTTTAAACGTTGTAACATTGAACGTTAAAAATAATAAGGACTGTTACTACACTGAAAAAAAAATATTAAAAAATTTTCTGTTCTTTAAACTTTAATTGTGGCGATAACGCAAAGTCGCGGTTATGTTGTAGTACAAAAAAAATGCAATCATTTGCAATAAAGTCCAACGCACAATAGGTTCGCGAACGTCATTCGCAAATGCAAAACATGAGTTAGAAAAGGACAGAAATATATTGATATCTTTTTCCATCTCATTCTTCACTTCGCGAATGAGTTTCGCGAACAACCCATCTCTGGTTCGAACGCAAGCATGTGAACACCGCCTTAAGGATTAGTTGTCTATTGTGGACTCGACGTTAAACTTTGCACAGTTGATAGGTATTCTGTACTCACCTTTATTCAGCGCATTCAGAGTGATAAAAGTACAGAAAATTTTTTTACAGTGTGTTTATCTGGTGAAGATTTTCTTATTTCTTTCATAAAACTATATAAGATCATCGTCAATTTTAATTGCTGAGTATATATTTGCAATTCGCAAAAACTGTTGTCTAGTAATCTGAATATGATTAATTTTGTGAGATTGTTAAATTGATATTATTACAATCACATGGGGTTGTCGGTCAGTTTTAACGATCAATAACAATAGAAAAATGAATTAGCGAAGTGAGCAGAAAATAATTCATTTATTGAAATCATGGTCATTGAAGACCAGGGAAATTTGCTTTCCGGAGCAGAGAATTATGTACAAAACTTTTATAGTTTGTTCAAAGTTGAGGCACAGAGGTAAACGAAATATAACCTCCTTCCTTTATTTACCTATTCATTATTATTTTACTGTTTGTAACGCTTTATCGTTATATGTTTGAAATCATCAGCCAATGACAATAATTGACTGTTTATTAATTGTCTGATATAAAAGTTTTTTTTCTCCTTATGGTTAACACTTAAGAAGCCGTATAAATTGGAAAATAACCTCAATCTTCTGTCATATACAATTATCGTCAAATCGTTAAGAATTCAAAAATTATAAAATAAAATATGTTTATTTCTATTTTTATTCCAATGATTAGTTTTAATATTTTAAAAAATTATATTTTTTTCTTAGTTTTCGTGGTTTAAAATAATTTATTTATATAAAAGAAATGATTTTGGGATAAGAGAGAAACTTAATAAATTAAAATTAATTAATGTTTTAGGTTAAAAAATGAATGGAAGAAATACAAGAAAAGCAAATCGAGCAGTAAAAAAGAGAAGAAAAAAGTATGTAAAATTATGAATAATTATTTAGTACACTGTAACAATTCTTAAAGGGACATATTCTAGTCAAGAATGTAAAAGTCCGTAAGTTTGCTTGAAGTCCATAAAAGTCCGTTTTTTTGAAAAAAAGGTCCGTAAAGTCCGTAAATTTTACGATATAATTTTGATAATTTTAGAGAAATTACAAATGATTGCAGAAATTCAATTATTTTCAAAAGTATTAAAATTCTTAGCCGAAATTCAATTATTTTCAAAAGTAATAAAATTCTTCGCAAAAATTCAATTAGGTTCAAATATTTTTCAAAATTCTCGTCAAAATTTCAATTATCTTTAGAAATAATTAAATTCATCACCGAAATTCAATTATTTTCAAAAAATTTTCTTCAATTCAATGATTTTCATTATCTACTATTTTCATAAATTTTTCCAAAAGAATTCAATTATTTTAAAAAAATATTTAATAAAATTCTACACAAACTTTTGATTCTTTTCAAAAAATAATAAAAATTGCACAAGAAATTCAATTATTTACACATTTTTTTTTAAATTTCTTCGCAATCATTCAATTATTTTCATAAATAATAAAATTCTTGTGAGAAATTCAATTAGTTTCGTAAATAATAAAATTCTTTTTAGGAATTCAATTATTTTCATAAATAATAAAACTCATTGCAGAATTTCAATTATTTTTAATACAATTTTAATCGAATTCCTCGAAAAAATTCTTAAAATTTTTATTAAAATTCGTCAAAAGAATTCAGTTATTCAAAAATTCATACATAAAAATCTTGATGAGAATTTAATTTTAAGAAACTTGCAATATTATTCAATAAATTATAATTTTTGTATTTAAATAATTGAATTCTAGTAGAATTTTCTCATAAACATTGATTTAAATATGGATTTCAGTTAAATTTTTAGAATATAATTGAATATTGAAAGCATGAGAGCGTAAATTTTAAGAAATAGTTGAATTTTGAAAAGTTTTCAGATTAAAATCATTGAAAATTTGAAGTTTTTATATTTTTAACTAAGAATTTTGTGGAATTAATTTTTTTTTTGAGAAACTTTAATTGTGGATTTTTTAAAAATTATTTAAAGTATTTATTTTCTAATATATATTTAATTCAAGAATTTACGAATAATTGAAATTTTGTAAAATTGAATTGTAAACAAATGAATTTGAAAATTCTTAAAGAACTTTTTCAAAAATTATTAAAAATAATGGATTTATAGAAGATTAGTTAAAAACACGAAAAAAAATTCAATTTTGTAAAAGTTACAAATTATTGCAAAAGAAATAAAATTCTTCTTAAAGACTCAATTATTTTCACAAAATAATAATAAAACTCATTGCAGAATTTCAATTATTTTTAATACAATTTTAATGGAATTCCTCGAAAAATGTAATTATTTTAAAAAATGTTATTAAAATTCAGCAAAGAAATTCAATTATTTTAAAAACTTTTGCTACAATTTATTTATTACAATTTCAGTATTATTTCCAATACATTTTTAATTAAATTTCTTCAAAAAATTGAATTATTTTAATAGATAATGAAATTCTTTGTAACAATAAAATTTTTTTCAAAATAATTTTCATAAAATTCTTCGAAGAAATTTAATAAATTTCAAAAAATTTGTCAAAATTCAATTATTTTCAAAGTCTACTATTTAAATAAAATTTCACAAAAGAATTAAATTATTTAAAAAGAAATTTTAATAAAATTCGTCTCAGGAATTCAATTATTTTTAAAAGTATTCTAATTCTTCGCAAAAATCTAATTATGTTCGAAAATTTACAAAAATTCTCGTCAAAATTTCCAATTATCTTTATAAAAAATAAAATTCCTCTCCGAAATTCAATTATTTTCAAAAATTATAATAAAATTCTTGGCAGAATTTCAATTATTTTTAATACAATTTTCATCAAATTCCTTGAAAAATGTAATTATTCTTAAAAATTTTATTAAAATTTGTCAAGAGACTTAAATTATCAAATGATTTTGTTGATAAAATTCTGTATAAAAATTCAAGTTTAAGAAACATCTAATTATTTAATAAAATATTTATTTTTGTAGTTAAATAATTGAATTCTTGTAGAATATTCTTTAAAAAAATTGATTTAAAAATGAATTTTAGTTATAAATTTTGGATAATAATTGAATATTAAAATCAATATAGCGTGAATTTTTTTAAATAATTGAATTTTGAAATTAATTTTTTTGAAAAAGTTTAATTGAATTTTTTTTTAATATTAGGTATTTGAAGTTTTTATTTTCTAATATTTATTTAATTGAAGAATTTACGAGTAATTGAAATTTCGTAAAATTGAATATTGTAAACAATTGGATTTGAAAATAATTGTCAAAGAACTGTTTAGAAAATTTATTATTAAAAATAATCGATTTAAAGAAGAATTTTAGTTAAAAATTCTTGTAAATAATAATTTGAATTGATAATGATTTTATCACTCGGTCATTTTTATAATTAAGTAAAATGTTTTCTCATTTGACTCGGATTGGTTATATTTTAATCAGTAATTGGTCCGTAATTTTTCATTTTTGGTTCGTAAAGTCCGTATTTTTAAATACTTTTCCCTGGTTTGAGCCCTGAACTTTAAAACAGTAAAAAATAACTTTTGAGGTTTATTTAGAAAAAACCCTTATGAAGAAAATTCGGTTAAAATTTTTAATTTATGTAAAATAGGTTGCACGTAAATTTCCTTTAATACTTTTTACAGTGTGGAGAAAACAAAACATTAAGTTATAATTATTAATATAACTTACTGATATGTTATTTTTTGTCGATAATTTTAGGTGGATGTAAGTGGTGAAAGTTGTTACAGTAGTCCACCAGGGATAGAAGTTCTAAGCAATGCTTCATCGTTTGCTGTTTTTGTTGCGGTGAGAAATTCCATTTTGGAAAAACGTAATCACATTGCCAGTGAATTAAATCCTACATCAAATTGTACATCTCCACCTCCTCCAGAATTCAGTGATACGATTGACAGCGACAGTGATGACGAAGATAAAATATCGTCAACCCAAAGTTTACCAAAGGTAAATAAAGACGAAATGTTGGATTGCTCTTGTTTTTGAGATAGATTTATATTAAACTGACGTTTAAAATAACATTTTCGAATTTTAATTGAGATCATTAAAGTTTTCTTTATTTTTTGTTATTCAATTTTAAAACAATCAAAAGAAAAAAAAAATAAGATTTATGTTTCATTTACAGATTGTTGGTATTGGTCTAAGAAGTGTTTTTACTTTAGTGAAAGAAAGTCGAACGATTGAACCAATATTTTGTAATAAAGCGCTGCGCGCTTTATTAGATATTCTGCAAGGACAACTTCCAGAAGGATTAAAAGGCGAGCCAGATGATATTGTGGGTACGTAAACATACGGTTTCGTTTGCCTTTACTTTGAAAAAGACAAAAAATTAACTAAACTTATTATTTTCATTATATGATTCTAAAAAAAGTTTTTTCAGATATCTCAATAATTCGATTTGTATTTTCAACAATTCGCGCGCGGCTGGCTTCTCGCTCGCTTTTTAAAATAAAATTAGTACCTAATTTTAAAAATATTAGAACGTAAAAATTTTTCATTCAAATTTTTTGTATAAAAGTAAATTTTTATTAAAAGTACTGAAAAAAATTAAATTCTTAGAATTCATAAGAAAATTCTGAATTTTTGTGTCTTTTTTGTTTGACAATTTTCATAAATAAATTAACTTCAAAAAGTTTCAATTTGAAATTTTATAAAATTTTAATGTTGAATGAATTTAATTAGAAATTTTAATGAACTTTGTTTTTGTCATTGTGTTTTATAGATTCATTGTTTGATCTGCTGCTTGATCTTGCAACATCACACGGGCCCGAATCTGATGCAGCTAACGATGGCAGTCATTTAACAGCAGTGGCTTGTGCATGTCTACTTAGTTTAGTCGTTGTTCGAGGTGATACTGGACATGTATTATCGGCAATAGCAGCTTTACTGATGTCGCCCAGAGCATTAGCGGCACAAAATATTCAGGTAATTAATTTTTGAGATTTTACACTACTTTAAATTCGCTAATACAAGAATTCAAAAAACTATTCTAAAAAATTATAATCAAATTCTTTAATAGGTACGATTCAATTATTTTCAAAATATTCGAAATTTAATTATTTTCATTAGTAATAAAATTTTTAAAAATTTTTGAAACAATCAATTATTTAACAAAATTTTTATACAATTCCTTACAATAATTCAATTACTTTCATTAATGAACTCGAAAAAATCAATTATTCAAAACAATGTTTATAAAATTCTTATGAAGAATTCAATTATTTTCAAAAAGAACCAAATTTTTCACAGAAATTGAATTGTTTTTAAACATTTTAATAAAACTTTTCGCAATAATTCAATTATTTTCATAAATAACAATATTTACCACAAGAATTCAATTACTTTAAAACTAATAAATTTTTTCTTGGAAATTCAATTATTTTAAAAAATTCTAATTAAATCGTTCTCAAGAATTCAATTATTTTCATAAATAAAAAAATGCTTTTTAGAAATTAAATTATTTTCAAAAAAAATTTAATAAAATGCTACACGGATATTCAATTATTGTCAAAAATTTTAATAGAATTCTTTGTAAAATTCAATTGTTTTTATAAATAACAATGTTCATCATGAGAATTCAATTATTTGTAAAAGTAATAAATTTCTTCTTGGAAATTCAATTATTTAAAAAAATTCTAATAAAATGCTACACAATTAATTATTGTCAAAGATTTTAATAGAATTCTTTGTAAAATTCAATTATTTTTAAAAACTTTTCGCCTTTCAATGATTTTCAATATCTACTATTTTCATAAAATTTCCAAACAGTATTCAATTATTTAAAAATTTTTTTGTAAAAATCTTCGTAAGAATTTAATGTTATTTATGAATAATAAAACTTTCTCAGTAATTCAATTATTTAAATTAGAATTTGCATAAAATTAGTCGAAAGAACCGCAAGAATTCAATTATTTAAAATAAAATTTTCATAATATTTATTATATATCGAAAAAATCAATTATTTAAAACAATGTTTATAAAATTCTTATGAAGAATTCAATTATTTTCAAAAAATAACAAAATTTTTCACAGAAATTCAATTTTGTTTTTAAACATTTTAATAAAACTTTTCCCAGTAATTCAGTTATTTTTATAAATAATAAAATTCTTCTCTGGAATTCAATTATTATTGAAAATTTTAATAAAATTTTTAGGAACTATTCAATAATTTTCATAAATAATAAAATTCATAGCAGGATTTCAATTATTTTTTTAATACAATTTTACAGGAATTGCTGAAAAAATGTAATTATTCTTAAAAATTTGATTTCAATTTCCTTACAAAAAATCAATTATTTAAAAAAAATGCTTCTTTTTAATTCTTTGATGAACTCAATTATGTCGATAAATAATAAAATATTATTCTCAGAAATTCTATTATTTTGAGGCATTTTAATAAAATTCTTTGCAAAATTCAATTTTTTCATAAATAACAATATTTACTATCACAAGAATTCAATTATTTTTAAAAGTAATAAATTTCTTCTTGGAAATTCAATTATTTTAAACAATTCTAATAAAATCCTTCACAAGAATTCAATTATTTTCATAAATAATAAAATGCTTTTTGGGAATTATTTTCAATTATTTTCAAAAAAATTTAATAAAATACCAAATTATTGTCAAAAATTTTAATAGAATTTTTTGTAAAATTTAATTACTTTTAAAATCTTTTCGCAATTCAATAATTTTCAATAAGATCTTATTTTCATAAAATTTTCAAACAGAATTCAATTATTTAAAAAATTTTTTGTAAAAATCTCCGTAGGTAAGAATTGAATTATTTTCACGAATAATAAAAATTTCTCTTTAATTCAATTATTTAAATTAGAATTTGCATAAAATTAGTCGAGAGAAATGAATTATTTAAAAATATTTATAAAATTCTTGTCAAGAATGAAATTATTTTTATAAATATTTAAATTCTTTCATGAATAATAAAATTCGTTGCAGGAATTGAATTTATTAGCAGGAAAAGAAAAAAGTAAATATTTTTGATGAAAATTAGAAAAATAAAATATAGAATGGAATTTTTGTCGGTTTGGTGAAGTTTCTAAAACGTGTTTTTTTCGTCGTCAAGTTTAATTTTACGATACCTACTTTTTTACCACTTTTTTTAGTTTGAAAGCTACTTTTTTAAAATTAATTATCGAGTGCGAAGTCTGCAGTTGATTTATTTTGAAATTGCAATAAGTTTAAAGTGTTATTTTTATTATTTTAGATGCCATATGTACTAATTTCGCTACAAAGAAGTGTCCACTCTGTGTTTTTTGGTAAACTTGCAAGACGCGATTGGATAACTTATGGAGTACCTAAAAATTCCAAGGTTAACACTTCTGCCCTCAAATTACCAAATGATATGAACAATGTAATATTGAATGGAAAAAGTTTTGTCAGTGATGGAAAGTACTTGTATCTTCATACAAATCAAGGTCTGATTAAGATTGGCAGTGGATATGGAGGAACAATCTGGGGTCACATTTATGCTCATAAATCTGATTTTTATCCTTCAGAAATTGGCTGGCTAGGTTATGCAAATGTGAGCAAGATTTAAGATCGTGTATTTGTAAATTGTTTAGCTGTTTAAATATTTATATTTATATTTCATTTTTTTTACAGAATTCCTTGTATTTTAAATGCGCACCTAAAAATCAGTATGAGTTGCTGATACTGGATACTGAGTTACTTTCAATTAAAGGTAAAGCCGTTTTGGAGGGTAAAGACTGGTCTTCCTCGGTTATGTTTTCCGATGGTGAGAATCTGGGAATGTTGACAGCTGGAAAGGATGTAAGTCTTGATTTGCATTTTAAGAAAAGGGACTAAAAATATTATTTTTTTAATATAAAAATAAACCTACGATTAGAGTTTATTAATTTTAGTTACGTTTTACATTTTTCTAATTAGAAATGTCTTGGAAATAATTTTTCATTTTTAGGAGGGTTTTGTTATTCGAACGATAAACACATTGAGGAATACTGTTAACGTAACGTCTGAGCTTCCATTGAAATTTGCAAAACAAGGTATAGATGTGTTTGGTTACGCTTTCTTTGATGAGGATCAAACAGCTCATGTTCTTAATCCTGGATACGATGATGAAATTGCCTCAGTGGCAGCAGGCAAAGAATTTGCTCTGCTAAGAACGATTTCTGGAAAGTTGCTCTATACAGGAAAGGGAAATTGCCTTGGAATGAAATTGAATACAAGACCAAATAGATGGCTTGAAATGGCATTAGGAAAAGATGCGAAAGTTGTTGATTTCTCCGTGGGTCACGAAGGCTATCATGCTATTTTTGTTCTCGATGATGGTTCTGTTCTTTTCGCCGGAACTTCCCGACGGGGAGAGGATGGAGAGAGTAGTGAGTGCTACTTTTGGGACTAATATAGAATTTTTTTTTTTTCGTCGCAGGAAATCAATTATTTTCAATAATTTTTAAGTAATTCTGCAAAAGAATTCAATTATCTTGATAACCAACAAAATTCTCCCCATAAAATCAATTATTTTAAAGATTTTTAATGAAATTCTTTTCCAAAATTCAATTATTTCGATAAACATCAAAATTCTTCTCAAGAATTCAATTATTGTCAAAAATTTTAATTAAATTCTTGGCAAAATTTCAATTATTTAAACAAAATTTAATAAAATACTTTGCACGAATTCATTTATTTTTATAAATTTTAATAAATATCTAGTCAAGAATTCAATTATTTTTATAAATAGCAAAATTTTTCGCCAAAAATTCAATTATTTTCAAAAATTTAAATAAAATTCTTTTCAAAATTTCAATTATTTTCAAAAGTTTTTCGCAATTCAATGTTTTTAAATATTTACTATTTTCATAAAATTTATCAACAGATTTAATTATAGAAAAAACTTGTTGATACAATTCTACAAAAAGATTCAATTATTTTCATAAATAATAAAATCTCATTTATACGAATTCAATTATTTTCATCGCAGAATTTCAATTTTTAATACAATTTTAAATAAATTCCTTGAAAAATGCAATTATTATTAAAAATTTTATTAAAACTTGAGGAAGAATTCAATTTTAAGAAACATTTAATTATTCAATAAAACAATAAAATTCGTTGCAATAATTCAAATATTTTCATAAATAACATTTAATTCGTCGCAGAAAATCAATTATTTTCAAAAATTTTCAAGTAATTTTGCAAAAGAATTCAATTATCCTTGATAAACAACAAAATCGCATAAATTCTTCCCATAAAATCAATTATTATAAGGAATTTTAATAAAATTCTTTTCCAACATTCAATTATTTTGATAAATATCAAAATTCATCACAAGAATTCAATTCTTTTGAAAAGTAATAAAATACTTTGCAGAAATTTAATTAATTTCAAAATTTTTTAAAACTTCTCGTCAAGAATTAAATTATTTTCATAAATAATAAAACTCATCGCAAAATTTCAATTATTTTTAATACAATTTTAATTAAATTTCTCGAAAAATGTAATTATTCTTAAAAATTTTATTAAAATTCATCAAAGAAATTCAATTATTTTAAAAAGCCTTCCTCATATTTTATTTATTAGAATATAAGTATTGTTTTCAATACATTTTTAATTAAATTTTCTTTAAAAAAATTAAATTATTTTCAAAAATTTTAATGTAATTCTTTTTAGCAATTCATTTTTTTCAAAATAATTTTAATAAAATTCTTTGTAGAAATTTAATTAATTTCAACAATTTATCAAAATTCAATTATTTTCAATATCTATTATTTCAATGAAATTTCACAAAAGAATTCAATTATTTAAAAAGAAATATTTTATTAAAATTCGTCTCAAGAATTCAATTGTTTTTTCAAAAGTTATAAAATTCTTCGCAGAAATTCAATTAGGTATAGTCAAAAATTTAAAAAAAATTCTCCTCATAATTTCAATTATCTTTATAAATAATTCAATTCTTCTCTGAAATTCAACTATTTTTGAAAATTTTAAGAAAATTCTTGGCAAAATTTCAATTATTTTCAAAAATTTTTCTCTATTAATTACATATTTTTAATATTTAGTATTTAGTATTTTAATAAAATTGTTAAAAAGAATTCAGTTATTTAAAAAAAAATTTCAATTGAAATTTTAATTAATAATTGAATATTAAAAGCATTAAAGCGTGAATTTTTAGAAATACTTGAATATTTGAAAAGGTTTTATATATTAAAATCTTTGAAAGTTTGAATATTTCATACTTTTAATTAACAAAGTTCTGTAGAAGAATTAATTTTTTTGAAATCTTTTTTTTAATTGAAAAATAAATGAATTTAAAAGTTCTCAAAGAACTTTTTCGAAAATTATTAAAAATAATAGATCTATAGAAGAATTTTAGTTAAAAACACTAAAAAAAATTTAATTTTGGGGAAGTTACAAATTATTGCAGAAATTCAATTATTTAAAAAAATTGTAATAAAATTCTTTGCAAAATTTCAAATTTTTTTCAAAAACTTTTCTGAATTCAATCAAATTTTTTTTTTACAGAGATTCAATTATTTTTAGTACAATTTTAATCGAATTTTTCGAATAATGAAATTATTCTTAAAAATTTTTAATTTATTTAAAATCTTAAAAAATTCTTAAAAATACGTCAAAAGAGTTTTAATTATTTACAAATTTATTGATTAAATTCTTTATGAGAGTTCAGTTTTAAGAAACATTCAATTATTTAATAAATTATTTACTTTTTGCATTTAAATAATTAAATTCTCGTAGAATTTTCGAATAGAAATTGATTTAAATATAAATTTCAGTTAACATTTTAGATAATAATTGAATATTAAACTCTAAATTTGAATTAGAAAAAATTGTTTCTAATTTGAATTAGTGACTGACTTTTTGCTTTTGAAATTAGTAGATTTTACCAATAAATAGTCGTTTCTACTAATTTAATAGTAACATTTACTAATTCAAAAGCAAAAAGCATTTTTACTTATTATAAATTTAGAGAGGAAGTATTATAGCGTGATTTTGTTGGAAATAATTAAATTTTGAAAGTTTAAATTTTTCATACTTTTAACTGAAAATTGTATAGATTTAATTTTTTGAAAAAAGTTTAATGGAACTTTTTTGAAATTATTTGAAGTTTTTATTTTCTAATGTATAAAATTGTGATTTAAAAATTGGAATGTTTTCGATAATTTCCGACGATAATGTAAGTTAATAATAGTAATTATTTGAATTATATTAACGATTATTAATTGCTTTGCAGTTAAAGTGCGACGGCCGGCAAAGGCAATGAAGCCAAAGAAAATAACAAAAGTCGAAAGCCAGGTGATTGTTAATTCGGCATGTAACAATGGAACAACAGCTCTTGTGACAAAGGAAGGTTCTTTATTAATGTTTGGCAAAGATTGTTTGCATTGCGATGGATCGACGGGTTTCGTTTCGAATCTCAAAGACGTATTTGTGGTGCAAGTTTCCTTAGGAAAAGCTCATGCAGCCGTATTAACAAATAAAGGGCATTTGTATACATTTGGTATTAATAACAAGGGACAGTGTGGTCGTGATTTTACTGTTGGGCAGACATTTGTGAAGGAAGTGACGTTCATGGATACGGAAAATGGTGCTGGGCCTGGTGAAGATGAATTGGGTGCTGTAGAAGATGGTAATTTTTTTATTATTTAATTAATTTCATTTGTTCTTTAGAATAAAGTAAATTAGCATAATTGTTTAAAACATTATTAAAACCTAATTTGATATATTTTGTTGTGCTTAATTTAGAACCTGCAGAGGATTGGGAAGAAGCAAGAGGTATGTGTTCTCCAGGAAAGCACCAATGGAGGCAAAGAGATTGCATGGTGTGTACAGTTTGTCGAGAATGCACGGGCTACAGTATATCCTGTCTCAGCAGCATCCGACCTGACAGAAATCCTGGACAGTAAGTCTAAGTATTCAATTTTATTTCCACTTTCTTCTAAATTCAGTTTCAATGTGCGGATAGTGTGGCTAGTTTTGTGGTTATTCATAACTAGCCACACTATCCGCGCGGGAATGTTGTATGGAACTGCTTATTTTAAACAATTTAAAAAATTTTTAAGAAATAATTATTATTACCTAACAAAGAGATTTAACTAACTAAAATTCAAATAATTTCACTTAATGGTCTCAATTTATATACAATTTACATTACTAGACTTAAACTATGGCTAGAACAATTTCAATTAGTATCTGGGTCATCTTTTGCATTGCTTATTTTATAAAGCCATTTTAATTTAAATACTTTTTAAAGAAATAATAATTATTACACACTGAAAAAAGTTTTACTTGAAATCGCGATAAGTTTCTCTAGAATAGCGAAAGTATTAATTGAAGCACTGAAAAATTTCGCTACTAAAGTGGAATCTGTAGTTTATCCAGCTAAACATTTTTTGCCGTGCATAACGAAAAATGAATTAAATTAACATCAGATTTTCTAAATTCAAAAAAACGAATTCAAATAGAAATTAATCATTTCAAAACTTAACCAAATTCACACCAGAAATCACTCAATTCGATAATTTAGAAGAAAGTCAGACAAAAGCAGGGTTCCAACAGAATCAGGAAATCATGGAAATGGTATGGAATTTTTAAAAGGCTTCTGGAAATCAGGAAAATCATGGGAAAGGCCTGGAATTTTTAAAAGTTTCTAAAATTTTTCAGTTTTCCAGTTTTCTCTTTAATAGAAATTCAAATAATAATAAAGCTAAATGGCATAAAAGAGAAGAAAAAATGTTGAATTTTAAGAAATTCGAATTTTTGAATTTTTGATCATTTTCGATAATTTTAAATTTTTTACCAAAGAGTCCGGACTATTCAATAAGTAAAGCATTTTCCAAAAGCACAAAAATAATAAAGCTTAATCCCATAAAAGAGAGGAAAAAATGTTGAATTTTAAGAAAATCGGATTTTTGAATTTTTTCGAATTTTTGATAATTTTAGATTTTTTACCAAAGAGCCGAGACAATTTAATAAGTAAAGTATTTTCCCAAAGCACAAAAATAATAAAGCTAAATCTTATAAAAGAGAAGAAAAAATGTTGAATTTTAAGAAATTCGAATTTTTGAATTTTTTCGAATTTTTGATAATTTTAGATTTTTAACCAAAGAGTCGAGACTATTAAATAAGTAAAGTATTTTCCAAAAGCACAAAAATAATAAAGCTAAATCTTATAAAAGAGAAGAAAAAATGTTGAATTTTAAGAAATTCGAATTTTTGAATTTTTTCGAATTTTTGATAATTTTAGATTTTTAACCAAAGAGTCGAGACTATTAAATAAGTAAAGTATTTTCCAAAAGCACAAAAATAATGAAGCTTAATCCCATAAACAAGTAGAAAAAATGTTGAATTTTAAGAAAATCGGATTTTTGAATTTTTTCGAATTTTTGATAATTTTACATTTTTTACCAAAGAGTCGAGACAATTTGATAAGTAAAGTATTTTCCAAAAGCACAAAAATAATGAAGCTAAATCCCATAAAAGAGAGGAAAAAATGTTGAATTTTAAGAAAATCGGATTTTTGAATTTTTTCGAATTTTTGATAATTTTAGATTTTTTACCAAAGAGTCGAGACAATTTGATAAGTAAAATATTTTCCAAAAGCACAAAAATAATAAAGCTAAATCCCATAAAAGAGAGGAAAAAATGTTGAATTTTAAGAAAATCGGATTTTTGAATTTTTTCGAATTTTTGATAATTTTAGATTTTTTACCAAAGAGTCGAGACAATTTGATAAGTAAAATATTTTCCAAAAGCACAAAAATAATAAAGCTAAATCCCATAAAAGAGAAGAAAAAATGTTGAATTTTAAGAAAATCGGATTTTTGAATTTTTTCGAATTTTTGATAGTTTTAGATTTTTTACCAAAGAGTCGAGACAATTTGATAAGTAAAGTATTTTCCAAAAGCACAAAAATAATGAAGCTAAATCCCATAAAAGAGAGGAAAAAATGTTGAATTTTAAGAAAATCGGATTTTTGAATTTTTGATAATTTTAGATTTTTTACCAAAGAGTCGAGACAATTTGATAAGTAAAATATTTTCCAAAAGCACAAAAATAATAAAGCTAAATCCCATAAAAGAGAGAAAAAAATGTTGAATTTTAAGAAAATCGGATTTTTGAATTTTTTCGAATTTTTGATAATTTTAGATTTTTTACCAAAGAGTCGAGACAATTTGATAAGTAAAATATTTTCCAAAAGCACAAAAATAATAAAGCTAAATCCCATAAAAGAGAGGAAAAAATGTTGAATTTTAAGAAAATCGGATTTTTGAATTTTTGATAATTTTAGATTTTTTACCAAAGAGTCGAGACAATTTGATAAGTAAAATATTTTCCAAAAGCACAAAAATAATAAAGCTAAATCCCATAAAAGAGAAAAAAAAGGTTGAATTTAAAGAAAAACGGATTTTTGAAATTTTTTTGAATTTTTGATAATTTTAGATTTTTTACCAAAGAGTCGAGACAATTTAATAAGTAAAGTATTTTCCAAAAGCACAAAAATAATGAAGCTAAATCCCATAAAAGAGAAGAAAAAATGTTGAATTTTAAGAAAAACGGATTTTTGAATTTTTTCGAATTTTTGATAATTTTAGATTTTTTACCAAAGAGTCGAGACAATTTAATAAGTAAAGTATTTTCCAAAAGCACAAAAATAATGAAGCTAAATCCCATAAAAGAGAAGAAAAAATGTTGAATTTTAAGAAAAACGGATTTTTGAATTTTTTCGAATTTTTGATAATTTTAGATTTTTTACCAAAGAGTCGAGACGATTAAATAAGTAAAGCATTTTCCAAAAGCATAAAAATAATGAAGCTAAATCCCATAAAAGAGAAGAAAAAATGTTGAATTTTAAGAAAATCGGATTTTTGAATTTTTTCGAATTTTTGATAATTTTAGATTTTTTACCAAAGAGTCGAGACAATTTAATAAGTAAAGTATTTTCTACATTAAAAAGGTTGACATTAAAAAATATATAAAAAATGCCAATACTTAACCCACAAAATTTAATTTTCAAAACAAACAAATGAATGCAGATAATTTGCTAACTGAAAGGAAACTTACGATTATTATAATGTATATATATATATATATTTAGAGGTGGCCGACTACTGTATCTTTTACTCTACCTAAGAAACAAAAAATTTGAGGTCATGTTTATAGTTTTTGAAGCAAGAATACAGAAAGAGAATAATTTACTATTACAAGTTATTGATGTTTAAGTATTATATTTTCATTACACTTTACATATTAAGAAATTCAACTAAATAATATGAATTGTTATATTTTTTTTTACAGAGAATGTGGTTGCGGAGAAGGTGATTCCGGTTGTGCAGTGTGTGGCTGCTGTCGTATTTGTGCTCGGGAAAATTGTGATAATGGTGGTGAAATGGCAGTTCTTGGACCATCGGGATTAATTTTTGAAGGTAGTAGTTTACCATATTTGGATTTTTATTAATTTCATTTTATTGAGAATTTATTTTCGAATAATTTTGATTCATCAAATAAATCTTTTTTTCTGTAGTAGATTAATTTTAATAACAATTCTTGTTTTCATCTTAATAGGAAAAGCTGGTTCCAGTATACGTGAATACCTCCGCAAACGATTGGAGGAAAGAAAGCAACGGCACAGAACAAAATCTGGCTCAAGTTCTAGCAAACATGTTGGAAAATTGAAAGGCTCAAATAATCAGAGATCAGGTATTTTTTAAAATATTTATTGGTATTCATTACACTGGGGTCAGAAAGTTTCAGTACATTTCGTCCAGTTGCGGGTTTTATTCTATTTAGAACGTCGAACAAATTTGATTTGAAATTTATAAAAATTTAAAAATAAATATAAGAAATAGAAATACTTAAAATAATTTAGTGGTTAAATTTGAATAACTTTAATTTTGCAGCTGGAAGTAGAGTGAATATTCAAACAATAACGGTCACTAGACTGCCCTCAGGGGTATTTAATATTGTACCAGATGAGGGTGAGAAAGGAAATGACATGGAGAAAGGTGAGAAATTTCAAAAAATCACTGTAACTCGACTGCAATCGGGAGTTTCCTATCTTTTACCGGATGAAGTAGAAAAAGGCAGTGACGCTGAGAAAGGCGATAAAGGTAGTGACGCCGAAAAAGGCGATACCATAAGAATATCAAATATACCACCCGCAAGAGTTCCTGTTCCCGATGATGTTCCGGTTATTCAAGTATCATGCGGATTACATCATACTGGTAAAAACTGTTAATTTCTAGTTTATATTAATTAATTTAAGATATATTTTATGCTGCAAATTGTTATAAATATTTATTTATATTTTTTCAGTGATTCTTTTGAAAAACGGTCATGTTTATACATTTGGAAGTAATATTCATGGACAACTTGGAGCTGGTAATCTGTTTGCTCACGCAGGACTTGTTCATGTGAAATTACCGATTGCTGCTTCTCATGTTGCGGCTGGCAGCAATCACACTGTCATTCTCACTGTAAATGGAGAAGTCTACACTTTTGGCTCTTATCAGGTACAGTAGAGAATAATAATAATAATAATTATTATTATTCTCTGTTTTTTGTAATAAAGATTTTAACTTTTGTATTTTTATTATTATTCTTCCACTCGTACATAGAAAGGGCAACTAGGCATGAAAGGAGAAATTGAAGATGAAAATATCTCGCAAACAAGTGTTAGATCCGAAAAATCTCAACCTTGGTATAGTTTTCCAAATCAAGTTCCGAATATTGGCTGTGAATGGGGTAGACGAGCTACCTGGGTGGGAGCTTCCGGTGATCAAACTTACATCAAAATTGATGAAACTAGTTTCATTAGTTTAACAAAGAGCAACGTGGTGGCAAATAAAAGTTGTATGAGTAAGTTTTTTTCATTTCATACTTATACTCATTACTATTTATTATTTAATTTTAAAGGTTTATAATATTTTATATATTTTATCAACTGAAAATTTTTAATTTTTTTATTTCAGTTTTGATTCCTCATCAGAGCGATCATTCGAATCCATTGAAATGTCTGGTTATCGATAAACGTGATGGCAGCTGTAATAGTTTTAGCGGAAATGATCAGGTTGATTTTAGTCGTTGCGCAGCTAATTTGGATCCTTTGTACAATGTAATTTGGACCTTTGATTCGGAAACTAATGAAATCTCTTCGTACAATATAATTTCCGCTGACTCAAAAGTGATTCCTAGTTTGGAAATGTCCATTCTTAATCCAGGACTTGCATTACCGGTGGTGCCAAATTGTTTTGTTACACGTTCTCAGGCAGCAATTCATTTATTGTCTTGTTTAGATACACTTACTCAAATACAGGATGATAAATTGACAATTATGGAAGAAAGCGACAGTAATCAGTCGACACATAATAAAATTTACAATCGAGAAGACTTTGTGACAGTGAGCCGATTTGAAAGTAAGTAAAAAAAATACTACCAAAATATTATTTAAAATGGAAAAGTTTAAAAATTATTTTTTTCTTTGCTCAAAATTTATCTGAATTTAAAAAATTATATTTTATAAAAATGAATCTAAATTTAGGAAATGTAACTTATTAATTCCTTTACTAGCAACAATTCACGCGTTTACGCGCGCGACTGATTTCTCACTCACTTTATTGAATAAAATTAGCAATTTTAAAAATAATAGAACGTTAAAATTTTTAATTTAAATTTCTTTTTAAAAAAATAAAATATGAATTATATGGTATTAATATTATTATAATTATAATTATTATATATTCTAAAATAGAGAATTCAGGGAAAAGTCTGGAATTTTTATTAAAAGTACTGAAAAAATTTAAATTTTGAGATTTCATAAGAAAATTCTGAATTTTTGTCTCTTTTTTGTTTCACTCATAAACTATAAAATTACCACGAATTCTAATAATTTTTAATTCTAATTCTTCAATTTTTTCAATTTCTGACAAAAATTTTTTTAATAACTTAAATCTTGAACAACTATCATGAAATAAATAAATTATTTAATGAATAATTTTAATTAAATATATTTCAAAATTTATTCAATTTTAAAAGAGTTGCGTTTACAATTGTCATGAATAAATGAACTTCAAATGGTTTTAATTTGAAATTTTATAAAATTTCAATGTTTAATGAATTTAATTAAAAATTTTAATGAACTTAGACTTTTGAAAAATTTTAATAATTCAAAATCTTCTAAAATTAGTTAAATTTGTTAATATATATTTAATTAATTATTAAAAATAATGGATTTATAGAATTATTTTTATAAATAATAATATTCATCTCCGAAATTCAATTATTTTCAAAAATTTTAATAAAATTGTCAAAATTTCAATTTTTTAAAAAATTTTCATCATTTCAATGAATATCAATATCTACAATTTTAATAAAATCAGCCAAAATAATTAAACTATGTATTTAAAAACAATTTTAATAAAATTGTACGCAAACATTTAATTATTTTCATAAATAATAAAAATCTCGCATGAATTCAAATATTTACAAATTTTTTATAAATTTCTTCGCGATAATTCAATTATTTTCGTAAATAATAAAACTTATCGCAGAATTTACATTATTTTTAATACAATTTTAATCAAATTCCTTGAAAAATGCAACTATTCTAAAAAATTTTATTAAAATTCATCAAAACAATTCAATTATTTAAAAATTTGTTAATAAAATTCTTTATAAGAATTAAATTTAAAGAAACATTTAATTATTCAATAAATAATTTACTTTTGTATTTAAATAATTGAATAAAATTTAATTAATTTTATAAAATATGAAGAAATCGATCACTCCGAGTCGAAGACTATTTTTAATAAAATTACCCAAAATAATTAAATTATTTAAAAACAATTTTAATAAAATTGTACGCAAACTTTTAATGATTTTCAAGAATAATAAAAATTTCCCATGAATTCAAATATTTACAAATTTGTCATAAGTTTCTTCTGAATAATTCAATTACTTTCAGAAATATTAAAATTCATGGCAGAATTTCAATTATTTTTATTCGAATTGCTTGAAAAATGTAACTATTATAAAAAAATTTATTAATATTTGTCATAAGAATTCAGTTACCTATTTAAAAATTTGTTAATAAAATTCTTTATAAGAATTAAATTTTAAGAAACATTCAATTTTTCAATAAATAATTTACTTTTGTATTAAATTAATTTAATTCTCATAGAATTTTCTAATAAAAATTGATTTCAAAATGAATTTTAGTTTAAATTGAAGATAATAACAGAATATGCTAATAATTTTTAAGAAGTTACAGTAACAATATTCTTATAATATAAAATAATTATTATAACACTCGATCTTCTTTAATTATTATAAAACATAAAGATATCGAACACTCCGAATCGAAGACTCGGAGTAATCGTTATCTTTATGTTTTATAACAATATTTTTAAAGTTCATTAATTTTAAAAAGATTTGAATTTGAATGTTTTGAAGAATTTTAATTCCTATGGAAAAATAATAATAATTAAATAATTAAATATTTAAAAAAGAAATTATTGTTTTCGAATAATTTTACAATTAAAGATATTCGTAAATAAATTTAATAGAACATTTTTTTTTTTAATAAAATGTTTTTCCTTATTTTCTAAAAATTCAAAAATTTTCAGTTTCACTTTTAATTAAATTTTCTAATTGACAAATATAATTTATAAACATTTTTTTTCCTTTATTTTTAAAAAACTGAATTTTATTAAAACAATTGAAATTAAGAAATAGAATTGATGCAAATTATTTCCTTATGAAAATTGAGATTTTTCTACAAAAATATTAAGAAACGGGAATATCTAATGTTTTTCTTTCCAAAAGAAAAAAATGAGTAAACAATATTGTTATTGAGAAATAAAAATTATGCATAAATGGGTATATTTTCTTCTTCTTAATAAAAATTTTTTAACAATTAATTTTCTAGTATTTTTTTTAAATAAAAAGGAGAATAATTTGCATAATAATTTAGATCAGTCAAACGAAATTTGTTATAGAAAAAAGCATATAACAAACAAATGGGTATTTTATTTTATTTGTTAATCATAATTGTTTAAAAATTTTCTAATTTGTAATATCATTTAAAAATAGTTTTTAATATTTTTTAAAAATTTTCTAATTTATAATATTATTTACTATAAATCATATAAAAAAATACCTGCATATTTTCGATTTGTCAGACAAAATTTTTTAAAGAAAAAAAAACAAAAGCATACTGAGTAGACAAAAGTCTAATCTTATTTATAATGATTAAAATTAGAATTTTTCTTTTCAAAATATTTTCTATTGGAATGAGATTTTTAACTAAAATTGCAAAGGATTATTTTAATTTTTTTAATAAATTGTTGTCAGTATTATTATGGACATGATAGTGAAATATTTTTATTTCTATTCTATTTTATTTTAATTTTCATAACTGAATTTATTTGATTTTAGAGTGTAATTTAATAAGTCACTAATTGCAGATCATGGTGGTGGATGGGGATATTCCGGACATTCAATTGAGGCTATCAGATTTATGGTAGACACTGACATCCTTTTAGGTGGTTATGGATTATTTGGTGGACGTGGGGAATATGCCGCAAGAATCAAGGTAAATTAATTTTACTTGAATTTGAATTTGTAATTTGATAAAATGAAAGTATTTTTTAAAAACTGTTTTAATTATTATAATTTGTCGTATTTATCATTTATTTAATTATTATTGTGTTATTATCACGCTGAAAAAACTAAGTCCGTGAATTTCGCATAACTTTCTGGACCAACAAATATAGTCGTTTACGTAACTGAGTTTGCAGAATGTGGTGAACATTATAGAAAAGGGTGATTTCGAATAAAGTCGTTGAGGCCTAATTTAAACAAAATTATTCTTTTAGATATGAATCTGTATGATCTTTGAGGAACGAAATAGAAAGAATAAAGTATTTATTTTTAGAGTGATAATTTTAGAGAGATAGATAATTTTTAGAGTGAATCGCAGAATATTCTTTAGGGTCAGGGAAAAAGTGAAAATTTTTCTGGAAATCAGGGAAAAGTTAGGGAAACACAAAATTAAATTTTTGTGTCAACAAAAATGTTATTATTAAAAAAACAATCACTTCATTCGAAGAAATTAAAAGTATTGAAATTCAACAGTTATTTGATATCGGATTGGATGGTGGCGATCAAGAAGTTGATGGTGAACTCCTGGCAGAAACAGAAGAAATGCCATATGAATGTGGACCAAGACAGAAGAGTGCAATTTTATTTGATGAACCAGTAAATTTACAAGCAAATAGATGGTATGTTGCTTGGGCAAGAGTAAGTGGACCTTCAAGTGATTGCGGTTCGGGAGGACAAGTTGTTGTTACATCCGAAGATCAGTTAGTTACATTTCATATAAAATTTCACTGATTATATGTGCTCAGAATTTACATAATTTGACATATTTTTATATAAATATTTGCAGGATAGTCTTTAATTTTAAATCATCGAAGAGATCAAATAATGGAACGGATGTAAACGCTGGTCAAATTCCACAATTGCTCTATCGAATTATTACGCCTGAGAATCAAAGTCTAAACACACAAAAAGATCAAATTGAACCTGTTTACATACTCAGTAAAGAATTTAGTAAAGCAGTAAGTAAGGTAAGTGATTTCAAAAAATTGGAGAAAATTTTTACATTTATAAAACATTAGTATTATTCTATTAGAAGGTTAAAATTTAGAAGTTATTGATGTTTTTGAAGAAATTTGTAAATAAATGTAATAAGAACATTTTCTTGAGTATCTAATAATTTTTAGAGTGAATCAGAATATTGTTTAGGGTCAGGGGAAAAGTGAAAATTTTGTCTGGAAATCAGGGGAAAAAAAGTCGTATTAATGCCCTTTTTGTTGCAGGAGTGTTTCAAATCGTTAATATCTCTTTTGCAATGGAGTTGGAATACATTGAAAGCGAATTTAGCGAATTCAACTATGAATTTAACATCATTCACTATTTCGGAGTTGGAAAGACTTGTTTATATCAGTAAAGCAAGTTTGAGATTACTTAGAACGTATACAAATGAGATATATCCAAATATAGGTAACTTTTCATATTTAATTATTGTTAAAATTAGGATTTAAGGAGGAATCGGACACATTAAAATTCGAGTACTCAAATTCACTCGAGTCACTAACTTTCGATAATATTCTTTGTCCGATTCTTCCTGAAATCATGGTTGCCACAGAGTTTGAAAATCCTGGAAAACCTTGAAAAGGTATGGAATTTAGAAAAGGGTATGAAAAATCTGGAAATAGAATGGAATTTAAAAAAATTTCTGGAATTTCGCCTGTTTTTAAAGATTTCTAACAAATTTTAATTTAAAATTATTATTCAATGATTTTTATAAATGATAACATTTTTTACAGGGATTCAATTATTTTCATAAATACACAATACAACTCATCACAGACTTTCAATTATTTTTAATTTTTAATACAATTTTAATGGAATTCCTCGAAGAATGAAATTATTCTTAAAAATTTTATTAAAATTCAGCAAAGAAATTCAATTATTTTCAAAAATTTTCCTCATTTCAATTATTTTTAATATCTACTATTTTAATACAATTTTTTAAAAGAATTGAATTATTTAAACAAAATTTTAATAAATTTTCCTATACAATTCAATTATTTTCAATATACAATTCTTCTTAAGAATTTAATTATTTTCACAAATAATACATTTTTTATGGGAATTCAATTTATAAATACATAATAAAATATTTATTATTTATTTATTATTTATTTCTATTTATAATATAATGTATTTTTATATGAATAAAATTTTCGAGAATTATTTTTTTTTAATTTTGATAAAATGCTTTATAAATTTTAAAAATTATAACAAAATTGATCATAGAATACAATTTTTTTTTTGTAAAATGTAACATTCTTCCTAGGAGGGGCGCATGATTATTCCCCAAATGTCATTTTACCGAACTGCACTTTTGCGAATTGTCATTTTTGCGAAAAGCCATTTTTGCGAAATGTCATTTTTACGAATAGTCATTTTTGCGAAAAGCCATTTTTGCGAATAGTAATTTTTGCGAAAAGTCATTTTTACGAATTTTCATTTTTGCGAATTGTCATTTTTGCGAATCGCCATTTTTACGAATTGTCACTTTTGCGAATCGACATTTTTACGAATCGCCATTTTTACGAATTGTCACTTTTGCGAGTCGACATTTTTACGAAATGTCATTTTTGCGAAAAGTAATTTTTACGAATTGTCGTTTTTGCGAATTGTCATTTTTGCGAAATTTCATTTTTGAGAAATGTCATTTATGCGAATTGTCACTTTTGCGAATCGCCATTTTTACGAATTGTCACTTTTCCGAAAAGTCATTTTTGCGAATTGACATTTTTGCGAAAAATACAATAGTGAATCTATATATACTACAAGTTTACTATTGTATTTTTCGCAAAAATGACAATTCGCAAAAATGACTTTTCGGAAAAGTGACAATTCGTAAAAATGGCGATTCTCAAAAGTGACAATTCGCATAAATGACATTTCTCAAAAATGAAATTTCGCAAAAATGACAATTCGCAAAAATAGCTTTTCGCAAAAATGACAATTCGCAAAAACGACAATTCGTAAAAATTACTTTTCACAAAAATGGCTATTCTCAAAAATGACATTTCGTAAAAATGTCGATTCGCAAAAGTGACAATTCGTAAAAATGTCGATTCGCAAAAGTGACAATTCGTAAAAATGGCGATTCGCAAAAATGACAATTCGCAAAAATGAAAATTCGTAAAAATGGCTTTTCGCAAAAATTACTATTCGCAAAAATGGCTTTTCGCAAAAATGACTATTCGTGAAAATGACATTTCGCAAAAATGACTATTCGCAAAAGTGCAGTTCGGTAAAATGACATTTCGGAAAAATGACATTTGGGGAATAATCATGCGTCCCTTCCTAGGAAAATAATTATTGTCAAAAATGTTGTAAAAATCTTCGAAACAATTCAATTATTTTCGTAAAAAATAAAATTCTTCGAAGCAATTCAATTATTTAAGAAATTTTAATAAAATTCTTCCAAAGAATTTAATTCTTTTTAAAAATAAAATTTTTCACAAGAATTGAATTATCAAGAAAAAAATTTAACGCAAAAATCTACTTATGTTCAGAAATTTACAAAAATTCTTGGCAGAATTTCAATTATCTTTCTAAAAAATAAAAATCCTCTCCGAAATTCAATTATTTTCAAAAATTATAATAAAATTCATGGCAGAATTTCAATTATTTTTAATACAATTTTCATCAAATTTCTCATAAAATGAAATTATTCTTAAAAATTTTATTAAAATTCAGCAAAGAAATTCTATTATTTTTAAAAACTTTTGCTACAATTTATTTATTACAATTTAAGTATTATTTTCAATGCATTTTTAATTAAATTTCTTCAAAAAGTTGAATTATTTTAATAGATAATGAAATTCTTTGTAACAATAGAATTTTTTTAAAAATAATTTTCATAAAATTTTTCGAAGAAATATAAAGTATTTCAAAAATTTGTCAAAATTCAATTATTTTCAATGTCTACTATTTAAATAAAATTTCACAAAAGAATTCAATTATTTAAAAAGAAATTTTAATGAAATTCGCCTCAGGAATTCAATTATTTTTAAAAGTATTCTAATTCTTCGCAGAAATCTAATTATGTTCAAAAATTTACAAAAATTCTCGTAAAAATTTCCAATTATCTTTATAAAAAATAAAATTCCTCTCCGAAATTTAATTCTTTTCAAAAATTATAATAAAATTCTTGGCAGAATTTTAATTATTTTTAATACAATTTTCATCGAATTCCTTGAAAAATGTAATTATTCTTAAAAATTTTATTAAAATTTGTCAAGAGAATTAAATTATATTTAAAAATTTTGTTGATAAAATTCTGTATGAAAATTCAATTTTAAAAATCGTTTAATTATTTAATAAAATATTAATTTTTGTAGTTAAATAATTGAATTCTCGTAGAATGTTTTAATAAATATAGATTTAAAAATGAATTTCAGTTAAAATTTTAGATTATAATTGAATATTGAAGGCATTATAGCGTTGATTTTTTGAAATAATTTAATTTTCAAAAGGTTTCAAATTAAAATTTTTGAAAATTTAAACTTTTCATACTTTTAATTAAAAATTGTGTAGAATTAAGTTTTTTCAAAAAATTTAATGGAATTTTTTAAAAATTATTTAAAGTTTTTAATTTTTAATACATTTAATTGAGGAATGTCAGAATAATCAAAATTTCATAAAATTAAATTGTAAAAAAAAGAATTTGAAAATTCTCAAAGAATTTTTTCAAAAATTATTTAAAAAAATTGACCTAAAGAAGAATTTTAGTTGAATATTTTAGAAATGAATAATCGTAATGATGAAAATAATTTTTGAAGAAGTTACAGTAACAAAGTAGCAAGTTTTAATTATTATAAAACATGAAGAAAGCGATTACTCCGAGTCGAAGACTCGGAGTTATTGCTTTCTTCATGTTTTACAATAATATTCTTATAAGTTATTGAATTTGAAATTTTTATTTCTATATGAAAAAATAATAATGATTGAATATTTATTTAAAAATGAAGTTATTGATATTTTCGAATAATTTTCGTATTAAAAACCTGGAAAAATTCCGTTTTTTAATCTTGAAAAGTCAGGGAATTTGAAAAGAGCAAAAGCGTGGCAACCCTGTGAAAAATACAATAAGTTATTATAATATTAATATATAAGTGACGTATGTTTTGTTTATTGCAGTTGTTAAGAAAGCCCCAGCCGAATCTGTGAAATTAGCAGAATGTACAGTAGAACTGCGCACATTGATTCAACAAATTCTTTCAGACTCAATAAGCATTAACAAGAAAGGCAAAAGCAAAACACGGTTCAGTAAAAGTAAATGTTTATTTAAAACTAAATTTTCTTATCAAGTTTCTAGAATTCCAAATGTGAATATGTGACATATTTAATTGTAATAACTTTTTAGGTTCGAATCAGCTTTTCATAAAAATGGCAAATACAGTGTTGGAAGAATGTCATAAAACTTTCGTAGCTTGTTACCATGCATTTTATCCTACTGCCTATTTAAAGTGGACTTCCTTATGTGAACTTCTATCAAAAATTGATAAGGTAACAAGAACTTGAAAAGAATTCAATAATTAACTATAAAAATTTAAAACAATTATTGCAAGATGTTTTTTGTAATTTAATATTTTTTTCAGGAACAAGGGATAACGTCAAAAGATCGTCTTCTTTCGGCTGTTCTTGCGTCACTTTGCAATTCAACTGTTCGTTTAAGAACTACATTTCCAATTTTGAACAATGTCATGGACAGTAGTGATAATGTTAAACGTCAATTGAGTCCGTCCGATAATACGAGCTTATTAATGATGAATTCTACAGAATCCCATCATTATCCAATTCTCGTTGAGCAAATTAATCATAAATCACAAATTGAGAGTACAGAAAATGAAATGTTAAATTGGTCTTTTCGTGATGTTCTTGATCGACTTTTGGATTTAACATTAATACCAGTGAAAAGACGTCTTTGCGATGAAAGTTGTCAATCACTTCCTGACCTTGTGCTACATTGCTGTCATTTATTGGCGAAAGTCATTGCTGAATTGGCCGCACAATCTAATGGAACAGAGGATGAATTTCAAATTGCTTGCGGGAGAATTTTATACACAACACCCTCAAGATTTGCTAGAGTGAATCAAACGAGATCATGGAACACTGGCAATGGTGCTGCAGACGCTATTTGCTTTTCAGTAGACAGACCCGGAATCACAATAGCTGGTGTTGGTGTATATGGTGGAGTTGGAGGATATGATTATGAATTGGAACTGTTGGATGGCGTGAGTAGTGTTTTTAACTTTTCACATAACAATAAGTAATTATCAGACGCACTAACCTTGAGAAAAACCCAGAGAGCGCTTGGACAATCACAAAGGGGAAAGGGTAAAATTTCCCCTTCTCATTTGTGACCGTCCTATCGCTGACTGGGACTTTCTCATGGTCCGTGCCCTTGATATAGTCAATTTACTACTATTGAAGTTAAGTAAAAGTGAATAATTTTTATCGCCTGTAAATTTGAATTAGAACAGAATCTGAATTAATTGTTTTTTAGCAAAACAATACTGGAAACGATCCCTATAATACACAACGGTGGATGAGCTTGGATTTCATAAGGGGCTCTTTTAGCGCTGAAGAGTGCAGTGATGAGGTTATGGACTTGAAATTTAATAAGTCGATACCAATAAAGGAGAATGTTAAATATGCAATTCGTTTAAGAAATCGAGGTGGTCGAACCAGCAACGGGGATGGTGGACTGAGTGTTGTCAAAGGTCCAGATGGAACAAGTTTTACTTACACCACTTGCTCCTTATGTTTTAATGGTATGTGTAAATTTAATTTTTAATTCTTGTTTATTGTTTAAGGCATTTTATCACCTCTCACCTCCAAAAAATTAGTTGTTTTCTGAAAATTTTTTTTTACATTATTATATAGGGTAACGATATTAAAGGGTCCAATTCTAATTGGAAAATAATTATTTTTCATTGAAAGTAATTATTTTAATGAAAGAAAAATTTTATTTTATATCAGGCTTCACAGTCTGTCCCCTATTTCCCTAAAAGTCCCCTGTTTTTAATTTTGGCCCCTAAACGTGTACCCTATTTTGAAAATTTCCCCTAAATTTCCCCTATTTTTTTCGTCGCAGAAAATCAATTATTTTCAATAATTTTTAAGTAATTATGCAAAAGAATTCAATTATCTTGATAACCAACAAATTTCTCCGCATAAAATCAATTATTTTAAGGACTTTAATGAAATTGTTTTACAAAATTAAATTATTTTCATAAATATCAAAATTCATATCAAGAATTCAAAAAAATTTTAATTAAATTCTTGGCAAAATTTCAATTATTTAAACAAAATTTAATAAAATACTTTGCACGAATTCAATTATTTTTATAAATTTTAATAAATATCTTGTCAAGAATACAATCATTTTTATAAATAGCAAAATTTTTCGTCAAAAATTCAATTATTATAAAAAATTTAAATAAAATTCTTTGCAACATTTCAATTATTTTTAAAAGTTTTTCGCAATTCAATGTTTTTAAATTGTTACTATTTTCATAAAATTTATCAACAGATTTAATTATATTATCTACATAATTATCTACAAAAAGATTCAATTATTTTCATAAATAACAAAATTTCATTTACGAATTCAATTATTTAAAAATTTGTAAATAAAATTCTTTATAAGAATTAAATTAAGAAACATTCAATTATTCAATAAATAATTTACTTTTGTATTTAAATAATTGAATAAAATTTAATTAATTTTATAAAATATGAAGAAATCGATCACTCCGAGTCGAAGACTATTTTAATAAAATTACCCAAAATAATTAAATTATTTAAAAACAATTTTAATAAAATTGTACGCAAACTTTTAATGATTTTCAAGAATAATAAAAATTTCACAGGAATTCAAATATTTACAAATTTGTTATAAGTTTCTTCTCAATATGTCAAATACTTTCAGAAATATTAAAATTCATGGCAGAATTTCAATTATTTTGAATCAAATTGCTTGAAAAATGTAACTATTCTAAAAAAATGTATTAATATTTGTCATAAGAATTCAATTATTTAAAAATTTGTTAATAAAATTCTTTATAAGAATTAAATTTTAAGAAACATTCAATTATTCAATAAATAATTTACTTTTGTATTTAAATAATTGAATTCTCATAGAATTTTCTAATAAAAATTGATTTGAAAATGAATTTTAGTTTAAATTTAAGATAAGTAATAAGATAATATCAAAATAAATTAGAAGAAAGAAATTACAGTAACAATATTCTTATAATAATAAACTAATGATTTTGTCAGTCGGTCATCTTTAATTATTATAAAACATAAAGAAATGAATCACTCAGAGTGATCGATATTTTTATGTTTTTAATTAATAATATTTTTTTGAGTATCTAATAATTTGTAGAGTGAATCAGAATATACTTAAGGGTCAGGGAAAAATATAAGTCAAAGTTGTGTTTGGAAATGAGGGAAAAGTCAGGGAAAAATAAAGTTAAATTTTTGTGGCAACTCTGTATAAATAAATTTTTAAATAAATAAATAAATAAATAAATTTTTATGGTCCTCTAAAAGTCCCCTATTTTTTAATTTTCAGTCCTCTATTTCCCCTAAAATACTTTTTAGGGATTGTGATTGTGATTGTGAATTGCACAAATTGCTCAACTTTATTAGAATTTGATTAGATTAATTTTTTATCAGGTACAACACAAACTAGAGGACAGATACCTCATATTCTGTATTACTCCAATCCGGAAGATACAGGTGTTCAACAAACAAGTAAAGCAATGGTTGAAGTGCAAGCGAGAAAATACATTCTAGCAATGACGACAACAATAATTCAACGAGCGAATGAAATTCTCGCCCTTGCGCGTGAAAAAGTTGCAGAAATGAGGTCTATTGAGATTCTTGGAAATGCCACTTTTATAACAACACTTTTACCATTGGTTATAGCTCACATTGGTCCTTTAGCTTCTTCCGACCCGAGAGTAAGTTGAAAATGACTTTATTTTTCTTTTAAACTCATTGATTTGTCAAGTATATTTGTAAAAGTAAATTCAAGTTTTAAAGTAGATTTTTTTTAATAAACTTGAGAAAATTCCAAACTAAGTTTAAAAACAGTAGAAAAAAAGGTTGATTTAACAAAATGTGATTATTGATTTTAATTTTGAAAAATGTTAATTCTTTCCCCAGAGTGGAGTTCAAATTTTGACATTGATTCAAGAAATGCTTCCACACGTCGCTGCTCTTAACCTTTTGTCAGGACCATCTTCTGTCTCCCAAGACAATGAGATGCAAATGCATTTTACGTCGCCTATAACAACAAGTACGCATTACACTTGGCTAGAGAGTGAACATCCTTACAAGCCAGCAACTGTTACACAATATAAAGTTACATTTCCCGAAACAGTGAAATGGTTAACAGTTGAATTCACTTCTGAATGTGGCACAGCCCAACCGGAAGATTACTTGCAAATATTTATACCAGATATATCTAATTCAAGGTAAATATTCAAAATGCATTAAGGGAACTTTCTGATGCAGAATTTTAAAATTCTGCATTTAAAAATTTGATGTTTAAAACAATTTTGTTTTCAGGTCTTCCAAATGTTCGAATACGGACGAAAGTCAAGAATTGTTTCCTGTTCTTAGGAAGTTAAGCAATGTGCCTTGCCAATGGCCTCAAAATGCATTTGTTTTGCCTGGTAAGTTAGTTAATTTTTTTTTTTTTTTTTTGACAGAAAAATCAATTAATCAAACAGTTTTAAGAAATAAAAATGTCTTTGGATTAATTGTAGGAAATAAAGTTATATTCTCACTGGAAACTGCTTCGGATTACATGAAAGATATCAAATCAAATATGTACGGTTTCAAGTGTCTCATTATTGGCTACGACTGGATTACTTCCGGCAATGGGCTAAAAAACCTCGAGATGGAATTAGCTTTTCTCGGTGGTGCTTGCACTGCCGGGCTTATGCAGAAGAATCTCACGTTACCAACAATGTCATGTAAGTGTCTTTTACTGCAAAAAATCAAGTTATTCTGAAATTAACTATATTAATATTCATATTCTTTCATTCATTCTGTCCGCAGAATTTTTTTTTTCTTTAAAAAATATTATTTGACAAATCGAAAATATGCCGCTATTTTTTCATGATTTATAATAAAATAATATTATTGTAAATTAGAATTTCGTTTGACTGATCTAAATTATTATGCAAATTATTCTTCTTTATTTACAAAATTACTAGAAAATTGTTAATTGTTAAAAAAATTTTATCAAGAAGTAGGAAATATATCCATTTTATGCATAATTTTTATTTCTCAATAACAATATTGTTTACTTATTTTTTCTTTTGGAAAGAAAAACATTAGATATTCCCGCCTCTTAATATTTTTGTAGAAAAATCTCCATTTTCATAAGAAAATAATTTGTATCAATTCTATTTCTTAATTCCAATTGTTTTAATAAAATTCAGTTTTTTAAAAATAAAGGAAAAATATTGTTTATAAATTATATTTGTCAATTACAAAATTGAATTGAAAATGAAACTGAAAATTTTTTAATTTTTAGAAAATAAAGGAAAAAATTTTATTGAAAAAAATGATCTGTTAAATTTATTTACGAATATCTTTAATTGTAAAATTATTCGAAAACAATAATTTCTTTTTTAAATATTTTAAATATTTAATTATTATTATTTTTCCATAGGAATTAAAATTCTTCAAAAGATTCAAATTCAAACGTTTTTAAAATTAATGAACTTTAAAAATATTGTTATAAAACATAAAGATAACGATTACTCCGAGTCTTCGACTCGAAGTGATCGATTTCTTTATGTTTTATAATAATTAAAAAGGATCGAGTGTTAAAATTATTATTTTATGTTATAAGAATATTGTTACTGTAACTTCTTAAAAATTATTTTCATATTCTATTATTTTGTAGAATTTTGAACTAAAATTCATTTTCAAATCAATTTTTATTACCAAATTCTATGTGAATTCAATTATTTAAATACGAAAGTAAATTATTTACTGAATAATTTAATGGTTCTTAAAATTTAATTCTTATAATGAATTTTATTAACAAATTTTTAAATAATTGAATTCTTATGACGAATATTAATAAAAAATTTTCGAATAGTTACATTTTTCAAGCAAGTTGATTAAAAATAATTGAAATACTGCCATGAATTTTAATATTTCTGAAAGTAATTGAATTATTGAGAAGAAACTTATAACAAAGTAAATATTTGAATTCCTGTGAAATTTTTATTATTCTTGAAAATCATTAAAAGTTTGCGTACAATTTTAATAAAATTGTTTTTAAATAATTTAATTATTTTGGGTAATTTTATTAAAATATTCTTCGACTCGGACTGATCGATTTTGTCATATTTTATAAAATTAATTAAATTTTATTCAATTATTTAAATACAAAAGTAAATTATTTATTGAATAATTGAATGTTTCTTTAAATTTAATTCTTATAAAGAATTTTATTAAAAAATTTTTAAATAATTGAATTGTTTTGACGAATTTTAATAAAATTTTTTTGAATAGTTGCATTTTTCAAGGAATTTAATTAAAACTATATTAAAAATATTTGAAATTCTGCGATGAGTTTAATTATTTACGAAAACAAGTTAATTATCGCGAAGAAATTTATAAATTTGTAAGTATTTGCATTCCAGCGAAATATTTATTATTTATGGAAATAATTAAATGATTGCGTACAATTTTGTTAAAATTGTTTTTAAATAGTTTAATTATTTTGGGTAATTTTATTAAAATTGTAGATATTGATATTCATTGAAATAAGGAAATTTTTTTTTAAAAAATTGAAATTTTGACAAGAATTTTATTAAAATTTTTGAAAATAATTGAATTTTGAAGAAGAATTTTTTTATTTACAAAGATAATTGAGATTTTGTCGAGTTTTTCTTGTAAATTTTAAACATAATTGAATTTTGTGATAAGAATTTTATTACTTTTGTAAGTAATTGAATTTCTGCAATCATTTGCAACTTTTTCAAAATTAAATTTTTTTTTAGTGTTTTTAACTGAAATTCTTCTATAAATCCATTATTTTTAATAATTAATTAAATATATTTCGACAAATTTAACTAATTTTAGAAGATTTTGAATTATTAAAATTTTTCAAAAGTCTAAGTTCCTTAAAATTTCTAATTAAATTCGTTCTAAATTGAAATTTTATAAAATTTTAAATTGAAACTGTTTGTAGTTCATTTATTTATGAAAATTGTAAGCGCAACTTTTTTAAAATTGAATTAATTTTGAAATATTTAAGCAAAATTATTCCTTAAATAATTTATTTATATGATAGTTGTTCAAGATTTAAGTTTGTATTTAAAAAGAAATTTTTGTCAGAAATTGAAAAAATTGAAGTTTTGTATTAGAATTCGTGTTAATTTTATAGTTTATGAGTCAAACAAAAAGACACAAAAATTCAGAATTTTTTTATGAAATCTCAAAATTTAAATTTTTTCAGTAGTTTTAATCAAAATTCCTGACTTTTCCCTGAATTCTCTATGTTTTAATATATGATAATTATAATTATAATAATATTAATACTATATATTCGAATTCATATTTTATTTTTATAAAAGGAAATTTAAATTAAAAATTTTAACGTTCTATTATTTTTAAAATTACTAATTTTATTTAAAAAAGTGAGTGAGAAGTTGCTAGTTGCTAGTTGCAATTAAAATTAATAAAAATATCTCGTCTTAATTTATTTATGAATATAAAAAATAAAAATGATTCTTTTATGATCAGTTTAAAGAAACATAAGTTTATTTGAAATAAAAAAAAAATAAATTATAAACAAATATAAATTAATCTTTGAAAATTTTAATGTTAGACATTTTGCTGTATTCACGTCTAAAAATATTTGTATAATTTGAGAAAATAGAAAGATAACGGTTCAGTTTTCATTTATAGTGTCATTCTCTTATAATCCTTTTCTATTTATTTAAACCTGATTAGAAATCTTTTGTGATCTTTAAATCCTCCATTATTTGCAGCTGACGAAATTGAAGAGGATTTAGAGTCGGTACAGGAAACAGCAAAGAGGATTTTCTCCGTTCACTCAGCTCTTCTTGGACGAGGATTCGCCCTCGAAACTCCACCGTCGGTGTCGCAGGCTCTGGATGGCGTTCTACCATTCAGGTTAGTTTATTTTTTAAATTAGTAGATTATCTTTTAAATATTCTTTAAATTGCTAATTTCATAGTCATTGCACTCTGATGACTTGCTTATCTTTATTTTAAAAAAAAAACTTAACAAAGACACGACAGGCAAAAAAAACTTTATTATTATTTGTTTATTTAAGAAAATGTTAAATTCATATTTTGAAAGAGGAGAAGAAGTTTTTGTGCATGTAATTTACTATCGTTATTGATTAAATCCGCAAATGTCGAAAAGCGGAATGCGAGTTTCAAGTTTTGAAGGATTAGGATAATTAGAATTTGAAAATTTAGAGCGATGAATTCTCTTCTGCTGAACATTTTGATAAATGAATTAATTTCGAATTTTTAATTCGAATATTAAATTATGTAGATTCTTCTTTCCAATCATTTAATGATAGTTAGTTTTGTGAGATATTTTATTAGAGGAACAATAGTTTCTGATGATAATATTGTACAATTTACTTAAATATTTATCATCTGGATGTAAAATTGATTTACTCTTTCTATTATTAGGTACTTACTACTTCAATTTAATTCAGTTGTTCAATATTTATTTAGCGGTCAATCATGATTCAAGGACAAAATTATTATAGTTGATGTCTTCAGTAAAAATTGAAATTTCACCTTTTTCGTCTCTTCTTATTGAGAAATTTAAAGAACACGAATATATTTAACATTCAGAATCCTGCCAATGTGTAAATATTTTGTAACATGTAAAATCAAATTTCATTTTTTGAATCAATATTAGCATTTTTATTTAAATGTTGTGTATCTAAGAAAGTGAAATTTCTAGATTTTTCTTTTTTTGTTCTCAAACTAAGATTTTTTATTTAAATGCGAATTTATTGTTTAAAAAAATTACATTTTATATTTCGATGCGAATTTATTGTTTAAAAAAATTACATTTTATATTTCAATAAGGCAAATAAATCGAGATACAATAATGAAGGGATAAAAAGAATAAAATATAAAAATATTAATTTTTTAAATTATTTTAAATAATAATTATATAAAATAACAACAATTCGCCCGCGGCTGACTACTCTCTCAACTTTTTTAAATAAAGGTAGCAATTTTAAAAATAATAGAACGTAAAAATTTTTAATTAAAATTTTTTTTATAAAAATAAAATATGAATTGGAATATATATACTTTTAATATTATTATAATTATAATAATCAAATATTCTGACATAGGAAATTCAGGGAAATGTCAGGTATTTTTATTAAAAGCACTGGAAAAAATTAAATTTTTAGAATTGATAAGAAAATTCTGAATTTTTGTCTTTTTTGCTTGCCTCATAAATTATTATAAAATTACCACGAATTCTAATACAAAACCTTCAATTTTTTCAATTTCTGACAAAAATTTCTTTTTAAATGCAAACTTAAATCTTGAACAACTATCATATAAATAAATTATTTAAGGAATAATTTTACTTAAATATTTCAAAATAAATTCAATTTTAAAAGAGTTGCGTTTACAATTTTCATAAATAAATGAACTTCAAACGGTTTTAATTTGAAATTTTATAATATTTCAACGTTTAATGAATTTAATTAGAAATTTTAATAAACTTAGATTTTTGAAAAATTTTAATAATTCAAAATCTTCTAACATTAGTTAAATTTGTCAATATATATTTAATTAATTATTAAAAATAATGGATTTATAGAAGAATTTTAGTTAAAAACACTAAAGAAATTGAATTTTGAAGAAGTTACAAATGATTGCAGAAATTCAATTATTTTCGATACTATAATAGAATTTCAATTAAAAATCACAGAAATTCAATTATGTTCAAAAATTTTTTAAAACTCTCGTTAGAATTTCAATTATTTTCAAACTTTTATAAAATTCTTCATCGTAATTCAATTATTTTCCAAACTTTTATTAAAATTCTTGGCAAAATTTTAATTATTTAAAAATTTTCTAATAAAATTATTTAGGAGAATTCAATTTTAACAAACATTCAATTATTATTCAATAAAAATAATTGAATATTAAAAGCATTATAACCTGAATTTTCAGAAGTAATTGAATTTTTCCTACTTTGAACTAACAATTCTGTAGAATTAATTGTTCTGAAAAAGTTTAATTGAATTTTTTTAAAAATTATTATAATTATTTATGTTTTATAACAATATTTTTAAAGTTGATTAATTTTAAAAAGGTTTGAATCTGAAATTTTTGAAAATCTTAATTCCTATGGAAAAATAATAATAATTAAATATTTAAAAAAGCAATTATTGTTTATCGAATAATTTTACAATTAAAGATATTCGTAAATAAATTTAACAGAACATTTTTTTCAATAAAATGTTTTCCTTTATTTTCTAAAAATTCAAAAATTTTCAGTTTGACTTTAAATTAAATTTTCTACTTGACAAATATAATTTATAAATAATATTTTTCCTTTATTTTTAAAAGACTTTGAATTTTATTAAAACAATTGAAATTAAGAAATAGAATTGATGCAAATTATTTTCTTATGAAAATTGAGAATTTACTATAAAAATATTAAAAGACGGGAATATCTAATGTTTTTCTTTCCGAAAGAAAAAAATGAGTGAACAATATTGTTATTGAGAAATAAAAATTTTAAATTATGCATAAAGTGGATATATTTCCAACTTCTTAATCAAAATTTTTTTAACAATTGAAAATTTTTTAGTATTTTTTATAAATAAAAACAAATTTTTATTTTAAACAATTAACAATTTTCTAGTATTTTTTATAAATAAAAACAAATTTTTATTTTAAACAAATAAAATTTGTTATAGAAAAAAGCATATAACAAACAAAATTGGTATTTTTTAAATTTTTTAATCATAATTTTTGTAAAATTTTCTAATTTATAATATTATTTTATTATATAAATCATAAAAAAATATCTGCATATTTTCGATTTATCAAACAATATTTGAACAATATTTAAAAAAAAAAAAAACAAAACCATACAGAGAAACTAAGTTCAAACTGCGGACAGAATGAATCAATGAATGAAAGAATACGGAGATTAATATAGTTAATAATATAATTAAATTTTTTTGGAAAGAGGTATTAAAATAATTTAACTGCATAAAAATTTTAATAATCTATTTTGAACAGAATCAATGAGATACACTATAGTAAAATTTGTTATATTATATTTCTTTTGAAAAAAGAAATGGACCTAAATTGATTTTTGATTGGTTTGCTCTTCGACGAGAATGAAACAATATTTTTATGGAAACATACAGGTGAATAGAAAAACTCTTCGAGTAACATTTTAAATGGTCGTTTATTATCGTTCCCTTAATTTTATCGTCGCTCTCGTACGACATAAAATGTAAATTAAATTATACAGTACAACTGATGCTATATCACAGACATGCGATAATTATATCTAAATAAGTGTTACAAAAAAAAAATAGAGCACAAAATGCGTCAATTGATTCTCGGATATGGTTTTTTTTTTCGTTTCATTATACACATAAATAATATTTTGTAAATTTTTTTTATTAATCATGATTTTTTTATACTTAAAAATTTCTGCCACCTTGAGATGATAAAAGGCGTGAAGATTAATATTTTTCCAATAAAAACTCAATTAAATTCGATATTTTCGATGTTAGGAACAATATAACAGTCGTTTATTTCGTAGAATCTTTATGTACATTTATTGTTTATAGTTTGTATGTGTAACGAACTTCTCCAGGCAACCGGAAATGAAGTCCAATGTTTTTACTTTTCCGGAAGTATAACTAAACTCGGAAATCATAAAACATGTCAATTTCAATTTATTCGATTTTTTACATTTCATTGTATATAATTCGTCGGATATATAAATTTTTTTTTTTGGCAGTGAGAAAACTAAAGTTTTAAAAAAGTAATTCCGTTTGAGATAATTTTTCTAATTTCTAATTTGCTCTCTATATAAAATTCTATAACAGAAGGAATATCTTCAATTCCTTGATAAAAAAAAGTAATTATTAATTAAAACATAGATTTAATGGACGTTTATTTATATACTTGTAGGTATTTTGTTCCTTATTCGGAATTCTTTTTAATTTTAAAAAATTGTCAACTTTTTCTTTAAATTAGAAATTCTTAAAATTTTTCTTTAGGTCAGCCTCTTTTAAATAATTTAGGCTTTAAAGCGAATTCGATATTTGATATTTTATGATTGTTTAGGAAAAAATGACGCTTGATTTTAAAAGTAGGTAATAATTGATTTAACGTGAATTATTTATATTAAATTAATTATTTAATATAAATGATCATTCTCAATAGTGTATATGTTGAGTAATTTAATTTAATTATGTATTCAAGTTTCAATATTGTAATCAACGAAATTTCAAATATCCCATTTAAGAGGCGCAATCAGCGAGTTGAAAATTCATTCTCATTAACCACCATTTAGTGAAATAGCTTTCAATCGCTGTGAAAAAGCTGCTTCGTTTTTCTACTTTTTATTGTTGAATTTCCGGCTTTCACATGACATACATTCATTTCTTTATTAAAGTAGAAAAAAAGACAAAAATAAATCCTCGTTGTTGAATGATTTATTTTTTTTGCAATTTTATTCAACTGAATCTATCAAAATATATGTTTATTTTTCAGTTAATATATATTGCAACAGAGAGTTAATTATTATTGAAATTAAATATTAAACAAAATTTATTTTGAAATTTATTTACGAAGCAATTAAAAATTGGATTTTAATTAAAAATATTCTTACTTTTGGTAATTGAATTAAATATTAAAATAATAATTTAAATTCAGTGATTAAATTATAATTAATTTAATTGAAAAAGGATTTACTTTTGATAAAAAAAAACTGAAATACAACTGTAATTTAACTGAATAATTATAGTTATTTATTTTCAGGCTTCGCACTCGATAATTAATTTTAAAAAAGTAGAAAAAAGTAGCTTTTCAAACTAAAAAAAGTAGTAAAAAAGTAGGTATCGTAAAATTAAACTTGGAAGACGAAAA